TGCTTGAAGGATAGGTATTGGGTGTTTCGTGCCTCTGGTAGTGAAGTTCATCATATGTTGATGGAATTTCAAAAAATCTTCAATCTGTGGCTCTCCTTCGTAGAAGAAATTTTCTTCCGTTGCGTTGCGATGGATTTGAGATGTTATCCAACTACCTAGTTCTGCTTGAACGCCCGTTTCGTCGATTGCTCTGAGGTTGTCGATAACGTCTTTGAAAGCACGGGTGTAGATAAAAGTGCAGTCTTTGCCTTGTGAAGCAAATTTCTTCAAGGTCCTAACCACATTGGGGATGTAACTCTGGTAGTCTCCGTTGTAGATTACTGCTTGCTCTAGTTCTTTGAGATTGGCAAGGGTCTGTTCAGCTTTTGTTGCTTCGGTTGGCTTGTCTAGTCTTTTAAAGTCTGTCCATGCCTTGATCCCAGCTAAGCAAAGCTTTGTAGGCGTCTCGGGGGATTTGTGTTCTTCTTCCATGTGGGCTTTCAGAATCTGAATCCTGCCAGGGCATTGCATGTAAACAGTGTGGAGGATTTGCGTCAAAGCAGCATCTGCTTCTCGTACAAATTCTCTCCTTTTCTGTCTCATGTTTTCCTGTAATTCTTCTGATTGAGTATCTCTGATGGGAAAATGACAGTCGAAGTAGGCTCTCATGTTTTCTGGATTCCCTTCAGAGTTGAGGTATGCATAGTATTGCCCTATCAACTCGAACTGTATAAAGTTCTCGATATCTGGGGCAAGTCTTTGCATATTCTCGGGTGTTACTGCTGTAATCATCGAGTCCTGAGGCTGATTGATTGGCGGCCATTGTAGACGGTATGGTGACATCTGTTCCTTTAACGCGAGGCTTTTATAACCTGATGCGGGTATAGTCCAGCAACTGAGCGATAGTGCACTTAGGAGTAGAACAGATGAACAATGAAGCTAGATTTGTTTATGTACAGCAGTAAGAGAACACACGTCAATGTTCGTGCAATCCCATTCCGATGACGTGGCCAACGTCTAAGATGGGTTGCTTATATGTCGAGGTCAGGCTTAACCCGTAATACAGCAATGAGTAAACATGTGTATCGGTTTATACCAGCCTCATGCTTTCATCATACCAATGTGTTGTACGTACGTCTACGTCCAGTACACATCTTCGATTCTAGCATTATACACCTCGCCAGCGTACGTAGCCTCTTGCGACTACTCGCATGATGCTGCCATGTCCGTTACTGACGTAACGTCATGCGGGTGCAACATCAATGGACATGGGAGAACAAGGGGTCTGATCAAAGAAGACAGTACTATCATGATCATCTTAGCGGAGGACATACAAGGAATGCACGAGACCACCTCCAAGCATGCTCCTACGGAGACACAGGACCTGTCAAGGTCAAGGGAGCAGCTACATCAACTTCACAGAGAGCATTGGATGAGAATCGAAGACCTCGTCATGTCAAGCCTATGACTCTTTCTCACTGAGTCAGGGGACCCTCAAGGTACGGAACCAGGCCTCGGACCGGTCGAAGAATCATATCGCAGATCTTGAAGAAGCGTAGAGTACCGGTAGTCGTAGTTCCTAGGACCAAGCAGTCCCTATTTTAGGGACCGAGGAAGACTCCCGGAAGAAGGGCCGCACGCAATGATTGGCAGGACAGGGAAAGGAGAACGAGGTGTATAGTCTCTGTGAGACTGGATTGCTCAGCCGCTTGAAGTAAACAAGCTTGACCATCCATACCAATCTCTTATCGAGTCACCTCCGTTTGTTCTCTGCATCCTGATATCTTTCCTGCGCGGCCATTCGTGATATCTATTACCACTGCTACAGAAACTTGCAGTCGGTGCTATCACTGTCTACTTACGGCAGTCCGTGTGGTTTCCGCCCGCCGGGCGCGGCGGTGACCGCCGCCCGCCCGGCGCAGCGCGGAGTCCGAGCCCGGATGACGAGCACCGTCCGATCCGTCGGACGGGGCCGCGCGTCACAGCGGCGGCGCGGCGGGCCGCGGCGGCCGGCCGCCTGAGGTGACGGCCTTGGGCCTGACTGGGCCAACCGTGAACCGGCGGGCCGCCGGGGCGCCGCCGGGGCGGCCGATGATGGCATGGCACAGTGTTTGCAAGCAAGTTGAGTAAAAACTTTCAAGATATATCCGACATGTGGCACTGATTCAGTAAGATTGAAGATCCGCAGTGAAAGTGAAAGTCACTGAGTTGAGCCGCCGCTCGGACCGTTTTTCATCCGAGGCGGCGGATCATCGGCTCATTCCGGACCGATCACGTGGCGCTGCTACGATGCGTCCGCATGCGCGTCAGTTATAGCCTCGAAGAGTCACGGTCACGAGCCACTTGACTCTCTGGGGCTTCAGTCTGACCACCTACCCCTGGGGTACCGTTTCTGATTGAGAGGGTGCAAAGGAGGGGTGATCGGGACTCACTCTGTCAACTTTCATCATTTTGGAATCATTCAAATCATAAAAACAAACATGTGCTGACAGGCAAACATCTTTACTGCAGCGCCAAGTTGCAAGGAGTTGGAGCTGTACACGACAACCCGAAGGCCTCCCTCTCTCCCCTTACGGTCGTTGCCGCCATCCAGCTCTATCCCTCCTATCTGCTGCATCTTCGTTTTCTTTGCTAGTTGTTTGTTCTTTCAAGATTACCTCCCCTACTCAGTGCGCCAGCTCGTGGCTTGCTCGGCATTTCATTCTAATCATTCCCAGTGTTCTCGAGCTCTCGTTCTCCAGCAAGCCTCTGCTTCGGATTCAAACCCTGGGCCTCACCTCTTCTCTTCTATACAGATCTTGTCATATTTGCCATTGCCAGCACTCATTTCTTACCTGCTTCACGCGCCGGTGGAATTCGATGCCAGCAGGCACCCGAGCCAGTCAATTGGATGTACAACATGGGCCATACACTTCAGCGCGGACGTCCCACGAGGCTTCCCATCAAGACCTTCCGAGATATATCACGCACCAGCATTGCAAGTGGTCAGAGAGCAGACACCCTGAAAACGCTAGCAAACATCAGCCTGCTGACAGTCTACGACCAACGAACTATCCCAAACATGCCTTCACGAAATCTCCTTTCATAGTCGTGCTGTTGCAGCTTGTCTGGAGTGCTATTTATGAAGTCGTCAATTTCTTGATCACGAATGATGATTTTGAAACTTGCCCTGAGAAGGAGGAATGTACCTCTCCCAAATACATCGATGACTGTTTGTGCAACGACTCTCCCCGACGGAAATCTCATCCTCTCTTGAAGCCCGAGTTTTGTAAGCCCTTCAAGTTCAAACGAGTGAGTAAATCAGAATGATTCTAGTTCGTAGTAAACATGCTTCATTTAATCTGCAGTATCTCACACCCCGAAGGCTAACGGGTTGCAAAACGTCTACGCCACTTTGAGCCAGATGGAACACAATTAACAGTGTAGTGATATCGTTTCGAGATGCAACACAATCAACGTCGTATCTACAGTCGTGACATGCAAATGTAATAAGGAGAGAACAAACCAATCGGTAGAGTTGTCACAGCCAATCATTCGTACCAGCGCTCAGCCGCTGCAGATGTCAGCCGCTGAGCCCTTCTTTCCAGGGCTCTCAGCCGTCGTCCCAACTTGAACAGGGTGGGGGTTGTGTTCGTGAAGTTCGGAGAGTTGAAGTCCTCCGATGGACTGGAAACAACTTCAAATATTTGCGAAGTTCTGGGGTAGCGGCCCTTCACAGACCCTCCGTTCTGAAAATTTGCCATGGGTCAACTTGACCCCGCGTGTCCGAGGGGGTCGCAGCGGAGTGGCAACTTGAACGGCAAGTTGACACGCATGCGACGCTCCATATTGGGATTGGGGAGCCGCTGGCAAACTTGAAAGCCGGCCGTCGCCATCACTTGATGTCGGATTGATCATCGATGCCAAGTTGTTGCAAGCCGGGTTTATTCTGATGAAACTTTGAGGTGCTGAGCCCTTGTGAAGTTGCTGACCCGCCGGTGGCACACTGCGGCACAAGTTGCTCCTTTCCGGGCCTGTTGGATCATCCCAGCGGCTTCTTTTGCGAACTTAGTAAGAACTCGGAAGGTCGACGGGGAACTTCTTAGCGGCCGGGCCCAGAGGAGGCCCTGAGGAGGACTCGAAAGCCACTCCGAGACTCGTACGGTCCCCGGCGGTCACTGGATGAAGAGACTCGGTGACTCAGTTCAAGTTCGGAACTCGGCAGTGAGGACCGGCCGGCGGGCCGGGAGTGACTCCGAAGCTCTGCCGTTAGTCTCCGAGGCTCAGTGCCGTGGCGGCGCGGCGGTCCGATCCGTCACCGTGACACGGTGACCGTGACGGACCGCCGGGCCGGCCGTAGTACGGTCGGAGCGCCTGCCACGGAGCCCGGGCGAGCTCGCCTCAACCGAAGAAGTTGCCGAAGTTGATCACGAATGGCCGCACATTCCTTGGACCCACCCATGGAGCTTCGGAAGCCGCCCACTACCCTACCCCTGGTATTGGCTATGTAGTGTAGCGGAGGGGTGGAAAAACGCGCACAATTTGCACCCCTACCCCCAATGCTGCCTACTTCCAACAAAATGTACATGACCACCCTGTCTTTCAAATTTCCATTCGACTGGACCCCCTTGAGGGTCATGCAGGAATACCAGGGTGGACTCAACCAATGGGGTGATTTACAGGCATAATCAGGGGTAGGGTGGTTTGCAGGATAGGGTAGAGATGCCCATGTGGAGGAGGTAGGGGTGGTAGTGGTGGGGCAAAGAGGCGCCTCAAGCTTCGGAAGGTGGACGCGAGCAGCGGAGGGAGCGGGGGAGGAAGAGGGAAGGAGCGATGGCAGATGGAGAGAGGGATAGAGGAAGAGAACGACAAGAGGACAGGAAACAGGTCAGAGGAGGGCAAGTCAGGTTTCATCCATGGCGGGTAGACGTTAATCAGCATCTTTGAGTTTGGGGTACACAGAGGATATTATCACGATTGCAAAAGCTGGTTATAAAACGTAGGGTGGTGTTGTGCGGTCTGACCGAATCGTTTTCTTCAGGATGCAGGAGGATTGTGTGATACCCGAACTCTGCTTTCTTGTTTTCGGAGAGTGCAGATGTGAATTTGATCAATGTTTCTTACATAAGACTGCTTCACGACCCGACGACGACAAAGATGCTTGCATAGATCAGGATGACCAAGGTCTGATGTCTCCACAAAGCTCGACCCGTTTCCTCTCAGAGACCCCGCCGACGTGCCCCAAGGAGAACATACACCCGGGCAACATGCAGGCTCACCGCAAGCGGACCTGCGAGCACTTCAAACAAGACAAGGCGGCTCGGTCGGGTAAGAACCCTTGCAGGCATCTAGAACGAGAGTTCGAAGGACAACAAACAAGTCAGACGGTTGAGCAAGAGCAAGATCCTGTCCTTCCCAACATCCAGCCTCCTGTTGGGAGCTCTCCTTGCCAGCTCCCAATGCCTCAGGCAATCGCAAAGTTCCAGTCCTGTCCAGACCCAGCGATTGTTCGTTGGATCATCAGACATTCTATTAAGTGCGGGAAGGTTTGTTACGAGGCCAGAATGGAGCATGTCCTTGCTACACTGACCAAAGAGGGTGTTAAGCTGAGTATCTTGTCCTGGCTGAAAGAGGAGATGCCTGCACTGGAGCAGGAGGATGGCATCAGGAATTTAGGGCCTGCGGTGAGATCTCAACCCGTCCCCTGCCCCTCGTCCCCTCGTCCCCCTCCTGCATGCCTCTTGCGCTAACGCTCCTCTTCCTCATCACGCCGAGAGAGCCATGACGTGTTCGTCCTTGCAGATGCTCGGCATGCTCATCTATCATCCCCCCGCTCATCGCAAGTTGGAAAGGATGCGTTGGCTCGGAGTGAGGTCGGACGAGCTCCTCTTTACCTGCCTCGCTCGCGCCCTTGGATGCGCCGTCGAGCTCTGCGTAGTTACCGACTCCTACGATGCCAACAAAATCAGCTGGTCTGTCTCGCTGCACTGCCCTCATTGTGACAGGATGGAGCAAGTCATGTTGCCCGCCTGCAGGTGAGTCACGAGGCCGTGGGGTTGAAGGTTCGTGGTGACTTGCTGGGGGTCAGCTCGTGCGGGAGCGGGTTCTGCCGCTGGGAAAAGAACGGGCCCAAGAACAAGGCCTGGCAGAATGTCAAGCTGCAACTGGCTGCCGATGGCGATGGAGGAGTCAGCAGCTGTCTGGAGTACCGGCTGTGCAACACCTGCTACTCCAATTACAAGCGTGGCAAGAAGCCTTGTAGTCAGTCAGCACGGCAGCGAAGAGAAGACTCTCTGGACAAGCTGATCGAGCAGAAAATCGTCAAGACCAGAGGAGAGATCAAACGCTGGCCCGGACCATGTCAAACTACATCACAGAACTAAAACAACGCCTATTGTGAGAGCTTTCAGCTCAATCTGGTTCATTGGCTATTGTGATGGACCCTTGTACCCTTTGTCGGCCATGCTAGGAGGATTCGACTTGGATCTCAATCGCTAGCATGCAACTTCTTATTCTGTTTACTAACACAACTCACTCGGAACCGGTTGATTGGAATATATCAGCAAATCTTTTTATGAGGAAACATCCGTATATCATGTGGAGAGATTATACCAGCAGGTATGAAGATGAAATCATGCAAGAACATCACATGAAGGGATGAAAGCAGCATTTCACATAAAGGAAAACGCCGTCAACGTTCTGATTCTTATGCACGCTTGCCAAATAAACTTGTTATCCCTTGCCATCTGAGTTTGGTCGCACATGGAATGAGGGACTGAGTAGGATGCGTGAAGCTGCGAGAGGCAACGACGACCTGCTGCACGCATTTCCTCTGTCTCCCTTCTCAGCCATGAAAGGAGGAGGAGGGAGGGGGGACGGCGGCGGGGAGGAATGGAGGTGGGCGGGGTAGGCGGGGAGTGAAATGGTGGGGGAGGAGGCGGGGCATTTCAAGGATTCGGAAAGGGTTGAAATTGGCGGGGGGGGGGGAGGGGGGCCTCCCGACCTCTGCTCCTCTGATGCGCTATCCTCTCACACTTTCCTCCCTGTTGGAGACCCGTTGCAAAGATCCTTCCTTGTAGGGGGTGCTCCTCCTCCTCCTCCTCCTCTTCCTCCTCCTCCTCTTCCTCCTCCTCTTCCTCCTCTTTCCATCGTAACGATCTCACATGCTATGCACAGGGATTTCTGTATGACTGCAGCAAGGCCTCAAGATTGAATGATCAAACGAGCTGCACTTCCTTCCTTCGACTTGATCTCCTCCTCCGACGATGAGGAGGAGGCGCAGGAAGAGCAGGAGAAACAAAGAGGGGCGGCGCAGCAGCAGCAGCAGCAGCAGCAGCAGCAGCAGCAGCAGGGTGAAGAGCCAATCCCCACCACTACGTGTGCCCCGCATAGAGGACATGTAACCTCAGCAACATCATCAGCATCAGCATCAGCATCAGCATCAGCATCAGCATCAGCATCAGCATCAGCATCAGCATCAGCATCAGCATCAGCAACAAGTGCGAGGTCGAGGAAACCTTCCGGTCTGGACTCCTTCAGAGTTAACAAGAAGCAGAAAGAAGAAGCATCAATGGTACGAGAGGTGGCCCCAGTGGGAGCAGGAGCAGGAGCAGGAGCAGGGGCTGGGGGAGGAGCAGGAGCAGGAGCAGGAGCAGGAGCAGGAAGGTGTGAAGGTAGGGAGGCGATGTGGCACAGGCGAGGAGCTCCTATCAAGTGGACGAACATCTACAAGACGAGCATGCAGAGGAAGAGTGGGGGAGCAGCAGAGAGCTGCTGGCAGCCGGTGTGCTCCAGGGGAAGCGAGGAAGCGCCACGAGGAGAGAAGAGCACCTACGACCTCCTGCATGCGCTCGACTGCAACTTGGAGTCGGAGGAGGAGCGGAAGCGAACTTCACGAGGTGCCAGGTCGGAGGAGGAGGAGGAGGAGGAGGAGAAAAAGCAGAGGGATGAAAGGGAGGAGGGCTGGATGGAGCTTTGCAAACTTGAGAGCTCGGAGGCGCATGGGAGGCTGCGGGGGAAAGGAGGGGGTGACGTGAGACTCGATTCAACACCAGCGACTTTGAGGAAACGACCGAAACCAAACTCAGGTGAGGCAGGGAAGGGGATTGGAGTGCAAGAGGGCCAAGGCAGGAGGAGGAGAAGGAGGAGGAGAAGGAGGAGGAGGATATTTGATCATGGACGGTACCAGGGAAAGTTCTCGTCTTGATGGCCAAGAGGAAGGAGGAGGCAGAAGTTCGTCTTGTGAAAGCTTCCTCGACCTTGACGCTTGCAACGCACACAAGGTGCTGCACATCTTCCCCACCTCTGGTTCTCCTTTCCCATTTCCCTGCTCCTCATTTCTCTCCCACATCCCATCTCATCCCCTCCCCTCCCCTCCTTTCCTCTCGATCCCTGCTCCGCCTTCGTTGCTTCGTCTGCTCCTTTCTGTTTCCTCATGCTTGTCAGCTTCGACGATGTTCTCCCGCAGGTCAACGAGGAGTGGATGAGGCCGTCGGGAGGAGAATCGTCAGTAGCACAACTCGCCTTGCTCGTGAGCTGACGGGGAGCAGGTGGGAGGCAGTCGGATGTTGGAACTTGGGAAAGACGGACCTGATATGATGAGAGACGGAAGAGGCGCTGGAGAGGAGGAGGACAGCGACAAGATACAAACAGAAGCTTCTTCAATGAATATGATGCAGAGTTGTTAGCAAAACACAACGTGAAAACGGTAACTGTAACTTAAGCACGTCGACCATCACGGTCTAGTGGAAGGAGAGGGAAGGGGAAAGGTAGAGGGAAGGAGAACGAGGGAGCCGTTTAGGGCTTCTTGACGTTCTGCTGCTGCAAGTGTCAGCTCCTCATCATATCGTCTAGTTGGCAGACCTTCTGCAGCGCGAGAACTTTCTGCTTGAGTCTCTCGTTAACACCCTCCAGATCTTCGATCCTCTTTGTCTGCCCCAGCCAAGTTAGTTATGAGGGACTAGGAGGAGGCGGAAGACGAGACAAGGAGGATGGGACGGTACGATGAGAGAGGGAAGGGGGGAGGGAGAGAGTTGGAGGAGAGGAGGCGGGGGATGATGGTTTACCAGGGTCGCCCTCTGCTGTCTTGGCTTCTGCATCAACAGCTCCTTGCGGCCCTGAAGCTGCTCCATCGTCAACTGCTACCCATCCTCCCCCACCTCCTCTCCTCCTCCTTGCTTTTTATTCGCCATCTCCTTCCTTTCTCACTCTCCATCTCATCCCTGCCACTACCCCTCTCTACAACCTCCTTTCTTCGTCTTCTCCTCCTCTTCCTCTTCCCCACCCTCCCCTCATGGTCTTCTCACCATCCGCTTCACCGGATCCTTCGCCACCCCCGTGATGTCTGTGGCCTCCTGAGCAGAGGTATCGATCGATCCTGCCGCTGGTCGTAAGGGGAGAGAGGAGGGACAAAGAGGATGGACAGGAATAAGAGAAAGTGTGCGTGCATGTGTTGAGAGAGGAGGGGGAATGTAAGGAACAGCAAGAACGAGAGCGAGAGCGAGAGCAAGGGGGAGGGAAGGAGAAAGAGCTTCTTCACTCACCTCGGATGTAGGCGCTCGGCATCAGATCCTTCGAGTCCGACCCATCTCGCTGCGCACAGCATCAGCAACATTTACATCAGCAGCAGCAGCAGCAGCAACGTCAGGATCAGCATCAGCGGATGACTCGCATTCTCACCTCGTCGGGGAAGGCGAAGTTGGTGATCTCGTCAGACTCCTGCGCGGCCGTCGGGATGCTGCCATGGATGTAGGCAGCATGAATGTCTTTCAACGTACTGATATCTGCCGATTCAACCCCGTCACCAACTCCTCCTCCCTCCCTCCCTCCCTCCCTCCCTCCCTCCGTCCCTGACCCTCACTATCTCTCACCTCCAGTCATCCCGAGCTTGGTCAAGCGAGCTCGCTGCTGTAGCCGTGCTCGTGCACGATCCTTGTAGGAGTCAGCTGAAGCAAGGAATTAGAGTTCTTCCTCTTCCCCTCCTCTCTGTCCAACTCTCTCTCTCCTGGCTTCCTCCCCTGCTGGCAACTCCTCGCCCTCCTTCTCTCAACAAGCCTTCCATTCTCCTTCAGCTCCAGATCTCGCTACACCAAGAAGCCTCCTCTCATCTCAACAACAACCTGACGATGTCTTGAGCTGCGCACCAGCCTTGCTTGGTTGCTGCAGTCTCTCCCTCACTGGATCCTTGGCTACTCCAGTGATGTCCGACGCTTCTTGAGAGGAGGTGTCGATCGATCCTAAAACAGCCCGGTCAGCCTCGTTTCCCCCCTCCTAGTCGTTTCACCTCGTAAGTAGGCGCTGGGCATAAGGTCCTTGGAGTCAGAGCCGTTCCTCTACCACCCCTCGTCAGTCGCCGCCAACAGTCGCGGCCATGCAAGAACCTCATCGGGGTACGGCATGTTCATGATGTCGTCCGACTCCTGCACTGCCGTCGGGACGCTGCCATGGATGTATGCGGCGTGAATGTCGTTGATGGTGCTGATGTCTGCAACGCACGTCCGTCTCAGACTACTTGACAACGGGAACCGGAAACGCCCTACCTCCAATCATTCCTAGCTGGGACTTCCTTGCCTTCAGCTGGGGGTTGTAATGGCTCTCAAGTCGGCTCTGCTTCGCCTGGAGCTGCGGCTAGACGTCAGCAGGCAACCATCATCGGCTTGTGTACATACCCTTCGCTTCACTGGGTCCTTGGCAACGCCAGTGATGTCCGAGGCTTCCTGAGAGGAAGTATCGATGGAACCTGGAGAGCTTGATCTCAGGTCGTCAACAAGGCGACGGCTCGACGAACCTCTGACGTAAGCGCTGGGCATGAGGGTCTTTGAGTCCGATCCATTCCTCTGCCGCTGCAGTTTCAGATGGCTTGCAACTCCTCACACCTCCGTCACCTCATCCGGGAAGGCGAAAGTAGTGATCTCATCAGACTCTTGAGCGGCCGTGGGGACGCTGCCATGAATGTAGGCGGCATGGATTGAGTTGATGGTGTGGATATCTTAGGAGCTCTTGTCAGCAAGCTGCAAGCTGCTCGACAAGAATCACCTCCAATCATCCCCAGCTTGCTCGTCTTCGCCTTGGTCTGATACAAGAACTCCTTCCTCGGGTCCTTCGCCACCCCAGTGATATCCTGAGCCTCTTGAGCTGACGTGTCGATCGACCCTGCATCTTGCCTCAGCCCTTCCACCTGCTCCCTCATCCGAACTACCTCTGATGTACGCGCTGGGCATCCACTCCTTGGCGTCGGATCCGTTCCTCTGCCAAAAGCTCAGCGCGAGGGTCTCCACATCTCCTCATCGCAGCTCACAGCATCAGGGAAGGGAAGGTCCATGATGTCGTCCGCCTCCTGCGCTGCCGTCGGGATGCTGCCATGGATGTACGCGGCATGGATCTCGCCGATGGTGCTAATGTCTTCAGGGGCATCAGTGGTCGCAGAACTAGCCTCCTGCCTCCTTCACCTCCGATCATCCCCAGCTCGGATCGTCTCGGGCCAGTGCTCCCGATGAGGAGCGCCAGGGCGAACAGAGCTGTGCAAGAGAGCAGGACATAGCCAAGAGTCTTCGCACGGGATGATCCAGCCGAGGAAGACTCTGAAGCCCTAACAAACACTTCCCCTCGCTGGTAGCTGAGCAGCATGGGAGCTTCCACCTGTCCAGCTTGTCAGCATGGGAAATGTTTTTGAATGAGAGGTCGAGCTCTCCTCATGCTGACCCTGATCCTATTATTCTAGCTCGTCCTACCCTTTCGTAACTGTTGGAACTGAAAGGCATTTTTCCCTTCCTCGTCTCGAAATGCCATCTCCTCATCCGGTACATATTCTTCCACATATCATAACAATTGAAAATTGCCCAATGTTTATATTGTACTGATCATCCTTGTGTTATTATTTATCGTCTAGTCACTCCTCCGCTTGTCTCGGGAAACCATTCTACTTGCATTCCTCTTTTTGATTTTCAACGTCGAATCATCAGATTCATGATCATATCATCCCATCAGTATGATAACATTCAAAGCTATGTGGTTTCATCCTATCTTCCTTCTCTCCATCGTCACCATTGCCGCAATCATCCGCATCGTTGCATCTCGTACCTCCATGCCGCTCCTGCCCATCTATTTTGGGTACCCCCCACCCCACCCCCCAAATTCTCATCTGAAACTACCCTCAGGTTGTTTCCAAGTCAGCTTGATCAATTTCAAATAAAGACTTTAGCTAATAATATTTAGGCTAAATATTAGGTGGTCAGTTTGAGCTATTTTTTTAACTTTCATTGGCAGACTTTGAAAATAAGTTTTTCAAATTAAATATGGCTCAGCATATTTCAGCAAAACTTCTGAGAATTTAGTAGGAATTCTTCAACTGGGGGTAGGGGGTGGGTTTAGCAAAGCATGGCAGTGGCTTAGTACTGGAGCGACAGGTGAACAAGCGAAGCAGAAGGAACGATAGAGGAAGAAGAGAGGGAGGGAGAGGAGAGGAAGGGAGAGGAGGGGAGAGGAAGGGAGAGGAGAGGACTGGATAAAGAAGTTTTTGAGAGGTAAAGAGAGAAAGAGCGAGGAGGATGCAGACTTGAGAGTAGAGCATGTGTGATAGGCGCGTCACTTTCGAGGGAACCCATTGAAGTCCCTCCAAGCCCTTGAGTGGAGCAGAGACGATCTTGCTGAAGCTTGAGAATCATTCAAATCGGGTCGACTGGAGGGTACTCGCCATGACAAACTTTCGCAATCTGGTGAATCTCATGAACTATCTATACGTGTATTGATTTTACCATCTAGATGCAAACAGCCAAACACGTCCTCTTCGCTATCCCAGTAGCCATTACCGTAAACGACAGCGTTGTCAGGTCCAGAGCACTCCTTCCATGACGATCTCTGACGTCAAGTCAGCACTGCTTGCATCGAAGGCGGGTCCATGCAACCGGTCTTGAATCCCAAGGGATCGACTACAAGGGACAGGTGAAATCGCGCGTGCTCCTGCTGTATCTGCTGTGACCTTGATCGCAGGGTTCTCCTCGACAAATTTACCATCCGCATGGCAAGGTACAAACGAGGAGATGTCTGCCTCCTCAAGAGCCCGGACAAGCCAAACTCGTGGATCGTCAAGCGCCTGGTGCTGCTCGCTGTCGCCAGTGATGGCGCGTGCTGAGTGCCGATGCAGATTGCGCTGGAGGGCGACAAGGTCAAGACAGACTCGCAGGGGATCGTTCCGGTCCCTCAAGGCTTCTGCTGGATCGAGGGCGACAACGAAGATAACAGCATCGATAGGTCAGCCGTCCTCCCCCCCCCCCCCTTTCCCTCCCCTTTCTTTTCTCTTCTTCCTCCCTGTCCCCTGACAGTCCCTTGTGCTCTGTCCTGGCATCTTTCTTATCGGCATGGCAGCAAACAGCTCGGTCCTGTTCCCCTCGCTCTCATCCATGGGCGAGTAACGCATGTCTTTTGGCCTCTGAACCGCGTTGGCAAGGTGAGTGAGCGTAGGAGGAGGAGGAGGAGGAGGAGGAGCAGCAGCAGCAGCAGCAGGAGATTGTGGTGGTGGTGGAGGAGGAGGGCAGTGATCGTCGATGATGATTGGCTCGTATAGGTACAAAGGGTCTTTCCAAAGGAGAGAGTATTGATAGGATATCACCATCCATGGCCATGAAACACATGAACCGCATTGCACTGATGCGGATGATGTGAATCCACCATCTCACATCCAAGCAGCAATACAGATAAACCTTGAACCTGATCCCTCCCTCCCTCCCTCCCTCCCTCCCTCCCTCCCTCCCTCCCTCCCTCCCTCCCTCCCTGCTTCTGCTCACTCTCTAGAAGCCACATTTACAACCCGAGATGGCCTTGGCGTCTGTTGTCAGTCAAAAGTCAGCCTCGGAGTATGGCGAGGACAGAGAGAAGACCTATGATGCGTCGGCCACTTTTATGCAGCTCTTCAGCCAGATGCTTTGCCTCCTGCTTGGTTGCAGGAGAGGCGAGCAGGATGTCTGTGCCCTTGCACTTCGTCCTTGTCGAGGGGACCGCCTGAGGGCAAGTTAAGGTGCACAAGTCAGCCATGGACATGAGGGATAGATACGAGAAAGTTGGTCCGCAGCGAGTTGAAGAGGGAGATCAACTCTTTGTTCAGGTCGTCACTGTAAACGCCGTGAAGCTTCATGTCTGTTGTCTCGATGAACGATACGACAATCGCTCCCCCTGTGGCACGTGCCGCTCCGTCCTCGTCGCGGATCACCTCGAACATGGGATCAGCATCAATCAGATCCTGCATGCAAACATCAGACGACGTCATCTGCACCCGCAGACATCAAGACCTTCAGGTACACCAACGCCTCCTCCTCCTCCAACGTCTGCTCCTCGTCCCTGGCTTCACAGGCCTCGAAGGCCGCCTGCATCCTGGCATGGTCGAACCCGCTCCCTATGATGACCATCTTCGTCTTGGGAGTGCTCTCCCACGCCCCCTCGTGCGTGACGTCGACTCGCTGCAGCCCACTGACGTGAAGCTCCAACTTGTGCCGTCGGCATTCAGCGAAGCAGATCAACCCTTTGGCCCTCATGACCAGGTTGCTTCCCAGCTCCTCCGGCAGCAGATCTCCGTACAGAAACCGCTGGAACTTGCGCAGGGACACCGGACCCGTCAGGGACAAGGCAAGAGTCCGGATAGAGCTCCTCTCTTGTTCATCGTGCCCGCCATGGTGCTGGCCCTCGTGGTGAGCCGTGTGATCCTCGAAACCAGCATGCAGCTTCTTGTTGTGAAAGTGCGCATGTCCTCCCACCGAGTAGAGCACTTGACTACCAGTGCCGTCATGCGACATGAACCCTGTGTCCGTGTCACCTCCCCTGCCCATCGTCTCGACATGGAGGTCCATCAGCAGCTCAATGGGGACTCTCCCATACTCCGTCTTGACGATCTTGGCGGACGATAACTTCGATATCTCCCGTTCCACTTCGGACACAGCCTGCTCAGAGCCGAGGAGGTCGACCTTGTTCAGCAGGATGAAATCTGCCGCCGAGATTTGCTGCCGTGCCAGCTTCGTCTCGAGCTGGGAGGAGATGGCGGTTGCGTCAACAACTGTGACCACCAAGTCGAGCCTGCACAGCTTGTTCAAGCTCGCAGCAACAGGACGAGGATCAGCAGCGCCGGAAGTTTCGATGACCAGGTAGTCCACTGTCTCCCTCCGCTCGAGCACCTTCAACACCTCCCTCCTGAGGTCGTCCCGCACGTTGCAGCAAACGCAGCCATTGGTCAGCTCCTGCGTGCAGATGCCGAGGCCGGCGTTGTTGTCGCATGACCTTGATGGTGCCAAGTGAGAGGTCGACGCAGCAGCTCAAGTTCGCCTCTCGCACCTGAGCAGCTCTCCGTCGATGTCGATGGATCCGATCTCGTTGACCAGCACGGCTATCCTGAGGTTCGATTTGTTCCTGCCACAGGAGTCACGTTTCAACAGCAGTCAGAGCATGCGGCCGCATGACTGTACGTGAGAAGATGCCGGAGGAGGGTCGTCTTTCCTGAGCCCTGCCAGGTTCCTCCGTGAGCTGAGGCGAACAAAAGCATGAAAGCGTCAAACCAAGAACCCAGTAACAAGCAACATCGGCAGCTTTTCACGGTGCCCGCCTGTGATTCCCAGGCACCTTCAGGAGATGGTCATGCAGAGTTCGGGATGGGGCAAGAAGGAGATGAGGAGGAACCTGTTCTCGTAGTTGAGACACATGTTCTCCATGGCTGCTGCAAAATAGTGCGGAAGGACTGCGAGGAATCGAGGGTGAGTGAGTGGCGAGTAGGAAAAGAAGGAGCGGAATGCTCACACGCAGCAAGTGATATCGACAGAATCAGGTTTGCCAACCACTTCCTCGTCCTTGTCCTTGTCCTCGTCCTTGTCCTCGTCCTCGTCCTCGTCCTCGACCTCCCTGATCTCGCTCCTTTGCTTTGCTTGTATCTGACCACATCCCCTCTCAACTTTGCCCCTCATCCCTCACTCAATCGCATGTAACGTTCATGATACCACTGGATAACCGTCAAGCCCAAAATGGTGCGGGCGGTAAGGGCAAGTTGGGCACTGGTTATGGCGGCTGTGATCATCGTCCTGGCCAGCAGACTGAGAGGAGAAGGTGAGGAGAGGAGACGAAGAGAGGAGGGAAAGAGGAGACGAGGAGACGAGGAGACGAGGAGACGAGGAGACGAGGAGACCAGGAGACCAGGAGACGAGGAGACGAGGAGGAGAACAGGAGGGTGAGGAATAGAAGGCGAGGAGAAGGTATGTAAGAAGGTGAGAGGCCATTTGGACCATAGATGTGATTTAGGAAAGGTGCTTTCGCAGCAAAGGGATGGTGGGGAAGGGAAGGTGACGCAGAGAAGTGGGGAGACGCCGCATAATGCAGAGCTATGTGGAGGACAAGGGGAGCAATGGTCGTCCGACTACTTACTGTGCTGTAGATTCTGGGAACGATGAGCGTGTAAACAGGAGAAATGTGCTACTTGAACATCCGGCAAAGGTCCTTCATCAGACCGCGCTCATCGACACTGATCCTGGCCTTACAGCTACAAGCGCTAGCACACATTAAGGCAAAGCTTCACGAGCAGCAACAGCGGGTCTCCGATGCAAGGACAGGTTCCCCCCCTCTCTTGTCAAACCATCAGACCTGATGAGACTGCTAGGCGATCGCTCGCGCCCGTTGCCAATGCGGTGCAATCAGCTGCAGATAGTGAAGGGAGTCGTCCAGGTGCCCAAGGGATGCACCAAGTTCGCGCTGGTGAGAAAGGTGATGGAAGAAGCGGAGAGGAAGAAGGGCCTTCAGTTCCACTTGTAGAGTTAGGTGTACATGTTTCATGGTGTTTATTTAGGTTACACAACAAAGTCAAACTAGTTTAACGGCCAGAAGGCTCAGAGACTGCGAGGAGTGAGACTCTGCTGCAAAGTCTTCAACATCTCCCCGAAGCGCTCGAGCACCTGCGGAGTATGAGGACGACGATGAGGGAGGCGCAAGGAGGATAAGGAGGACAAGGACAAGGACAAGGATGGAGGTCGAGGACGAGGACGAGGAAGGAGGACGAAGAGAGGAGAGCGAAGAGGAGGAGAGAAAACGGGCAGAGAGAGGGCTTGCTGTCACCTTGTGCTGCATTTCGCGCTCTAACGCCATGCGGCTCTCAGCCTCCTTCCTCATGATCTCCAGCTTCTCCTCCTCCACCTGGACATGCTCAGTGCAGAGGACCGGCAGAGGGCAACAACCTTCTTGTAGAAGGCAAACTTCTCCTGCTCCAGTGCAAGCAGCTCTGCCGTCACTCCTCCCTCCCTTCGCTCTCTCCTGTCCGACGTAGACGCATGCCTAGCACAACCATGAGCGAGTAGAGGAGGAGGGAACCAAGGAGTCACCGAGAGGAGGAAGCAGGGATGCTCTCCGGCGTCTCCCCGGCCCTCGCGTGATTCCGCTGGGCGAGGAGGCTGTAGGGGTTCTGACTGGTCAAGTTCCCTCGCTCGTATGCAAGCGAGATGGGAGAGACGTCGATGGCAGGGCTGCGAGGACTCGTGGCGCCCTGGACGAACGAGAGGTGTTAAGGCATGGAGGGGAGAGGAAAGGGGGAGGGGATGGAAGGTATGGAGGGAGGGAAAGAGGGGAACAGCAAGGAGAGAGGCAAGGGGAGGAGAACGGAAGTGGCGATAAGGTGGAGAAGAGCAAGCAGTCACGTGAGTTGTGATTGTTGTGTCTCCTTCCGTGGCAAACGATTCTTCCACTTGGTCCTGCCCTCCCATCACTGAAGATCAGAGCGAGTAGGAGGACAGACCTTGGAATCGCCGCCATGGGAGCGTTGGGGAGAGCCGAGGCCAGGAGGAGACGGGGGGTGGCTTGTCTTGACTTTCTTCGCTCCTGGTTCAACCTGGACGACACTGAGAGGACGGTCAAGTGCCAGGAAAAGGAAACCTGATGATCGCCATGCTCATCACTGCGGAGCTTCTTCAGCTTATGGGATTCTGCAGCATCCTCCATGTCCTTGTCCTCCTCTTCCCTTTCATGCTCCTTTACCCCCTTGTCGCTGCGAGCATCTTCAGCTGCCCGAGAGCTCTGAGCTCAGCTCAACCTGTTGGAGGATTTCTTGCACTTCTGGGGCTTGAGCACCTGTTCGATCTCACTGATACAACGGTCCCTGCGTCCCCGTCAGGCTCTCCCCCCTACCCCGCCATCTTCAGATTGCCCACCATTCTTTCGGGTCGACGTCCGGGTATTCCTCCAGCTCAAGAGCTTCTCCAGCCTGACAGACTCTCAGTCATGAGCAAGGCATCCAACACACCTCCAGCTGAGCTACCTGCCAAGAGCTGAGGATGCGCAGCCAGACCTCCCGGCAGAGCTGCCCCGACACGTTCTTGGCTTGCGAGAACTGGGGGAGGAGTCAGGGACTTGCCCACTCGCTCCTCCTTCACCTTGGCGTGAGTTGACTTCTCATGGTTGAAGCGCTGAGCCACTTCTGCCAACGTCGGCCCATGTCAGGGAAGAGGCGAACGCAACTGACTGTCTCACCCTCCCAGCCCCACCGCACGCGCCCATAGCCGAACGGAAGCACCGTAGCAACGATGCGAATGAGGAGCATCTGCGAGGAGATGAGGGAGGCCTGTCGCTGAGAGAAGGCTCCACCTGCAGCGAGGCGTTCTTCTGCAGGCCAGGAGGATTCTTCTTGCGCTTTCCGGCTGCCTCCTCTGATTTCTCCGCTGAGTTTCTTGAAGACTCGTTGGCTTCCATCGAGGATTCTGCGCTGGCGTTTCTACCGCACGATCTCAGTGAGCGCATGTGCGAGAGGTCAACAGGCAGAGACGTGTCAGGGATCGTCGAAATCGACGTGTTCTTCGAAGAGTTCAGCTGATCTCCAGCACCTGCTCAGCACAGCCCCGTCACCAGGGCTCGGGACATGCCTTGCTCAAGCTCGTTCGTTACCTCCTTCCTGAGCCGGACAACTGAGGTCCTGCTCCTTCTCCTGGGACGACCTTCGCTCTGCTTCCCAGCATAAGAGGATGGCAAGGGGTGGCATGAAGGTCACCTGAAGTTTGAGAGACCCCAGCATGATTCTCTTTCCTCTGATGGACCTTCGTTGCTCTCAACGCAAACACGGATAGATCAACACATCTCACCCGCTTCTTGTTCGCCTGGCACGGCGCAGGAGCCTCTCCCTGCTGCTCCTGGTCTTTCAGGAAGATCTCAGCTATTGAAGTTAGTCAGGAGGAAGAACTGGCACCAACAAGAATCGCTACCCATCTCCAGCAGCTGCGATCGTGGAGCCTCTTCTTCAAGACGCGACAACAAGTCAGGGAGGAAAAAGTCCTGGCTAGCATTTTCACCGTCTTTTGCATTGCCTTCCAGACTCGCACTGCAACGGGAGATCGAACGTGGTCAGCATATGAAATGCGGGCGAAGAATGGAGATGGCGATACCTGAGGTTGGTCTCGACGTCTCGAGCAGCATCACAAAGAGCAAGGATAGAAGAGCTCTTGACTTTCCTGACATACTTCTTTCAACATGATCCCACAATGCAGAACCAGATCCAAACCCGCACTTTGATACTTTCTGAACTTGGTTGGGATGAGAGTTTTCCTTTTGCTCGCTCCTTTCTTGTGAACCTTTCAGCCTGACATGTGCTTTCTCCGCCATCGAGTCTACAGGATGGCGAGACAGAAAGGCGTCAGACGGTTGCAATCCCAAGAGGGAAAACAACACTCACTAGCCGACTGAAGCGACGAAGGAGACGAGGAGGATGCTGGTTTCATCGCGACGACCTAAAGAAATGGGAACGTGAGCGAAGCTTGTTGCCATTGATTCGTCGCAACGTAGAGTATCAAGATCCATGTACAAGCGTTTCCTCCTTCATCTCATCTGCTACCATCTTTACGTGCTCCACCCCTGCTCGCTTCCTCCCCCTCCACTTCCTGATTTTCTTCACCTCATTGCCCATCTTTGGATTCAAATAGTACCCCTACCCCTCCAAAAATCACCGGTTGCTCCAGCTACCCCTCCTTTGTCGATAAAAATGCTGGTTGCTGTTGACATATATTGACCACCCCTACCGCCTACTTCCACCACGTTCTCGACCTCATCACTTTGCTCATTTTGCACCGACCGCAAGGAATTCAAAATGGCGTGGTAAACCAAGTGCGCAACCTGGCCGTAGTCTACTCCAGTCGCTGGGTAGCGAACAAACTGATGGGCCTCGTACGTCCGGCAGTTAGATCGCAATGCCAATAGAAGGTTGCGGTTCGCGTGAAGTCAGGCAGGGATGAAAGGTGGCCTCAAGCCTGTTTACTAGATCAACTTCTACAGCTCCAACACTCATTGGTTAAATTCTCCGCCTTTTGGCCTTAACAGCACCATCAGCATTCAGACGTTTGGATCCAGAATCTCTGTCATCCATCGCCTTCGTATTCTTGAGACGATTGATGGCCTTGTCCCAAGCCGTACCGGACAGATCATGTGAAGCACTAGCTCTTCCTTTCACGGGAGTCATGGCCTTGGACCGACTCGACGCAGGATTGGGCGACAATTTGACAGGAGTCTCCTTCTTCGAGAAGGGGAGTGCATCTCCATCATCCTCGTCGTCGTCAATATCAAACGGCGCCTGGAAAGACACTGGTCAAGGGGAGATACTTCCACATTGCAACACAGGTATTACAGATATTCTTGGAGTTGACGGTTTGGAGTCCGATCGTGCTTTTTTGTCGCTCTGTTTCGAGCTATGAGCTGAAGACTACAGATAAAATGTGACCAAGCTTGCCGACAAGAGAAACAAGCGAGAGGGATCGAGAAGAACTCACCAAAGAGGACGACTTGGTTGTCTTGAGTTCAGCCTTGACACCCGAAGCAGGTGACTTAAAGCTAGAAGCAGGAGATTTGACACTCGACGCTGGTGACTTGACACTTGAAGCTGGAGATTTGACACTCGACGCTGGTGACTTGACTGGCGGTGTAGCTCCTGACAATCTTGAAGGGGCTTTCTTCATGGGTACAGAGGGCGAGCTTTTCTCTGGCGAAGGCGGCGCATGCAAATGTTTGGCAGGCCATCGCCACTCCTTGCCCTCTTCTCCAAACTGCCGCGCAAGTCAGATCCCTTGATCGATCGTGGGAGTAGAGCAAAGAGCAGAGCATAATCAGCAACCCACCTTGTATGTCTCCGTCCAATCCCCCTGCTCATCTGAGCTTGTGACCTCAAAGTGCAAGTCGAAAGTCTTCTTCTTGGCGTTCACTTTGATGATCTTTCCTTTCAGCCATTCAAGCTTTCCAGTATGGGGATTTTCCATCTCAGCTTCCACCATAGCACCAACAGCAATCTTCTTCGCTGTTTCTTCAATGTTATCTTCCGAAGCTTTGACTCTCTTGTCTGGAGACTGGGCCGGAGTTAATCGATCCCTTGTCTGCAGGCCTCCTCGCGGTTGAGATGGTGTTTCCAATGGCCACCTCCACTCCTTGCCCTCTTCGCCAAACTGCCGCGCAAGTCAGATCCCTTGATCGATCGTGGGAGTAGAGCAAAGAGCAGAGCATAATCAGCAACCCACCTTGTATGTCTCCGTCCAATCCCCCTGCTCATCTGAGCTTGTGACCTCAAAGTGCAAGTCGAAAGTCTTCTTCTTGGCGTTCACTTTGATGATCTTTCCTTTCAGCCATTCAAGCTTTCCAGTATGGGGATTTTTCATCTCAGCTTCCACCACGGCGCCGACGGCAATTTGGCGACTAGAAGATGCATATTTCACCTGATGGCATGTCATACAACATAGCTTAAAGCACGAGCTACCTGTTCAGGCACGTCGTCCTCTGGATCTGGAGCTTCATCATCTACAGAAAGATTCTTGGTAGATCCAGCGCTCTTCCTGTTTCTCTTTGTTTGCGGTGAAGACATATCGAATGGTTCAGATGTTTCATCATCCGATTCCTTGACCGTGTCATCCTTTGAAGAAGATATCCTTTTCTTTGGATTTGCTTTGCGCGATTGCAGAGTATAATCAACTCCATAGGAATCATTCGGCACAGCTTGATCACCCTCGCGAAAGATTTTGCTATCTACTAATCTTTGCAAAGATCCAGCGAATCCCTTGGTGCCATGCTTTCGATTAAGTCCTATCTTGATGAGTAGTCTCTGGCCAACCTCGGTGATCAAACCGACATTGCGAGTGAGGATTGATCCAGGGACATCTCCTGCCAAGTCCATTGGAATAGAACATTTTCGGACATACTCAAAAATTTGGAGTATGGCTGAAGTATTCTGATCGTCTGCAGGCAGTTGAGAAATAGCCGAAAGATAAAATTCAAGGCATTTTTTGAAGCACATGCTGGCAGTGGTGCTCTCAACTTCAGGGTTTGTGTATTCTTCGTGGAGAACAAGCATGAAAATCAGCCATGGCAAAATTCGCTCTGGAAGTATAGACAGATTTGCCTTACCAGTATGAGTCTTAAGACGATTCATCAATAAGACAACGTTGCGTAAATAGGATTTGCCTTGATCAACCACATTTGAATCTGTATCATTTGCCACCATAGCAAACATACTCGCGTAATAAAATGGTAATTTCCCCTGCTGTTTGGCAGTACCTTTGTACAATTTTTTCAAGATGGTCGATTTCACTTTTGAGTCTTCATCATTCAAAAGCCGGGACAACGTTAGAAAGGCTTGTGGAGGAAACAAATCCAGCATAGATTTAGCTATCTTGATTAAGCAAGATCCAGCAACAAGCCTCAAGGTGGCCCTGTCTGGCTTTGCAGTGCTTCGATCTGTAGACACTTCTCCTTGTTCTTGAATGATATTTTGTATATGATCAAGTAGTGTCTCAGCCACTTCTGTCTCCAAGTCGCCATGGGAAAGGTAAATAGAAATCAGCTTGATCCCCTGGACCCTGGCCTGCATGTGGATATTACGATCCTTTTTGCTTGAAGAATGATTTGAAGGTGCATGGAGAAGCTTCTTGACAACGAACTTCTCAATAGTCGTCTCGATGCTAGGAGAAAGCTCTGGATGCACCTTCAGGACTTCGACAAGGACTCTGAGAGTGGACGGAAGCCCAGGTCCAAAATTCAAAGCCTTGACACAGTTGTCAACGAACTTCTTCCCATCTGCAGAAAAGCTTTCTTTCAATGACAGGAGACTCCGAATCGCATATTTGGCCACCATCCATGAATCATGTGAACAGTAATTTTCAAGCTTGGAAAGAAAGGACTTGTTTTTTCGAAGACGATGTAGATCTTTGCCAGTCTCACTTGTGATCTTCAGTAGGTATTCCAGGATTTCTGGATCCTCAGTTGGTGATTTCATCAAAAGAGATTCCAGAATAGCCTCTTCGTTGCTAAACATGGTGGCAAAAATTTTGGCCTGTACTGCAAGTACGGGAAGGCCCTTCTTCGCTCTTAATACCATGTCGGAGTCATCATGCTGCAAACACTTGAGGACATTCTGGATAAAGGTAATTCCAAAGTGATTGTCAATTAACTTTGACAACAAAGTCTTCATAAAACCTGAAACTGGATTTCTGGGTCCCAGTTTTTTCATCACATCGTCATGCAACTTTTTGAACTCCTCAGCAGTTTTTGATTGTTTGGCCATTACCTCCAAGTTCTCCCAAATTTTACCAGTTTTGATGTCTCGTAATTTCATGATGGCTTCACTGGCTGCAGAAGGATCGGCAAAACTGGAGGAAATCTTGGAAATCAAGCTTTCCTCGGTCTTGTCGTTTTCATCTTCGTCAATCTCCATCGAGGATTTTGTTTGCAATTGACTGAACTTCAAAAAATTCTCCAAGAAAAGATGCTTCGATCGCAAAAGATTGAACATTTGATCCTTTCCCTTATGGTCCAACAAGCAGAAGAAGTCCAATGCCAGGTCATGAGAAGGCCGTCCAATGTTTTCCTCATTCAAGCAAATATTTTCAAGACAGTGCAAAGCATGAACTCGTGACTCCTGGTCTAAAGTTGAAATCGAAAGAATCTTAGAAGGAATCCAAGCATAGCGCTGCTCTGAAGCATTCGTTAAATCAAAATATTTGTATGGAGCACAATATTTTTGCCACAAATTGGCTAGGCCCTCCAATGCTTTCTTCCTCACACTTGCTTTCTTATCCATCACTCGTTCAGAAACATACTTCAGAAACTCCGTAGGGATAGTTTCTGGATTACTCAGAGAAAGGTCGAAGACGGCACTCACAGACTCACAGCGAACTCCTTCGTCGGAATCGATGACTAGGAGGCGCATGGGTGCATCTCTTTCGTCGCCATTGGCAACCCAACTTTCCTCCATGAATGCCTTGGAAAGTTCTGGTCTCTTAGAAACGAGGTGGTGAATGACTGAAGCCATCGACTTGCGCACGTCGGGGTCTTTGTCAAAGGTTCTCCTCTTGAATTCGGTGAACACTTGTGAAAAATCCAATTGGAAGGTCCCGACTGAAAAAATAGCTCCAAGCAATTTTACCGCCTTGATTCTAAGACTTGGATCTTCCATGGTCAGGTCTTCAGTGTATGCAGGCAGAACCTTCGAGTTTGAGTCAGAGAATATAACACTGAAATGCTGTACCTGAGTCAGAACGCGAGGAGCAACAGTGCTCAATTCGTAAACAGCCTCTGCCAGCCGTTCACCATTAGCCAGTTCACTTTCAGTTTGAAATCCTGCTTTGATCTAGAGGGGAAACAATCATCTCTCCATAGTCAGAATATGTATACAATTACCTGGTGAAGCTGTCGCTCCAAAAAGTATTGAAAGTGGTTTTCACAGGAGGCGATGACCGTCTTCATCATACTATAACCATTGGGATTTTCTTTTTTCTCATGTTGACAGAGCGCTCCCACAACAAGATCCAGCAGCTGAATTTCATGATACTCGGTTTCTTCAATGACACTGCATAGGATACTTGTAAGGTGCTCTGTCACTTTGGATGCTGAACTATGGTTGGGCATGTTTCCAACTAAAGTGTATGCTGCTTTTGTGAGCTCTAACATCAACTCATCACGGAATCCAATGAGCTCGGGAATTATACTGAATATTGAGATCGTGCTCAGTCGTTCCAAAAGGTAGAAATGGATACTAGAATGCAATTGAGTCAACCAAGGGGAGTTCTTCGATCAAAACATTGATTACCTGTACGAGGGATGCTGTGTATTCATGTCTGGGTTCTCAAAATCTCTCAAAATTTTGATAAAAAGCTTCATGATGTCGGCACAAATTTGCTCCTCATATGGAGGGTCAGGTGCGTAGATTCGAAGCACATCAGCCAATGCACAAGCAACCAACAGCCGCACGTCCTTATTCTTATGTTCTACAAGCCAATCCTCGCCAAGGGAAGATGAGAGCTGCCCAATTTCTGCAGATTTCATCAGATGGCAACAAGGAGACAAACGAGATACAACCTCTTTTAGCCTGCTCAACGATTTCATCTTCATCTCCGTACGCTTCCAATACTTCAGTGGCAACCTTGAAGAAACATTAAACACTCTATTTCTAACACTTTGTGAATCACAAGAACCTTTAATCTCTTTATTAGTTCACTGTTTCCCAGCTGGCGATCCAGAAAATCAGGTTGAAGCGCTGCTTCTTTGGAATGAACAGATCTTGATGCAGATTTGCTCATTGCAAATATTTCACAATGTGACCAACTTTGTTGGACTTTTCAAGCACGAGAAACTGAAATTGGTTGACGAATAATTCAAGTTTGATTCCGGCGCAATTAATCTATCTGTCAATACAGAATCAGGTTGATGAAACACAACGAAGAAAGTTCGGAAATTTGCAAGAATTTGCACCAAGAGGAAGCTTAAGGACATTACGAGGGAGAAACAACCACAAGAGATCGAAGGAGCAGAACAAAGTCGCAGATATAATCAGAGATAAGTTGAAGATACTCTTCCATGGGAAGGAAGTTTGGTCAAGGAACGGCATAGGTAAGCGGCAGGACATTGGAGCGCGGCAAACTTTTTCCCGCCTTTTGGAAGGCCCGGAAGAGCACCCTACAATCTGACTGCAAAGTACCCCACCCCTTCGTCATTGGAGATTGCCCACCCTCACAATTGAATAGCCTCACCCCCCCTTCCCTATGAAAAAGTCCCACCCGTACCCTGGAAAAGTGGCGGGAACTTGTCCCGGGCCGGAGAAACTTATCCTTTAATCGACAAAAGGACTCCCGAAGGAGTCCTGGACCAGCATGACAGGGGTCGTTGATAGGTTTCAATCACCCATCCAATGGGGCTGTATGAGGGTCTTAAAAAAGAAAAAAAAAATTCTTCCCGCCTCCGACGGAAAGTTTGTGGCTCTCGTTTCGTCTTCCCGCCATTACAGAGTTTGCGGTCCGACAATACACTGAAACGATGGTAATGAAAAAAATGTAGCGACTACCTGCTATCTAACATGGTTTCGCCAGACTAACATACTATAACATGCCGAGGAAGAGAAAACGAATTACAGATGATTCAGACAACGGTCAAGAAATAAGTTATTCAAAACCATTCACGAGAGTCGTCAAATGTGGGTTATACTCGAGACTCAAGGTAGAGAACAGATCGATTTTAGACGTGATCGACAGATGGGTATTACATATCAGTCACGTCACATCAAGAGGCAGTATGATATTCAACTGTTTTCTGATATGGGGCAGGGATACAGGGAATTTACGATATGTAGTAGATGAAATCAAGAGAGCCAAATCGACATTTTTCTGGAATGTTTTTACACTTGGAATGGAACAACATAGCCGTACAGATAACAAGTATCCAACTCTACAACGTTTCTGGTCAGAGAAAAGACATCTTTTCGTTGATTTATGTAGAATTCGAGGAGACTCGCAAGCTATTGTATTCGCTGCAAATCAATATGGAACGAATTTCTACCAAGACCTGAAAGCAAATTTTACAAACCGATTGGAAAAGTTCATTGCCGAATTCTGCAAAGGAGAGTTACATATTAACCATCAGCAAGAAATCGAAGACGTGAAGAATGTATTGTTTCAAAGGAAAGATTACGAGTTGAAGACAGAAGTGTTTAACAGGAATAATTCACAGCAGATAGGAACCTTCATCGACCATATGAAACAACTAATTGGATTATCGGGGGACGAAGATCTTTTTAGTTTCAAATATGACAAATTTGATCATAGGTTGCAGAAAAATCTGTTTGAGATAATCGAGACACACATGTTCATGTTGAAGTTCTTCGAAGATCGTGGTCTCTCGAAAAAAACATTCAAGGCAGCACCAATGTCGAAATTCGGCAGAAAACATCTAACAATCGATAATGATGTGATGTATTACATTTTGAAAGAAGCGAACAGTTTGAAACCGGGAGAAGATAAAAAATCGTTCATGAGAATAGATCAAACTTTGGAGAACTCTAGGAATTTCAGAAGGATTTTCGACTGTTCGAATCTGTTCAGAGATCAGAGAGAGGAGATTACAAGTATCACGACAGACGGTGTATCGGTTTGTTTTCGATTCACGCTGATTGTCAAAACAATCGATGGACTCGAACAGGAACCTTCATTGCGCACTACCAAATGGCTTGCCGATAGAAAAAGGGCTGAACGGAAATCGGCGAAGAAGATATCAATATCATACAAAGTATTACATGAAAATTCAGAATACCAAAGAGAGATCGAAGAATGTAAAAATTGCCCAAGGGTAATTGCGATCGACCCTGGGAGGAGCGTCATTATATCGGCCGTCGAACAATTCAGAGATGATCAACAAATAATCAGAAAAAGATTTCAGTTTTCGAGAAAACAATATTATCACGAGTCACATCTGAATCGCAATAAAAAGAAAAGAAAGACGTGGGATCAAGATATTCAATCGACATTGCACTATCTCAAGGGGTTCTCGAGTAAGTCTGGCGGCAGTCTATCAAGATTCGAAGACTATCTTCTTGCAGTTACAAGTCATTGGGAGGAGTTAACTTCGCATTATTCAAAGCGAAAATACGCCAGGATGAAATTCGACATCTACATTTCGAAACGAAAGTCAGTCGACAGGTTTATCCGTACAATGAAAGGAAAGGGAGAAATAGAACCTGTTATCGCATACGGAAATGCAAGGTTCCCGTCTATAGGACGTCGAGGAGAAAGGCCTGTACCGGTCAGGTGGATAAGAAGAAGATTCGAGAATCACTACAGAGTCGTAGATGTTGACGAATACCGTACTACCAAGTGCTGTAACGATTGTGGTTCTGAGCTCGATGTGCTTCGACGGATTGAAAATACAGGGAAAGAACCAGACGAGACCTGTAGGTTGAAAACAAGGAAAAGTGAAGTACGAGGATTGAAATTTTGCAGATCATCGAGGTAATGTCAAGTTTTGTATACTCCTGTAATTCACCTTTTCATCTAACTGTTATCGTGACAGCTGTAAAGGAAAGCCGATCAAATCCAGGGACTTGAATGCTGCACTGAATATACTCACTTGTTTCAATGTGTTTCCTGAAAGACCGAATCACCTACGTCGCCCCTGAGGTGAATTCAATGATTGTTGTCGCCCCCTCCCTACCCAGACTGCGTCCCTCGGGACTCGATGCCTAATTCCCTGCCTGCCTGCCTGCCCGGTGCCTGCCTCCATTATGATCCGATGTTTACGACATGTGATCATTGAAGTGACTGACTGGCATCATTTGGTAGGATTCATGTAAGGCTCCAACAACATCCGAAGACAATTTGGCAAAAAAAAACAACTGCCGTTGTATGACGGAGAGTCGCGGCTCTCAATCATACGACGGCAGTTCTGTGCGAAAACTTAGTTCGTCGTTCAGAAGGGTATTCACATATTCCGTCACATCATGAGGAGAGTACCCGTGGTAGATAGATTCGTGGCGTTTATCTATTAAGTGGATTCCTAAACCTAAACCCCTCCTAGTCCGGGCCCGGCAGGGAGTCCGGCGGGGCGCCGCCCGTCTCATATGCAAACTTTGTGACTCAGTTCATTCAACTTGCCAAGTCAGTTGAACTGAATATGCCACAGTGACTTCAAGTGCCCCCGGGCCACCGCAGCGGCCTGATATTTGAACCTCCAGTTCTTCCTTGACATCACTAGAAAGACTCCGATAATGATTGGACCGTGCCAGTGGCGGCGCTAAGGCATTGGATCATGAGATGTTTGCCAGTGGCCCGGGTCCGGGTCGGCGATGTCGGATCGCCGGAGTCGGACGCCCGGCCGGCGGCGTCCGGCATGACAGTGACCACTGTTCAATCAAACCGCTAGTAGGCGGCCGACTCGAGCGGCCTGAGTCCCCTGGCAGTCCCGGGCGCGGCCGCTGCAGTGCCCCCCGATCTGTCTGTTAGTAGTCACGTGGTCGGACTGACTCCGCCAGCCGGGCCCGGCCGCCGGGGGCCCCGGCGGCGGCCGGCCCCGGGGGGACCATGGACCTACCTCGACCCCTTTGTAGCTTCTCTGTAGCTAGTAGTCGGAAAAGACCCCCAATGGACCGGAGAGTACCCCTACATTTCATAATATTGAGGAGGGTACAGGGATAATCCACGGTACCTCCGATAGTAGTGCCGACGAAATGGAACATGCCAGCGAGCTCTATGATTAGATCAGCAGCCGCTGAGGACTCTCAGGAGGAGAGGAATAAACGTGGCAGAAGAGGGATCAGAATACAGTTGATAGACAAGAGGAACGAGCAGCTGGGTATTCGCATGAGACCAAAGAGGAGAGGCAGAGGGAAGAGATGCAAGGGAACCTGGATGTGGTGCGACATAATGAGGGTGATCGGTGTGACCATGGACGGTTGAGATTTAAGAATGCAGTGTAAACTGCTGGTGTGATCAAGAGGCATGTAAGAATGGGAATGCACCGTCATGCCATCGGAAGAGAGAAAAAGTACAATGGACGATTTAATTGTCTGGTTGAGTGATGATTCAGGATATTCCCGCGTAGATGTCAATTCCCCAATGATTACAGGACACTGACTCGTTTGCTTGCTAGATTCGGGTGTAACAGTACTCAGCATGAGCGGTACCCCTCGGTCACCTTATGAATCGATGTCATGGAGCTCGCCGAAATCTCCGATGCTTCAGTCCTTCGACGCGGGCTCGATTCAAGCAAAGATGGACACTTTCTGTATGGTTCAGAAAGAAACAGTGATGATTGAAGAGCTAGAAAGACTGAATCAGGTGGTCTTCGAGGGGATCAGCACGTTATACAAATCTCCCCAGAAGGATGATGCTTCGACCTTTGGAGTTCGCATTGGACTAGAGACCCAAGACTGTAAGCCAACACAGGTCAAGTGTGTGCTGCCAGGATCATGGGCCTTTGAGAAAGGAGAGATCCTATTTGGAGATGAAATCACAGCAGTTGATAATCGTCCAGTATAGATTGGAACTCTTTCTACCTCTAGTTTGAAAATATTTGCAGGTAGACGAGAATAACATTCTTCAAAACATGATGGGGAATGGTGCCATCGGATCCAAAAGCATCATCTCTCTGAAGCGAAACGGCATTGTCAAGTAGTTTTTTGTTATTCACATTCTCGCTCGAATGATTGTATCATGTAGAAAAGCAACGCTGGTGAGGACATCTCAGAATCGCGTGGACAAGATTGAAGAGATCTTCAATATGGTCAAAGAAATCAAAGATGTCTTACGCCAAGATGATTACCAGCACCTATTGCCCTGTCTGGAGATAATCTTACATAATGTCCAAAATCTGGAGCTTTCTTCGCTGGAAGATCGAGGTTTGCAGAAAACTAGTGCCATTCCAACTTAGTTCGGCCTGATCCTCGTGTGACAGCACAAACTCTTCAAGAGTTTTCTTCTCTCCAAGTCAATGTCGATGCGACAGTTGCGAGTTTGATCGAGATGATTCGAGTAATACAAGACGAGAAGCATCAGATGAGGAACTGGCTTGAAGCGATTAGACAGGAGCATGACTCGTCCAAGGTATGTATCACCATCCAAGTAGTTTTTCCATGGCACATGAATAATATTTTTCTTGGCCAATTAATGTTTTTCTTTGCGAAGGACAAATTGAATAGCCTTGAAACAAAAATGGAAATGGGAAAGAGAGGTTCCGAATCAATCAAGTCACATTTCGAGGATCTGCGTAGGGAGCTGTCCAATGTTAGGGAGGAAAACTTGCTTCTGAAGCAAGAAATCTCCTCTTGGAAGGTAAAATACGATTCATACTATCTCCATTCCAACAGATGGGTAGGGAAAAATGGAAGCAAAGGATGGCATGCTGGATCAAAAAAACTTGGAGATTCAAGAAATCAAGAAGTCGATGGTTGCTAATGCAGAAATGGTAAGGTTTTGTATCATGATCGCAGAATTTTGAAGTTTTGACGTACAGATAACAAAGAATCACCAGAGTACAGACGCATTCAAACTGGCGACTTACTTGGAGAAAGTTGCGACAGTGAAGCCGCAAGGATTGCTCGAGAAACTACAAACAACCAAAGTCACAGGAGGTATTCCCTAATTCGAGGTTTATGAGATTTCCTTTCTGAAGTCTTTCAATCGCAGACGACATCAACAAAATATTGGACATTGCAATTCTCCAGAATCATCTTGACGTCGAGGACATCATCGCAGCCTCGTTTGCTTTCAGCGATACATCGAGCCCAACAATTGTCAGGATGAAAAACTTGTATAATCAAGGACGTCTAGAAAGTTTGCAGCATGTCATCCAAGATCTTGACTCGCAGTTGTCTAGATGCATGGATGAAATCATTCTTATGAGAAGAAGGGTAAGTCTTGATATTGCTGAAGCTCTGTGACTGTTGTTTGTCAGGTTGAAAATTTGGAAGGTGACCTCTCGCTCCGTTTGTATCTTGAGTGACAAACATGTTTGGGATTTCAAGACTGTACCAAGGATGCAGTTGTTGAAATGGTGATAACAAGCATTACGTCAATGTCTGGCATAATGAGATGTCCTTTGACCAGGCCGAGGATATAACAAATCTAACTCGACAGGTTGAAGATTTCTGTAATGATTTACAAGTTCAGCAAAGTAGGAACACAAGTCTGGCAGAGAAGCTAAAAATCACAAAGGACATGATCAAAACCATGATCCCAAAAACCGATTACTACCAACTTTTGGTAACGATCAAGATATCTGGAATGTTCTTTACAAAATTCCACATTAGGAAGAGAAGAATGCAGCGAAAGAAACATTGCGTCAGAATGAAATGACCATCGGCGACCAAGATAATGAGATCAGGTAACGAGATCGGTCTATGAGGACTTTAATCTGGAAATGACCAATCGTGATGGCAGAGATTTGAAACAGCGGATCAAGATGAAAGACAACGAGATTGAAGGCTTGAAATACAAACAGATGGAATTGGCATCCCAGGACAAGGTGATTGAGAAAGCTGAATTCGTCATCGATGGTTTGACCTCAGCAACAGAAACAGCCGGTCAAGCAAGTGCTGAGCGAGGAGGAATACGTGACGTTGATGACAACGTTGAAAGAGAGCACTGACATTCAGTGAGTGCATTTTTGGAATGATCAATAATTGATGATGCTTCTTGTAGAGTGATCGAGTTCTGTCAAATCATGGACTGCATCCTGAGGAAAGAGCGACTGAATGCAACTGACCTCTGCATGCTGCTGGAACGGATTGACAGAGAAAGATCACCTTTACATATTTACTCGCTGCTATCAGTGCTCGATGGCCCGCCATCCAGATCGATCGACGAGGTCAAGGTCATCATACAAGAGCTCAACGATGGGACCGGCCTGTCGCTAGGGACCCTGCAGAGGATTCTTTCAAAGCTGAGGTTCAGCTTCCCAGATCCTCAGAAGCTTGAGAGGTGGCTTGAACAGAGCGAAGAAAACCTGGAGCGATGCCCCATCCCTTCGGATCATGATGAGATGAACGATATGAGGCGGCAGCTGCGTGAACTCCAGAAGAAGATCTCGCAAGGTTTGCATCCTCCTGCACTCACACCTTCATGACGTTTCCCTCCCAGACGAATCGCCGTCATCCCCAGTGATAGCTCCTCCCGGGGGCTCCTTCCAGACGGATCACATGCACGTGGTCCTTGCTTCGGCCACTCCCAACACCGTCATCTACTACTGCACCGACGATCGGGAGCTGAGCCTCAGCAATTACGAACAAGCAGGAGCCTCGCCCATCCGCATCACCCTCAGGTCTTCGTGCAGGCTCAAGGCGTTTTGCCTTTCACATGGCGGCATAAGTGAGACTGTATCGGAAACTTTTTACTTGCAAGAATAAAGAAGCTCTCCTCCATCTGCCCTCGAGAAAGCATTCGATCAAAGATGGCTGATAGGTTGTGTGTGAGAGGACGCATATGGTACTCGAGGATTATACTGGCTGCTCAACAGGAAGTTGTACATTTCACGCTCGGACCTGTTGCATGGCAAGTGAACACCGATCCTTGGCACAGCGTACGTGCATTCTAAAAAAGTGGATTTTCCTCATCAAACATCATGATTGGGAAACCCTTGCTTCAATGGAATGTTGAATCGATATGAATACATCGAAGATCAAGTCAACATCAACATGTCGTTTGGATGTTCTTGTGTTTTCTGATCACGATCGTTGCGTTTCATCCATCACCTTGCGAACCACGACCTCCTGCAAATCCTAACCACCCCACCCCTCTTTCCCCACTGAATTAGTAGGAGCAACACCGGTTTATGTGGGGACGTGACCTCCCTCTATCCGATCACCAGTAGCAAAGTTTTAGTTATTGGCGGGCAGTTGGAGGAGTACAGAATGCCAGACAGGCGCACGAAGGAGCGAGGCGAGGAAGGGAAGGGAGGAAGGAAGTAGCATGGGAGAGGATCGTAGGGGAAAGGAGGGAGGAGACATTGGTAGTGGCACCATGCCGCTATGGAGCTTGTGAAGACGTTCGATGAGCAGCAAAGGGTGTGTGTATCCTTTTGACGATCCTGGGATCTTTAGGCGGCAAGTAGGTTTGAAGGGACCAAGGGGAGGAGGTGGGAGAAACCCAGCTCAATTCTGACACTCTAACGAGCTAAACGACCGATGGAAGCGTCCGAGACGCTGAAATGTAGCCAGAACATTGAGGGGTTGATAGGATAAGCTCCGTTGGACAGCTGAGTGTAGTAGACGGGGAGGTAGAGGAGGCGGAAGAACTGCTTTCGGCTGACACATTTTCAAAGGTGATCTTCCAGCTCATACCCTGAACGTGACCTGAATGTCGGGGTTAGCTCCTGCCAAATGATCGAAAGGTGGCATCGGGCCTGACAAGCTCCTGGGTAAAATTGTCAAAGAAAGACGCGCGGAGAACGTATCTACAAGGAAGTGCTTTCCTCCACAGGATGCAACTGTTTGTGGTTGGAGCAGGAGGAACATGTGTAGCTCACGCAGATGCTCATGAGTCAGTCAGCGATCTGAGGAAGAGGATATGCCCAAGCGTCAGACTAAGACTCACTTACGCTGGGCACGAGCTCGAGGACAATTTAAGCTTGCAGGAAGCCGGTCTCCGAGAGAGCTCGACTCTGTTTGCATCCTGTAAGCTTGTCGGGGGAGGGTCTGGGTCAAGCCTTCTGTTCGGCAAGGGAAAGAAGAAGACGGGGGAGGAGAAAAGGAAACAGTACTCTAGATATCGCTCGTTGTCCATGTTTGATGAACGCGATCTTGGTTTCGGAAGCCAGATCGCAGCTGAGCGAGAGAAAATCCTTGAGATGGTAGACAAGGCGACGAAGGAAACATCTGGTACACGTCTTGACGGCATCAGGGGGTTTGAAGTTCCTCGGAGCAGCAGAACCGAGTGGGGGTCGATGTTGCTTGTTGTGACCCCAGACGATGTGAAGGAGCAGGAGGACAGGAACTTGAACTTACTCCTCCGAGGCTGCCTGAAGGACTTCCAGGGGGATGTAGCTGCTTACAACCGGAGACTCATTGTCAAAGTTCTGATCTCAGCGACCGAGGACTGCGAGTGGGAGAGGGAGATAGTGATGAAGGACGTCGTGCCGTTCTGGCAAGAGCTCTGTGTCATTAACGATGTTGGGCTGGTTGTGTTGGACCTGCGCCTAGGGATGGACATCGACTTCAGAAACATACACACGTATGAGGAGATGGTGATGGGTGAGGTAAAGTCTTCTCACGCCAACGTTTCTCATCTGTTTCACCTCTTCTTCGTGGGACGCAAGTACGGTCTAGTGTCGTTCCCTGCAAGGATAGGAAAGCAAAGGTTTGAGGAGCTGGTCAAGCTTGTGGACGACTCGGGTGATAGGAAGCTTGTCAAAGAATTCTTCTCGCTGGACGCAAATCAGCTGAGCTCGCAGGGGGTAGGAGCGGATGAGAAAGCAACGGAGGGGCAAGAGTATGTCCTGCAGATGACAAAGCTGGATGAAGATTGGAGGAAGAAGTACGACAAGATCAGAACGGCTCTCATGCAGGCAGCGAACAAGTTATGGAAGATGGAAGTTGCCAAGAACGGAGAAGATCTTCAAGACGACGAGCTCAAGTCGATGATGATTGGGATGGTGGAACGTGAGTTCGCCCAGTCGCGTGCTCTGCAATCCTCTTTCAGCGGAAAATTTTCACAGCTGGTCTTCCATCGCAACCTGCTGGGGCTGGAGGCAGCAAAGGTCTCTGATCCTGCATACGAGAAGTTTGTCGACGTGAAGGAGGGAGGGGTGGTGGACGAAGAAGCTCAGGAGCTTCTCAGAAACTTTTTGAACTCTCTGCCCCCCACTGCAATCAAGTTTGACTACCTTGTGCAAACCTTCGACAAGACTTGCGGCCTGAACCCTCAGCACAATGAGGAGCACGCGAGTTACCTAGCGAGGATGTGTGACGACCTGTGTCGGCATGTGAGCATTGCTGTGCAAGAGAGCGCTAAGATGAGAGCTGCGAACTGCGACGATGTGGAGGTGGAGGTGAAAAGCCACGTGGAGTTTGCCATGAAGGAGGCGGAAAAGTTCTGCTCTTCCCAAGAGGCAGAGGCGGTGATGGAAAACGTCCGCCTCTACCTCCGTGACGAGTCTCGCAGCAGCATGCACGTCCTTGGCCGCGCGGGGTCCGGCAAGACAAGCTTAATGTGCAAGCTGGTGAAGGATGTGATGTGGGAGCAGGAGAAGGGTTGTGTTCTCGTCCGCATCGTTGGGGCGTCAAAGCGTTCGAAGACGAGGGTCGGGCTGTTGCGGAGCATCTGTGAACAGCTACGGAGGGCGTACGGGAAGGAGGAGGAGGACGGGGACATCTCTGTGCTGCCCCTGCGCGACATTGTCTCCTACTTCCGTCGAGCAGTGAGCGAGTGGCCCAGCTCGCATCTCCCGCTCATCTTGTTCATCGACGGGGTGGACGAACTGGAGGAGAGCTACTCCAAGTCCTACCTCGACTGGCTCCCGACCGCTGCACTCCCTCCCCATGTCCGCATCGTCCTCACGCTCGCCGACGGCGATGGCCAGGGGCAGGAGCAGATGAATCATGCGGGAAGGCCGAAGGACCTGACGCTGATGTGCGTGAAGGATGTGAAGGCTTTTGTGAATCAGCTACTGTTGAAGAGCAGGAGGAGGATCACCAACGACCAGTGGTCAGAGATCTCTCAGGCGGTGGCTCGCAGGGAGGAAGCGTGCTCGACCCTCTGGCTCTCGCTCGTGGCCTCGCTGGTCCAGGAGTGGCCTTCCTCCGTGGGTGTCCTCTCCTCTATCAACCCCTCGCTCAACGGTCTCATCATCGACCAAGTCGATGCTCTCCAGGCGAAGCATGGGGTCGAGCTAGTCAGGGCAACCTTCTGCTACTTCACCCTCTCCAGCGCTCACTTCCTCCACGAGCAAGAACTGTTCCATCTGCTCTGCCTCCAGGACGACGTGCTGGCTGAGGCGTACTTCTGGTCCGTCCCTTCCATGCGCATCCTCCCCCCTTTCCTTGTCAAGTCACTCCTGCATGACGCTCGTCCTCTCCTCTACCGCTACTCGGATGGGAGGAGGGACGCGAGCTTGTGCTGGAGGCATAGCAAGGTAGAGGAGGCGATTGAGAGCTGGCTCTTCGGCAGCGCGATGGGCTACAAGGAGAGGATCCAACGGCACAGCGAGCTAGCAGATTTCTTCGATGGCACATGGAGCAGGAGGATGAAACCTTACACGGGTAAGCTGCGTGAGCTGCTCCAGCAGAGGAACGAGCAGGCAGGTGACCGGCTGGTCCCTGCTCAGCCCATCGTCTTGCACGGGAGCATCGCTGCTCCTGCATCGGAGAGAGTGCTGAACCGCCGCAGGCTCCACGTCCTCGTCCCTCACCTCATCGCGTGTCGAGACGAGCAGCGCGGGGTCGCCGAGCTTTGCTCACTGGAGTACCTGACGGCGAAGCTCGAGGAGGGGATTGTGGAGCTCCTGCGAGAGTGCTCGCTTGCTCTCAAGGTCTTCCCGGACTCGGTGGTCGCGCTGCACGAGGTGAAGGGCTTCATAGGCAGGAACCTCGAGCTCTGGAGGGCTCCCCTGTGCCCGAACCCCTCCTTTCAGCTTGCTTTCCAGGAGCCGGACCGGTCTTCCGTCCTCCGCGCTTTCCGCAACAGCGAGCTGTTCCGCAGCAACTTCGACTCGATGCTCATCGACTGGCTGAACAAGCCTCTGGTCTCCCATCCCTGCGTCCTCACCATACAAGAGCACCAGAGCTCCGTCGTGTCCGTCGCCATCTCCCCCTCGGGCAAGCAGATCGCCTGCTCCAGTGCCGACGGCACCGTCGTTGTCTGCAGCACGAAGACAGGCGAGGTCCGCTCCGTCCTCCGAGGCCACTTTGAGCAGGTCTCGTCCGTCTGCTACAGCCCCAGCAGCGACATGCTTGCTAGTGTTGGGTGGGATCAGAGGATGTGCATGTGGAACGTGAAGACCTGGGAAGAGTTCGCAGCTCCTCGCTCCTTCGCCACCATCCTCAACACAGTCACCTTCTCCCCGCAAGCCTCCTACATCGCTGTAGCTGGAGGAGAGCTGGGAGGGAGCGAGGAGTCCATCTTTGTGTGCTATGCTAGGACGGGGGAGCTGAAAGCGTCGCTGCGGGGGCACGAGGGGGGCATCACCTGCCTGCAGTTTCATCCCAACGACGAGCAGCTGGTCGCATCCTCCAGCTACGACGAGACCGTGAGGATCTGGAGCCTGACCACCAACCGCGAGCTCCTCGCCTACACCAAGCATGCTGACTGGGTGCGCGCTGTAAGCTTCAACCCCTCGTCCTCGGACGAGCTGGCAAGCGCTGGTGAGGACAGGACAGTGCGGGTGTGGGAGATTCAGACTGGCGAGGATCGGCTCGTGCTGAAAGGGCATGCACGGGAGATCCACGCGGTTGCGTGGACCAGGGACGGAGAGTTTCTTGCGAGTGGCAGCGAGGACAAGACGATTCGGCTGTGGAGAAGGCGAGACGGGGCTGTGCATGCTGTGTTCCGGGGGCACGAGAAGAGGATCAACTCGCTCTGCTTCAACGGGGACGGCAGGATACTTGTGTCCGGGTCGAGCGATCATGCCGTCAAGATCTGGGTGGTGGAACGGGATCAGCCGCAGGAGGAGGATGAGGAGGCGCACACAGGAAAAATTTTCAAGATTGCCTTCAGTCACGAGGAGCCCAGGAGGTTGGCGACGTGCAGCTCCGACACTACCATCCAAGTCTGGAACTTTGAAACCGGCGAGCCCAGCAGCGCCGGGCTGGGAGGACACGCTGACTATGTCCTGGACGTGAGCTTCAGCCCTCACAAGCCCAGCATGCTGGCCAGCTGTAGCTCAGACATGACGGTTCGACTCTGGGACCTCGACAAGCGAGCCATGCTGCTCCCTCCCTTGCAGGGGCACCAGGGAGCCGTCTGCTGCGTCCTCTTCCACCCCAGCGACCCTGGGGTGCTGGCAAGCGGCAGCGCCGACAGCACGGTGAGGGTGTGGGACATCAGCAGGGGGGAGCTGAGGAGGACGCTCAGGGGGCATGACAGCGGAGTCGCCTCCCTGGCCTGCAGCCCGTCGAGCCCGAACGTGCTGGCGAGCGGAGGGCAGGACGGGCGGATAAAGCTCTGGCACTTCCTGGAGGGATCGCCAGCAGGATCTGACCTGGTGGGGCACGAGAGCTCGGTGGACCACTTGCGGTTCCCCCGACCGGGGACGCTGCTTAGCTGCAGTCAAGACGGGATGCTGATGATGTGGGATGTAGCTTCTTCCTCCTGCCTCCTCCGCTGGGACTCCAAAGCACAGCACGTCATCTCGACGGACAAGTTCGTGCTCGCCAGCCAGCTGGGCTCGCTGCTGGTGTATCACGTCCCAACCGATGCCAGCGCTGCCATGGTCCCTTGCGCCTTCTTCAAGGCGCCCAACTCGATCGCCGCCATTGCCTGCTCGGGAGAAAAAATCTGCCTGGCTGCCGAGACCCGCGAACTTCTGCGGATGAAAATCCTGAACTGACGATTCCTTGGAGGATGTTTCCCCTAGAGAGGAGACAAGTGTGAGGAGGAGGAGGTGGAGGAGGAGGAGGAGGAAGAGGAGGGGTAGGTCAGGGTCCGGGGAGGGGGTGGAAGTGTAGATGTTCATAATGTCTGTTGTAAGGTTGAAATCAAACCAAGTTTGCTTCCATTTCCTTCATTTCATCAGAATCATCTAATTCAGTTGAACAATCTCACAATGGCCATGGCGATAATCTACATTCTCCCTGCATCTGTCGAGGACTTGGCGACAGTCGAGTGGCTGGAGGCCCTCTCGGGGTAAGACACACTGTCGTCGCTGTCGCTTCCTGGGTCGAACTCACTCCCATCGTCCTCCTCCACTTGACCTCCAGCATCCGTCGAGAACCCCTTAAAGAAATACGTCGACGGCTGCTGGAACACTACATGCCCCTCCTCGACCGCCCTGCTGATCAGTCTTTCTCCATACTCTCCAGTCTTTCCCTCTGTCACATCCTCTGCAGACTTCAACGTCGAGCTTGACACAGGAACCTTGCCATCGTCCCATCCCAACATGCAGCAAAGCTCTCCAACTACGGCATCGCAGTCCCCCAGCAGCTCGACGTCGAACTGGTTCGGGGCTCCAACAACCTCACGATTGATCAAGATAGCAGGGACCGACGCCTCCACCTCTCCTAAGATCTCCGAGACAGGAGCGACGCGCAGCGAGGTGCCGATCACCACGACGAGGTCCACCAGCCTCAGGTCCTCCCTCAGGCTCGAGAAGAAGTGGTTAGGAAGCGCCTCCCCGAAGAAGACGATGTCCGGCTTCAACACACCGAAGGAAGGCGACATGGAAGCGGCGCTAGCGCACGATTCTTCGCTCAGCTTGGCATCAAGCTCGGTTCCAGCTTCGCTCGCCCCCAAGTCAGACTTCTGGTCGTCCCCATAACACACCGGGCACTTTGCCACGCGCTTTCTGAGAATATCGAGCTCAATGTCCTTGCCCTCCACCCGGTGGCCGCAAGACACGCACGTGGCAGTTGCAAAGGAGCCATGGCAGTTGATCACTCTCCTGATGTTCGCTTTCTGCTCCAACGTGTCGATATTCTGCGAGTAGTTTCGAAGCAACTTGTGCTTCTGCTCCAGCATCGCAATGAAATGATGGCACGGCGTCGGCTGGAAGTTGCCGGGCCAGAGCTCATGCGCGAAGTTGAAGAACGGCTTCGGGTTGGCATCAAAGTAGTTCCGATCGAACATGCACGAAGGCCGCGGCATACCGAACTCTCTGTGGAGGCGAGCATAAATGCCGGTCGAGCTGCGGAAGTCAGGAATGCCTGCGCTGACGCTGACTCCTGCACCAGTCAAGACAAGAATGTTGTTGCTGCTCTTGAACAGGCGGCAGACATCATCTAGCGTATTGATGCCTGGAAGCTTCAGGCGAGGTCTGCTCATGAGGAACGGGAGCATCTGTAACAGGTGCTTGCCTCCTTTCCTGTGGATGTAATCCAGTAACTGCTGCGAAGTTTGAAACTTTTGCATGCAAAGCGCCTTCAGTTCACCCAAACTTTGACAGTTCTCTAGGTCAATGGAGTCTTCTGACCCACTCGCGCTAAAAATGTCTTCTTCCTCCTCCTTCGCCTCCTTCGAGCCCTCTGCATCATCTCTTGAATCCTCACTCAACCTCAACTTCTTTGCCACCGGCTCCTCCTGCTCTAGCTCTGGCGGATCTGTATGTGTCCACAATTCTTCCCTATCATTGTGTGGTTCATGTTGCAGTTCAGACATTCCACAATCAATATGGAAACTGGTGATGCCTGTTGATAGGCCGGAAGGCAGGACAACAGCGAGAACGAGGAGTTAGGGAGAGTTGGCCAAGAGTTGTCAAAATGTTTTGAACAACTGAAGGAAGTGACACAGGTTGATGATGGAGGAAGTGAGTGCGAGAGCTAGGTACAGGAGGGAATGAGAAGGGAGAGGTGAGGAGAGCAGGAGGAGAGGGAGGAGGGAATGAGAAGGGAGAGGTGAGGAGAGCAGGAGGAGAGGGAGCGGAGGGAGCGGAGGGAGCGGAGGGAGCGGAGGGAGCGGAGGGAGCGGAGGGAGCGGAGGGAGCGGAGGGAGCGGAGGGAGAGGAGGAAGGTTTGCCTAGTACTTAGGGGCAGGGGGCGCGCGCATGGCAGAGGTCTATCTGAACCGGTCCTGGTAGATGATGTGTTTTGAATACCCCTACTAGCATGCTCGGAAGAGGGGGTACTCCAAACAATTCGGAGTAGATGAAGATTCTCGAGGGTAGGGTAGTTAATACCACCCCCTCAAATGACCGAAAAATAGGTAACTAGGTAGATGTACCTACCCAGGGTACCTGTTTGTGTCCTTATACCCACATTTCTCCCAGAAAAACTACCGGTAGCAAAGATGTTGATACCCTACCTGGATGTATGCTATCTGTATGTCCTGGTGCTACCCGTTTTGCATGCTGGAAATATGGATGCGACTAGTCAGGAGTGCGAGCAGTCCATGCGGATGCTTGTAAGGCAACGGGCAGGGAGGAGAGGGAGGAAGACGATGGCAGGAGAGGGGGAGCAGGAGGACAGGAGAGTGCAAGTGAAAGGGAGGGAGGGAGGAAGACGATGGCAGGAGAGGGGGAGCAGGAGGACAGGAGAGTGCAAGTGAAAGGGAGGGAGGGAGGAAGACGATGGCAGGAGAGGGGGAGCAGGAGGACAGGAGAGTGCAAGTGAAAGGGAGGGAGGGAGGAAGGGAGGGGAGGTCGGAGAGACCTTAGTTCGAGCTGCCCGCCGTGACTTGAACGCTGCGAGCATCATTGCTCATGACTTGACTGATGAGACATGCGGGTAGATACATACACACGCCCATCTGCATGGATGTCAACCATCTTACCTCTTCGTCACCTTATTCGTCAATGTGCGACATGGATGACGATAGTTTGATCATTCCTTGAAGTTCCATCGGGAGATGGCTCAGCCCAGCAATTGGTCGAAGTACGTCATTATCCTGTTCTGCATGGCCATGTCACCAGATTGCTGCACGCTGAATGTTGAGTCGAGGTGCCGCATGCTGCATGCTGATTGATACAGTGACAAGGTACAGGCAACCTCTGAGGATGCGAACTACAATACCCAAAGACCTCGCCCAACCCCTCTCACTGCTACTTGATAACGGCTCCCTAGAGCAAGGGAGCACGTTGGATGTCACGTTCAGAGGTCACCTGTGTCCTCCTGCCGAGCCCAAACAAGGAGACGTGAAACTTGTAGTCTCGCTCCACCTGGGCCAACAAGTCTACGAGGGCCGGGGGGCAGCTCAGAGCCATGGGAGCTGGGAACGTGCACGGCTCCTGCTGAGATCCTTGTCAGCGGCGGTGAGCAAAGTGGTCCTGAGATGGCTGCCCTGCTTCTCTGTTGCAGACTCTTCTTGGGTAGACATCGGGTTCGAGTTGAACTGCACCCTGCCTTCACGACGGGCCATGCACACTGTGGGATTGATGCTGCTGCCGCAGCCATGTGACATCCTTGATTGAAGATAGGAAACCCGCGAGTCCCGAGCAACGAGAGCTCCCGGCGCCAGGTCGCTCTAGACGAGAAACTGAAGGTCTTTCTGGACTTTCCTGATCAACTCTTGCTCAATCCCAGTTAACACTGAAGGGATCAGGACTTGGGGGTGAATATTTCCGAGCTACTCTTCTCCAAGACCTTTGACGGTTCTCCCGCTCGCAAGGCAGCCATGGCTCATGAGCAAGGATCACTCTGAAAGCTTTCCAGGCCTACTGGTCATTCGTCAACCCACGGGAAGGGATCCAAACTCACTCGCCCCTTGAACCCTTCGAGAATGTAACCAAGTGCATCTTGATGGATGCTGTTGAATGACATCTTTTCTCGAGGCTGTCAAACGATATGCTTCACAGATTCTGTTCTTGGATCGAGGGCACCGAGGTCAGTCCGTCAGCTTGTACAAACGATTGCCCTCCTCCTTCACCTCTCCACTCCTCGATCTACCCTATAAGGGTCCTCCCTCCCCTCCCTCCCCTCCCTCCCCTCCCTGCCTCCACTTTCCTTTCTCCTCCTCTCCCCTCCCACTTTCCCGCTGGTGGCATGCAACGATGAGTATCTCTTGTGGACCTCGTCTAGAGATCCTGATCCTGACGCGTCCAGCTCGTCTGGCCGAGTTCCTGCGCACGGGGGATGAGGCGAAGGCAGAGAAGGTGAACTCATGCACAGTCATTCACCCCGTCGTGCTCGTCCTAGACAACCTCCGATCGGCACACAACGTTGGAAGCATCATAAGAACGGCAGAGACGGCAGGGGTGGAAAAGGTTGCAGCCCGTGACCAACTTGTCCTTCGGGCTGACTGTGGGCTCAGGTCGTTGCCTGCGGGATCACCCCGCACCCTCCGAATGGTAAGGTCCTCAAGACTGCCCTGAGATCGGCAGATTACGTGGAGGTAGAGCACGAGGACAGCACTCTCAATGCAGTCAGGAAGCTCCTATCCCGCAACTACTCCGTGTACGCCCTGGAGACTACTTCACAGAGCCGAGCCTACACGCTGGTCAACTTCTCGAAGCCCTGCGCCCTGATCGTTGGCAACGAGTTGCTGGGGATCTCTCCCGAGGTCTGTCTCTCACTGATTTCACAGGTTTACCAACTCACTGCCCTGGTTGGTCTATCTGCAGGTCTTGCAGGAGTGTAACCAACTCATAGAAATCCCCATGTACGGGTTCAAGGTTGGGAAGCGCAACGCCAGTGGCCTGGCAAGTTGTGCCCTCGCACTGACCCTTCACTCGGCAGAACTCGATGAACGTGGCTTGCGCTTGCCCTGTAGTCTTATACGAGGTGCTCCGACAATGGTACTCAACGTGACTGTCGGCCCTCCGAGGCTCCGAGACGATTTAACGGCCGCCCCGCCCGGCGGTCGTACTACCGTAAACCGTGAGTCAGTTTGTAATCAGACTTCAACGGTTCAATTGTTTTGGCGGGCACCGCCGGGACCGAGCCTGAGTCAGTTCGTACTGGCACGGCCGGCAGTGCGGCAACGAAGGCTTGTGACGGCCCGCGGCGGGCCCGCGGCCCCGGGCCGGGCCGGCCGCCGGGCGGCGCCGCACACTGAGCAGTGCGTCCATCATGAGTCACCCCGGGGCTGACCGTTGAAACGTTATGGCCGTTACGTTATCGTTTCCACTGGAACTGCATTGCACTCGCGCGGAGGGAGGAAGAGGGGAGGACAGGGAGGAGGAGGGAGAGGAAGGAAGGAGATCCATGCAGGATGAGAGATGCGGAAATAGAAACATGGCGGTAGTGGATGTGAGGGAAGGTGATGGTGGAGACGCGGGAGATCGAGGAAGAGGGGAGGGAAAGACATGTAGCGATGCGATAGAATTCGTGCGAGGGAGGAAATTAGAAGCTCCAGAAGCCCGAACGCAGGAACAAGTAGTTCATCTTTGTACTTGGTACTTTGTGATGGTGAGAGACACGGTGAGGAAGAGCGGTCGATGAGGAAAGTGCTGAAGGAAAACGAAGATGGTAGGATCCATGTGGGATGAGATCAGGAAGGAACGACCTAGAACGACCGTGCTGAGAGATCGAGGTCTAATTCTTCCATCGTTTCTAGCTGCTGCCAAGACCTTCATGGACGAGGCTGCAGGCGCCGGAGCTGAAGGGCCTGGCAGCCATGCGGAGTGAGTTTGAAGCTCTCATGATAGCATTACGGCTGACATATTACCTTGCCTTGCCTGCTTGTTTTGGCACAGCGAGCACCCCGAAGCCTCGCCTGCCATTAAAAAGCCTCGACTGAAATTCGGATTCGGACTGGTGGGCATCAAAATTTTTTTGATCGTCTCCCTGACTTGTTGTGGCAGAGAGCGACGGAGAAGAAGACGGAGTTCAATGGTAAGTGCTGAGAAAGGAATGATGACATGCATTGATGTTGCTGTTGCTCCTTCAGACCCTCCCTCTCATGGCAATGAGCGGAGGAGACAACCTCCCAAGGCAGAACAAGGTTTCTTGACGACGGCATGCCTGCCATGTTTTTATGACTGGAGAATTGGCAGAGGTCAACGATCGCAAGGTTGGGAAGGATGAGACGAGGAACAATGACCTGGACGCTCAAAGAGATGATGGCGGCGATGTGAACGTCAAGGCTGAAGATCACGCCAAAGAAGAACAAGAGCATGTAGAGGAGCATAAGGACGCGGGGGATGTCCAGCAATTGGCTTCCAACTGCTGCCATGACGACGGGCAAGATTGCGAGAGGAACTCGGTCAAGGCCCCAGAGGGATCGGAGGAGAAGCCTGTTGAGCAGGCTTCTCCTCTGAAACAGCCTGTCAAGACTGAGAGTCTTATCCCTGGCCTGAAGCTCGAGGCGCTCTCCGACTCGGATGATATGGAGGGCCAAGAGGATGAAAGCTGCCCAGTCGTGCCTCTGGCTGTGAGACTTTGAAGTCTGAAGTCGCTGCGATGGTGCTGATCTCTGTCTCTCAGGAGGAGCCGTCGAAGGCTCCAGCCGAAGACGAGTCCGATTCACATCAAGTCTTGCCCGAGAACGAGAGCACGGAGGTGTCAGAGCCCAACGACTTGGAAGAGCAAGCACAGGGCCCATTCTTGACTCTGAGCAAAGACGAGATTCTCGGGAAGGTAAGGTCTCAGAAACACCAGGGTGAGGGCTGATATCTCGCTCCCTTCTCAGATACAAGTCATCGACGACGAGATTGCAAAGGCTGAGACGGAGATAGAATCGCTACAGGTGTTGAATCGTCGTTGTTCCCTGGCCGACGGCTCTTGTTTTGATCTTATGTTGTTCTCCGCAGGCTGAGTCAATCACGGGTGAAACTCAAATCTACGCGAAAGAACAAAAACTAGACGCTCATGTGGCAAGGATCTATCAGGTCACTGCCTGTCCGGGTTGGGGTACGAAAGGAAGTTGATCAAACTTTTTATCAGGTGAATCGAGTGGAGGCAGACAAGATGAAAGAAGAAGTTGCGACGTCTTTGTACGTCAACTACGATCCTGAAATCTCGACAAATGTTGTCTTGCATCTTTGATTTTGCCGACCCTCATACTCCGAGTGCAGCCGATATACAGAAGAGTTCAAGACGCACCGGGCTTCGCCCACACACTTGAAAGGTGATGACTGCGTTGACACTATCTCCTCTGCACTCTGAACCTCCTACTGCTCCCTCTCCGCTCACATCATCGTCAACAGGCACAAAGTCGTGAAGCCGTACATCGAACGATTCATCCGAAGTCAGGCGAGTCGATCATGTCAGCTCGGACCCTCCAAGTCAGGGTGACGTCGCTATGCAGCTCCGAACGAAGAAACGGATCGAGCTGGAGCTTGCAGTGAGATACAGGATCTACCAGAAGGATTGGCTGAAGCGGAATCATCTACCCAAGGTAACTTGCGCCTGCTAGCGATGATCTGTGATTGGCGCGGCAGGTGAAGAAGCAGAGCAAAGAGCTGCACGCGATCATGTACCCCGCGGAGCAGGAGGAAGAGGAGATGCCCCAGCGCAAGACAAGATCGCGAGACACGGTAGAAGGATCGGGAGAAGTCGAGATATGTCTAAGTCACTCGTGAGAGCAGGTGAGGAGTGAGGCGGAGTTCCAGGAGCTCTTGGGAGCAATGGAGCAGGAGCAGAAGAGGCAGAAGGGCCTTGCTATCATCCCCCCCATGCTCGTTACCCCCGAAGAACGGCAGGCCTACGTCTTCAAAAGGTTTCTTGCCCTTTGAAGATTTCAATGTTCGCTGAAGCTTCCTCCTCCTCCTCCTCCTCCTCCTTCTCCTCCTCCTCCCCCTCACATCTCACAGCACGAATCTCATGTCTGTTGACTCTTTCTCGGAGGAGTACAATCGAGCTTTCATCAATACATGGACAGACGAAGAGAAGCAAATCTTCTTGGAGAAGCTCGCCGACTTCGCCGGTCGGCCAGACAGGGAGGGGCTAAAGAAGAACTTTTACAAGCTTTCGCACTACCTGCCGAACAAGACGACGCGGGACTGTATCAAGTACTACTACCTGCAGAAAACGTCCAAGTCGTTCAAGGATGCGTACAAGAAGCTAGAGGTGAAGTACAAGCGCACGTACAACCTCAAGAGCAAGCTGGAGAAGATCCCTAAGGGGCCTGTCAACAACAATCAAACAAGCACCTACGAGGGGACGAGAGACAATCACGAAGTCTTCGAGCGAAAACTGAAGAATGACAAGGCGGAGGCTGTCATCCATCGGGGGTTCGAGGGCCTCGATGCCTACACTGACCTTCCCGCTGACGTGGTGCCGATCATCATCGAGAGGGCAAAGCCGCATCACGCCAGGGCGCAGCATCACATGGAGACCAACAGCGTCAGCTCCAAGTTCCTGCTTGGAGACTCGCAGACTTCGAGCCTGGATGATGCTAAGTCCACCTTGTCGTCGATCAACGATACGCTGTCGAACCAGGAGACAAACCACGTCGAGGAGTCCAACGACGTGAGCATGGCGGAGGAGGGGCAAGAGGAGGCAGACACAGCTGACCGACCTGAGCTTCCGGTTGACTCGAGAGACACTTTGGATGACAGAGGGGCGCACAATGACCCTTGCGCTGCTGCCAAGCAGGCTCAAGGGGAACAGTGCGACAACGAGGAGGCGGAAGATGTTCAGGATGACTCGCACATGGAGCTGGAGGAGCAGAAAGGCATCGACGAGAACAAGCGGGACGACGAGGATGAGAATGCCGAGGGAGAGAATATTGAGAAAGACGAAAAGGAGGACTAGCTTGCAAGCTTGCTTCATTAAAACCTGTAGAACATGATACAACAGAATCTCTTAAAATCAAGAGACTTGGTGGACTTGACCAGCGGAAATCTGCTGATGACCAATATTGCATCAGCCTGCCTGGTACCATTCTACTCATAATGTGTGCAAGAAAACACGGATATGCTACTCTACAGATGAATGCGCGTTCAGAAACAGCTACTTCTGTGCTTCTCTAGATCACGTCCTCGTCCATCCCCAGGTCCATGTATCGTCGGAGCCATTCCGGATCTATATCGCAAGCACAGTCCATGACCTCATCCATGACTGGACTCGCCGCTTGCCTGCTCCGCGTCTTCCTCCTGGTGTACGGCCATCGGCCGACTCCAAGTGCCTTGCAGGCGTTCTTGAGGGCTGAGATCGAAATCCCCTGTAGAGAAGAGAAAGTTAGTAGGCGCAGAAGGTACAGCAGAGGTAGTGCCCTACCAGGTGGCGAGCTGCTTCCCCTTGACTGAGGTGTGTGAGGGATTGAATGAGCTCTGCTGTGATGCGGCGGAAGGGTAGGGTTTGATTGCAGCCATTGGAGGAGGGTTTGCGAGGATAGACGATCCTTATGGTCTGATGATGCGACATGTGGGATGGAGGAGAACCCAACGAGGAGGGAGCAGACAGGGAGGAGCAGGAGCAGGAGGAGCAGGAGGAGGAGAAGGAGGAGGAGCAAGAGAGTGGAGAGGGGGGAAACTCGAGGTCAGGAATGTGCATGGATACGTAGGCAGAGGTTGCGTGCTTGTCAGGGAAGTAGACCATCTGTGGTGAAAATGGGGGGGAGAAGGTCAGGGGGGAATCAAAGGGGGCGGGGGGCGCGGAGGCCGCGGCGACTCATTCCGACGATGCGAAGCGTTTTGTTTTAGAGTCGTTTCGAATCCGGTCACATGTGCCTGCGACTCGTATTGCCAGAGATACTGGGAGATTTCACTGAAATGTCTCGATTCGATATCCGATTGTCATGCATGAAGGTGAAAACAGGCAGATTTGGGTAAATTTGAACTATCTTTTATCATGTTACTTTATAGCAACAGAAAATGATCCACCCCACCCCATCATGTTACTTTATAGCAACAGAAAATGATCCACCCCACCCCACGTCACATGAAAATCCTCCCCTCCCGCTTCCTCCCCCCCACTGCCTTCAAGAAGTCTTACCCACACCTGTAAACGCTAATGGGAACCGTCGGTTTAGGAGTCTGACAACTCGAGTGGGGGACGCAACTGGTGGATAAGGGGTACTCTTGGAGTATCACAACGGACTGTGTAACCTAGATCCATCATCCTGAGCCCTCGCTGTGAAAATGATCTTTTTCGAAGAGTGGCCACCGTTGTTACAGGATTTCGAAGTTTACGCCAACTTTATTGAACACACCCAGTCTTCGGGAAATGTACAGCGCAGCCGCGTTTCGCCGAAACTATTCCGATCAGACCGGTGCAGGCCCGGATCGGATCACCGGCCGGCGTTCCGAGTCACACTGGCACTGAGAATCAACCTTACGGCACAAGTAACCAAATCAGGCGACAGACGAAAATAGAACTTTACAACCTAACAAGTTCGCAGGCGCAACAAGAGGGCGGAAGCGAAAGGTTCGTATTTCTGGGCATCCCTAGCGACTGGAAACGACTCCCTCCGCGCAGAAAGTTCATCCTGAATCATCTTCGCTAAGCTGACAGCTGGGTAGATGACTTCTCGCTCTCGCCCTACTCCCACGGCAAGCAGCAGCGATCAGGCGATCAGAATCGTTTATCCTCGAAAGCCTCCCCTCGCGTCATGCACCGGTCATCGTATCTCCTTCTGTAGAATCACCGCCGACGTCTTACAGTCCTTGACTCACTTGCCTCAACCAGAAGCAGCTCGTCAACTGGTAAGTCGTCTCCTGCATTGACTGCTGAGGTGTTTGACGCGCCTTCCTCGCAGGGCATCTCGCTGTCAGCTTTCAAGAACGCCTGCAAGGCACTAGGGCTTGGGCGATGGCCTTACAAGAGGAAGAAGGTTCGTAGCAAAGAGGCAACTACGCAACTCGTGCAACCCAACACATCAGTCAGTTCTACTTCTTTACACGAGACCAGCTGTCAAGCATTGATGCAAGAGCCGTCTAGCATTGGTCATGCCGTCAGCTCGATCGAAGATTTCTTCGCCTCACCTCCGACACCTCGGAACTACGGGGAGAACATGGGAGATGTGGTGCTACACATCGATCAAGATTGGCTAAATCGATACATGGATCTTGGATTCGACGAGGACGTGCTGTAGGGATCTCCCAATGGTGTCTGAAAGCTTCGGGACTCCGTATGGCGGGATGGATGGTATCGTTGGTTATCCTTGTGATATCATCCACGATGTACCGATTTCCGAACTTATTCAGACCCTCTGTTGATGTGTACATGAAGCATTTGAAATCAGTGTTCATCCCACATCGTCTAAGATAGTCGTATTCCATCCCAACATTGATCTATCGACGATCAACCTTTCTCGCTCGGTCGCACGCCAGAAACAGCAAAGAACTTCCTAATAATGAATGAGAGGAGATCTTTGTTCTCGAGTGCGCTAAATCCTTGTATTGCCTCGGAGTCTGTAGGTGGAAGGGGGGAAATAGGGGTGGTCGTCATGGAAGGGGTGGTGGGTAGTAGGGACCGGGGCCGATGCGATCCAACGGTTTGAAGGGAGCAGGAGGAGCAGGAGTAGTAGGAGGAGGACTCAACTAGCTCCTCTTCAAGGAAGACAATCCTCCATGAGGAGACGGAGGAAGGAGACGGAGTTGCGAAACCATGGCTAGTGACTGAGATGAGGTACTGCACTCTTACCCTACACATCTACAACCTGACGATGGCTTCTTGTTTGCAGAGAAGATACTTAAGCAGATCAAGGCTCGAATATTGGGCCTCATCAAGACAGGACCTCATGTCTGCCATGGAACTGATGAAGGAGCAACCAGGTGCGGGCAACCACAGGATAAGGTTGGCCCTCCAGTGCGTGGGTTCTTTGCCAGCAAGTCCTGAACTAGCCAGAGAGATGAACAGTGTGCTGGCGCAGGTGGACAGAATAGCAAAGCAGGCAAGACAGGATCTTACCCCAAGGTTGAAAGACTAACAATCTTTCCTGGCAGCCGAGCAGTGAAGATCATAAACAGGAAATCATGGATGCAGCAAAGTTCTGCATTCAAAATTCAAGCCATGAGACAGCTACAGACCAGTTCACAGTTCGCGTCCTCGACAGTGAGGAGCATGAGGTCTGGTGGACTGTGGGAGTTATCAAGTCCATCATGACAGCGGCAGCGGATTCCGACACTCCCCTCAACATCTGGTTGATCGACCCTGCCAGACCGAAGCAAGCAGCACAGATCGAAGTTCTTCAAGGGAGCAGCCGTGCAGGTGTCAGAAGCCTGGCGGCAGAACAGAAGAAGAGCGTGCTTGTCGCTCATCTGAACTTGTATCCCGAAGATGATCTCAAGTTCATTGAGGAAGAGGTTCTGTCGTTTGTGGGTGACCCCGAGCGAGTCTCCCATAGACTCCGGCTGCTCATTCAGGCTCTAGATGCAGCAGCTGTCTCCCCAGACCTCGAGGACGAAGTGAACGAGGTTGTCAAGGCCTCGCTCAGCGAGGACGTGGCGTCTCAGGCCCTGCAGTTCTCATACCTCGTGGATATCGACAAGGAGACGAGCACGGCCAAGATGCGATTTGAGCTGAAGGAGAACGACGAGGTTCCCCGTGTGTTGGCAACGATCCGACTTGTACTCGAATCCTGCATGGAAGCTGGAGCAACCTTGCTGTCCATCGAGCTGCTTGACAGGGACAAATCTGCGGTACTAGCAGTGTCGCCAGTACAGGCCTCTATGAAGCTTTCTGTCGTAGATCCCAGGTGTGCAGTCAGAGTTGCTTCCAACGAGAACATCCCAGGCCAGTCGATCTCACTGGAGGACTTGGACGCGCGATGGTCATTCTCGTACGTGAGATCGAGCGAGGGGAGCAAGGTGTTGCAGCTTATGCTCAAGGCCATTGGGGCCATCCCCACCCAAGAGGAGGAGAGGGAGTTTGTAATGGAACTGAATCGCGAGGCTGGGAGGCTGCTCAAGGACAAGGACCAGGTAGACTTCTCCTTCTTGACGGACATCGACGAGGAGCACGAGACAGCAAAGATCCACTTCGAAGTGCCAGCGGAGAGCAAGATCCCTGAAGTTCTGTCCACCATTCACGTCGTCCTCCTCTCTTGCATGGAAGCCGGGGCCCAGTCTCTGGCCGTGGAGCTGGAGCAAGGTGATCACAGCTCAACGGTGGTCATTGATTTCGTCTCGAACAGATCGTCTAAGGTGAGCAACTGGATTATCCCAAGGATTCCGCTTCCATGATGGTGAGCTGACAGGATTGGAGTGTGCCAAACGATATCAACCCGAGCAGGGCGTCCTATCATGCCTCTGATGGCACGGCGATCAGAGTTTTCACACAGATGACACCGATGGAGCTGAGAGATCAGTTTGTGAGCTCTTACCCTCAATGCTCCCGCTCCCTTACGCTTGCTGGCACAGGACGAGGATGGCGACAACCTCCTTATCGATCTCGGGCACGAGGTCCTGGACATGAAGTTCTCCAGCAACGTAGCGGAAGCTGAGAGGCACAGAAGTTATGCGTACGACACCATCATGAGCTTGATAGAGAACCCGAAGGACAGACAGATCAGTGAGCGTTTGCCAAGTCCCGCTACCCCCCTGTAACACTTGATGTGCAGAGAAACTCCGCTTGCTCCAGCTCCAGATCAAGAGGCTAACGTCCTTGTCTCAGCAACTGAACTTGGTAGAATTCTGAAGTGATATTGTACAATAGCCGGGAGAGGAGTGCAAGGGGAGTAGGATTTGTGGTGTGTAATGACTGGATAAAAGCAGGGAAAACGTTGAGATCAGGTCATGTATTCGCCGATTCGTCCTACTCAGGCATCCCAGTCATCGTTTCGTAGCATATCATGCTCTTACTCTTCATCCTCGTCCTCCCTTCCTCCACCTTCTCTCTCTCTCCCCTACCTCCTCCCTCTCTTATATAACCATGTTGACTAATTTTGTACTCGTAGTTGAGACCCCCTGCATAGGGTACCCTCACCCCCAACCATTTTGATCCACCCTATATTTTCGTATTTAATTTCAGATTTAATGACCGGTACTTTTCAATTTTTATTACCACCCCGACCCCAATATTCTCGGGAAATCGGACTCGCGTCACCACTTCTGTCGGGGCAATGGGAGGGCAGCGAGGAGGCGACAGGAGGAGGAGGAAGTGTGTTTCCTGCTGATCAAAGTGCAGCAGCACAAGTTCTAGAATCTACGACATCGATACAGCAAACTCTTCTTGTCTCATGAGCTTCAGTGCACAACACCATTGATCTTTCTTCAAGTACAACTGCCATGCCGAGCCGATCCTTAGTTTGCTGTAGACTAGCCGGCCTTGTTCTTGTTCTGAGCTGCATCTGTCTGGTATCTTCGGAATCATCAGTCCACACCCGTGAACCGAGAGGTGCAACCACTCCCGCTGTGAGACACCTCAAGGAATACCATCGGAACCAAGAGAGCAAGGGGGAAGATGGGGAATCTGAAGGTGAGGAGCAGGAGCAGGAGCAGGAGCAGGAGCAGGAGCAGGAGCAGGAGCAAGTGAAGCCCAATAATAATCAAGCCACATCCTCCTGTCCCAGCTTCGATACATTCCCATCAGAATTCAGCTCCTCTTTCAAGGGCATCGACAGGTTTGGTGCTGTTGACTCGGACGGTAGTATCGACCTGCACGGATTGGCGTTCCGACTGCCGGCAGCCTCGCATGGAGAGCGTGCTGGGCTTCGAGCGAGGTTTGTCGTCAAGAGCAAGAGTCTTGCCAAGGTCGAGTGTCTCCCTGCTGACAAGAGCGTCGAGATGGAAATCTCGATCGTGATCGTCACAGAGGGCGGCGCGAAAGAGGTCAAGGGGATCCAGGGGAGGCAGGAGGGTGTTGTCTACTTCCCCGTCCTCTCCCAGCTGGAGGATGGGCAGGATCACGAGCTGAGGATCAACTTCATCTACAAGTCCCGTGACATCGCCAAGTGCAGCAGCTTCGAGTTCCTCTTTCAGCTCCGTCCCATCCTGTCCATCGGGGAGGAGGTCTCGTGCGACGGTAGCCAGGGCTCCAAGTTGCCTCCTTCCAAGCTCAGCCCCGTCCTTGCAGACAACGTACTCCACTTCACATCGGGGAAGCTCCACGTGGACCCCTTGAGCTTCCAGGAAGAAGACTTCCAGCACATCATCCGGGTGCAGGCGAGAACAAGCTCGTCGCTGTCGGCCGTCATCGCGTTCGACTGGATCTACAGCGACTTGCAACTGATCCTCACATCGAGCAGAGGGAACATCCTGGCGCGCAGCAACGCGTCGGAGGTCGAGGACAAGGATGCACAGTACACGAGGTGCTCGAAGCTTTCCTATGTTGTGGAGCCCGGGGAGTACTACATGATCGTGAAGGACGAGGCCATGAAGAAGGTTTACAGCAGGATCTCCCGCGAGATAGCGAGGGGAGGGGAGGAGGGGAGAGCAGGAGATAAAGCGCGTCCTCCTAGGATGTGCATCCCCTTCTCCTTCAGCCTCGACTTGAACCCCGTGGGTGGTAGCAGTGGAAAACCTAATATTGCCTCTAATGCCGCTGGCGATGCCTCTACTGCCGCTAGTGATGCCTCTAGCGTTGCCCCTGGGGTCGTCAGAGGTGTCGCCTTGGATGTTGTGGAGCCCTCAGGAGCGCTTTCGCTCGATCCCAGGCAGCCGTTCCGCCTGGTGATGGAGTTCTCAGGCTCGATCAGATCGTGGTTCGAGAGCATGAACGGGCAGGATGAAAAGCGAGACTCGATCTTTTGTCACGAGGAGAAGAACGGAGCATCGGCGCTCTGCTCGGGGACAGTCTTGTTGGAAGCAGAGGGAGGAGGAGGTGAAGGCAAGACCGATGGTAGTGTCCTTGCCCCAGCCTCCCTCCAGCTCCGTGACGAGAAAACCTTGGTGGTCACCTGGCAAGCGAGCATGGCGATAGAGAAGAAGAAGTATCTCCTTCGCCTGCGCAAGGATCGGTTCGTCGACCATGGACGGGGCATCGACGTCAGCACCCACTCTGGGGTTCACATGTACCGCTTTGTCCGATGCTCCTGCCACGGGAGGGGCCAGTGCGACGTCGAGAGCAGGTGCGCTTGCGTCCATCCCTTCACCGGGGAGAGCTGTGAAAAATGCTCAGCCGGTTTCTCGCTGACCGACGACGGGAGCTGCGTCGCCCTGCCTGCCGGGCTGAGGTGCGACCAGAACTCTTGCAGCGGGCACGGGGCCTGCAGCCTTCCTTCCTTCTCCAAGAAGATCGACTGTCTGTGCGAAGTCGGGTACGAGACTAAGGACGAGAGCATGTGCGGTTCCTGCGCCCCTGGGTACTCGGGGTATCCGAACTGCAGGAGGGAGGAGGACTGGAAGTTTGAAGCGGAAGAGGCCCCGTCCTGTGACCTCCCGACGCTGCCCAACACGCTGGACAAGGAGGGGCTGACGTCGGAGGAGGGAGCAGTGCAGCTGCAGGGCTCTTTTTTCCTCAACGTCGAGCAGACTCGCCACGTCATCGACTTCTCCGTGCGTGAGGAAAGCTTCCTCCACATCCAGACCGATCTCAGCAGGCACAACGGCAACGTGGGGGTCGCGCTCGGGTTGACGCCATGGACGGCGCCGGTGACAGGAGCAGGTCAGGTGGGGGAGACGATCGGGGAGGCGGCAGCATGGAGCAACTGGACAGCAGTGGGCGGCAAGGGATCGATGAAGGCCGTGGTCAGGTCCGCCTTCTACCCTCATGCTCAGAAGCACAGGATTGTCATTGCCTTCGAATTTCTCAACGTCCAGCATTGGGACAACTCGCTCTGCAACGCTATCAATCTCCAGATCTCTCTCGTCCCCTTGAAGAAACTCCAAAGGATCGTGAGTCGAGCCAACGACCTCTGTCCGTCCCCTCCCTTCCCGCGGTTTCTTCCCCAGCATGTCGACGTCCCCCCCCAGGGCTGGTCGATCAACGGGACGTTCTTCGCGGAGAGGGAGGAGGGGAGCAGGAGGATGGTCAGGGGGAGAGCGATCAAGTACATGACGTTGACGGTCCCCGAGGTAGCGGGAAGGAAGGCTCGTCTTGTCGCCTCAGTTGGGTATAACTTTGATGTCTCCAAGTTCGCTGTGCTCCTTGAGCCGCATCCCCAAAATGGCGGACTGCCAAGTTGTCAGATTGTGTCTAGTGATGAGCTGAAGTCAATCTCGACCTCCTCATCATCATCATCCTCGTCCTCGTCCTCGTCCTCGTCCTCGTCCTCGTCCTCGTCCTCGTCCTCATCCTCATCCTCATCCTCATCCTCATCCTCATCCTCATCCTCTTCTTCGTCCTCGTCACAAAGGGCTTCAAACTTCAAAGCTCGAGAAAGCAGCACCAACGATGAGAAACGCTCTTCCAGGTCTGTTGAACTCTTTGATGGCTACCTACCTTCGCTCTTCTCCCTAGAGTCTGACATACGTTTTTTCCTTCCTTCTACCCATCACCCGCAGGGGCAGCAGGAGAGATTTCTCGGACCTCCTGTACAAGGACCTCTCTGCCATCTACAAGCGCTCGTACAATGCCTCCCATCTGAGGAGCTGGAGGAGGAGGCTGTTGCGGTCGGAGGACGAGGAGGAAGCTCGAGAGGATCTAGGGACGGGGACGGAGAGCAGAGTAGTCTCCCGCTCTCGCTCCTGCACGCAGGGAGCAGACGCGTACAACGGAAATATCCTGGAGCAGACACTGGCAAGTGGCACTTACATGCTGTGGATCACCAGGGACACGATGAGGCTGAGCTCCAACGATCTGAAAGCTGGACAAGATGAGGACGGAGGAGGAGGAGGAGGAGGAGGAGGGGGGGAGGTGCCTTCGTTTCTTGAGAACATGCGCTGCATGCCGTTTGACCTCAGCATCAGAATCGTGTTTGATGCTCCTCCTCCATCTTCTGTCACCTGCCCAGGTCGCACACTCCCAAGGAGCTTCCACGAGGTCGGATACCTCGGGAGGAGGGGAGAGAGTTTTCACGTGCAGGACTCTTTCAACGTCGCTCGAGCGCTGTCCTCCCGCCACCACTACATCGACTTGACTGTGCGAGGAGGAGGAGGAGGAGCTGCTGCTGCTGCGTCTCTGCTCCGTGTGCATGTGGAGTCCTCCGAGGCCGTGGACATTCGCCTGCACCTGCTGCAGATGAAGGGGAAGGGGGAAGGGGAAAAGAAATTCTCACTCGTCCCCACGGACAGGCCGCACATGCCGGATGGGATCAGGGGAGACTCTCTGCTGACGGCGCTGGCTCCTGGCTCCTACAAGCTTCAGGTCTCCTTCCTCAACCACGGGGGGGTTGCCGGTCGACCCTGCGATGAACTCTCCTCCTCCTGCGGGCGGCAAGACTGCCCAACGATGGACATGGAGGTGGCGCTGTCGCCGCTGGCTGGGCTGACGGAGGAAGAAGGGTTCGATCAGGCGTGCGAGCACCGGGGAGAAAGCTCCGTCCCCTCCCTGCTTCAGATCGCGGGAGGACGGGAGGCGATCAGGGAAGGCACTAGGTTCAACGTAGAGAGGAGGGGAAGCGAGCTGCAGCAGCTGCTGGAGCAGCGAGACTCGTCCTCCATCGCCTTCACCGGGAACGGATCGCACGGCTACACCATCGCGAGCTACCCGATGGAGCTGGGAAGCGCGTCTGTGCTGTCGTCGGGCCTCCTCTCCTCGTTCCTGCACGACGACCTGACGCTCGAGCTGTACGACCAGCACGGGAGGTTCCTCCGCGCGGGGCTGCACCGGTACAGCGAGAGCAGGATGCAGACTGTGCTGCAGCCTGGAAGGTGAGGCGGGTGAGGAGGGGGGTGATGAGGATGGGGGGGGGTGAGAAGACAGGAGGAGGAAGAGAAGGAGGAGAAGGAGGAGAAGGATAGATTATGATGATAGTGGAGGTGCGGGGGACGGGACAGAAGGGGGAAGATGGGGTAAAGGGGCAGGAGAAGTTGCAGGGGGAGGGGAAGGGCAGGAGCTCGAGTCTCCTCTAACTCGTTCCAAAGGTACTTCCTCAAGATCCGGCAGACCCTCTCAGCCGGACACCAGCTGGGGTCGGGGAGCAGCTGGGAATGGTCAGCCAAGCACGACGAGCAGGGCAAGAGGTACTTCTTCAACAGCAGGACGAGGGCGACGCAGTGGGGCGTTCCCAGCTCCATGGCCGGGCGGAGATGCGCGAAGTTCCAGCTCTGGCTGCAGGTGGATGCCCTCTCGAAGAGGAGCGTCTGCCTGCTCTCGCAGAGGGCGGCTCCACTGCTCCCCTCCCTCAACGTCCCCGGCATGCTCGCTGACGGTAGCAGCGCGCTGCTGGAGGGGAGGTTCATCGCTGGTGGACAAGGAGGAGGAGGAGGAGGAGGAGGAGCAGAGTTGGAGGACGCGGTCAGGTTCGATGTCAGCTCTCCGTCCCACATCCTCATGCAGATCGAACCTCTTCCTCTCGCCAGTGCTCGCGGGCCGTTTGTGACAGAAGCTCGCCTCTACGAGCTCTTCCCTTCAGAGTCCTCCTCCTCCTCCTCCTCCTCCTCCTCTTCTACCGCGCAGAGCTCTGCGCAGGTCGTGGAGTTCGGAAGGTTCGTGGAGCAGAATGTCGTCAGCTTCGCAGGAACGCGGCAGGTGTTGTCCTTCAAGGCTTTCGACACCTCGGGCCGGCGGGGAGAGGAGCAGGAGGGGAGGAAGAACGAGAAGAAAGTGGGAAGAGGAGGAGCCGCGTGGGAGGGCAGGAGGAGGTTCCTCCTCAAGTTGCGCCACCTCCTCCCTCCCGAGCAAGCAGGGGAGTGCGCTGTCTTCCATCTCTACCTGAGCATTTCCTCACTGTCCTCCTCCTCCTCATCATCATCATCCTCATCGTCTTCATCAGCTGGAGCAGACCTGGGGCAGAACAGGAAGGCAAGAGGAGCAGAGACATGTTCGGCCTACGAGCTGGGAGGGGGAAGGAGCGTGCTTCCTCGCATAGATGCTGACCTATCGAACCTCGCAGCATGCGAGGCTGCGCAGGAGGACAGGGACATGCGATGCTGGGAGGGCGTTCAGACCCTCCACTTCCTCTCTGGGAAGACTCGCCATGTCCATACGTTCCCCCTCCGCCTTCCTCCCATGGCCAACGTGCGTGTGGAGCTCGGGTTCTCCTTCTTCTCGCTCCCCGTCTCCGCCATGCTCCGCAGAGACGGGTGCGAGGAGGATGGAGACTGTGCGGGGGGAAGGGAGCGATGGATGTCGACGACGGGCAGAGGCTTCAGCGTGCTGGTTGCCAGGTGGCTGAAGGGAGGGAACTACACGATGATGGTCTTCCAGCAGACCAACGTGTCCTCCAGTCGCAGCGAAGCCTGTCAGTCCTTCTCCTTCCGCTTCAGGATCGACAAGTCCTCCTCCTCATCCACCCCCTCCTCCTCCTCTGTGGTGCAGAAGGGGGGACGCCCTATACTCCCTCTTCCTTCCAACCTTGATCGCACTTCGTTCCTCCTCCTCTCTTCGGGCACTCATTTCTTCGGCAAGTTCGCCATGGAGGAAGGAGAGAGTTCGCACGACATGAAGTTCCACGTGCGGCAGTGCGAGGGCGGGAGGAAGGCGTCCCTGCGCATCTTCATGGTGCCGGATGGCGTGCAGAACGTGCTGTCATGCTCCTTGTTGGGGGCTGAGGGAGGAGAGGAGGAGGTGGCGAGGAGCAAGGAGGTGCACATGGCACGGGGAGGAGGAGCAGACGCGCGGCAACGAGCTGTGCATGTGCTTGCGAGCTTGGCGGCTGGGGAGTATCGGCTGAGGATCAGGACCGAAAGTTTCGCGCCCGGAGCAAGAGGGCGAGGGAGTTCATTCAGCATGCAGTTCGGCCTGTCGTGCGAGGAGAGGAGCGAGGAGGAGGGGGCGGAGGGGAGGGCGCAGGAGGGAGGGGGAGATGAGAAGCTGTCGCAGAAGCTGGCAGTGCGAACGCTGCCTTACATCTCTCAGTCTCGCCATGTCGCGATAAGCAGCAGGCAGGCGGCTGAGCGTGAGGGGGAGGTGGACGTGGTTCCGCTGGAGTTTGAGCAGGACGTGGAGCTGCATGTGGTTGTCTCCTACGAGTTTGTGAGGATCAAAATGTTCGCAGTCCTTGAGCGACAGGATTTGCATGAAACTGCACGACAAGGTACAAGCAGCGGCAGCGGCGGCGGCGGCGGCAGCAGCAGCAGCAGCGGTGGCGGTGGCAGCAGCAGCAGCAGGAAGAGGCAAATTTGGATCTGCAAGGAATCGTTCAACGCATGCGAGCTGAGGCTGGAGGTGAAGAAGGGAAGATACACCTTGAAGCTCCTTGCTTCCCTTCCCCTTCCTTCCTCCCAGACGCTCAGGTACGCGATCAAGATCTCCGCTGCTCTCCTCAAGCAATCTTCTGCTCTCCTCTGTGCACATGCCGAGGGTCTTCCTGCTTCCTTGTCCCTCCCCTCTCCCTCTCTCCCCCCAACTGCCATCGCTTCCACTCGCGCTTCTGGTCATGGAGGACGAAGCGTCTTGGTCTGGTCTGCTGCGGACATCATCTTCCCCAAGTCTGAGCCTCGCAAGCCGCTGACTCCTATATCCCTTCACCTCTTGACTCTCCCTTCCTCCTCCTCTCCTCGTTTCTTCCTGCATCTTCGTATCCGCGACAACTTTCCCTATGGCAAAGTTTCTGCCAAGCCCGTTGTGCGATTCGGAAAAGAGGAGGTGAGCCATTCCTTCTATTCCTCCAGATTATCACTGCATCCTCCTCCTCCTCCGCCTCCTCCTCCGTCTTCTTGTCCCTTTCCTCTTGCACGTAACTCCGCCTCCGCCTCTTCCTGTCCCACCACCACCTACTCCTCCGCCTCCTCCTCTACTACCCCATCCTCTGCCTCCTCCTCCTCGTCTGACTCCACGGGACCCAGAGCAAAGAGGATCGAGCATGGACAAAGCTCTTGTCTTCCACCCCTCTCCAAGACGATCACGAGCTGTTGTTCTACAGCAGCGAGACTCTTCAAGCACAGGCTGCAGCTGACATCGTCCTCCTCCTCTCTGCCAAGGTCGGGTACCATCGCCTCCCCTGCTCCACTTGGGGGATGCAGATCATTCTACGTCCGGAGGAACAGGTCGACAAGATGGGAAGGTGCCCCGCCAATCTCATCAGCGCCCTTCCTCCTCGTGAGGTACGAGTCGTGCGAAACCAGGAGGAGGAGGGATGGGGGGGAGGAGGGAGAGAGGGAGAGAGAGAGGCATATGGGGAAAGAGGAGGAGGCAGAGAAGTTCGTAAAAGAACGAGGGGAGATGGGAAGGAATGAGATATGAATGGAAGAGAAAGGAGGAGGGAGGAGGAGGAGAGAGAGAGAATTCTGATAAGACCGAGCAGGTCAAGATGCAAGGAGGAAGGGAAACGACGGAGCAGGTGGACACCATGGTTGACGTCAGCAAGTGGCCGACAGTCGATCCTTCATGCACCCCCTCCTCGCGGGGAGAGTGTGAAGCGATTCATGACGTAGACATTGAAGTGGAGGAGGATGCTCTTCTGCAGGTAAGGCCCTGTTGAGGAGGAGGCAGGAGGCAGGAGTCAGGAGGCAGGAGGCAGGAGGCAGGAGGCAGGAGGCAGGAGGCAGGAGCAAGGGAGGAGAGTTCACGAGGGGGAAGAGTGGGTGGAATTTGATAACAAGGAGGCAGGAGGAGGAGCAAGGAGGCAGGAGGAGGAGGAGGAGGAGGAAGGGAGATGTTTCTGCTGCTCACAGACCTCTGCTGTTGCAGTTTCACCTGCAGTTCGACCCCATGCTCGTCTCCTTGTCCGCCTCCCTCATCGCCGTGACCGGCTCCTCCTCCTCAGTCCTCAACGTCGCTCGCCCTCGCCTGGGAAGGAGCAGCTTCGAGAGGGAGGGGACGAAACTGACGGACCGCATGAGGGAGGAGGAGGGGTCCTCCCTCCCCCTCAGCAAGCTGGAGCTGTCCCAGCCTCTTCCCCCCGGTCGCTACTTATTGAGGATGAAGCGGCTCTACAGGAAGTCTGCGCGAGAACAAGCGCTGTGCTCCCCTCTATCCTGGAGAATGCGGCTGGTGCCGTTTGCTCTCCTTGCTGCTAAGAGACCTCTCGTCCTGTTCCTCGACCCTCCTGGTATGATTGGAATCCCCAAACTCCTCGGCGAATTTCTTGTCCGCATAACGCTGAACAAAGTGGTCAAAGGGCCGCTGCAAGCAGGTGACCTGACTTCTCCTCCTCCTCTCGCTCATCCACGTCCTCCTCACCCCTCCTCCACGTCCTCTACTCGCCTCTCTTCCTCCTCTTCACCCAACCACATCCTTCTCTACATCTACCTTCTCCCACTGCTCCGCCTCCCTCTCCTCATAATCTTGACTGCTCCACTCATATCACTCCACAGATCTCTTCAAGCTCGCTCGGCTTGACGCGGCTGGAGAGGAGGGAGGGAGCATGAAGGCATCGTGGATTCAGCCGCTGGGAGAGGAGCAGGGCCTCCATGGCTTCCACGGCTGGTCCTTCCTCCTCGCCTTCCCCACCATCGGCATGGCTGTTGGCAAGCGCTACTACCTTCTCGCCCCCCAAGAGAGCAGCAGCATACTGCCTCCTCCCAAGTTCTGGTTCGAGTTCACAGCGGAGGACTGCTCTGCTCGTGGCTTCAGGTCGAAGGTAAGGCTCCTCCCTTGCCCTGCCTAACCTGACAAGGGGAGGAGGACGGGATGTGCGAATGCCATGGAGGCTTTGCGGGATGGAACTGCTCGGTCTGCGCGAGGGAGGGCGGCTGTGTGGAAGGAGGTGGTAGAGGTAGGGAGGAGGAGGAGAGGAGCCATAGCGGCCTCGTGCGAGTGGTAAGCGCCTTTAATGCGCTGTCTTTACTCGCTCTGACTTGGTGGACAGAGCAAGAATGTGTATGCCAATCCAAGAGAGCAGCAAGGGAGGGCGACGTCTCGAGGCGAGACAACGGAACCCCGCCGGGACAGGGAGGAGAGACCGGGCCCTCAGCAGTCAGCAGGAGCTCGGGAAGGAAGCACGCGGGAGGGGAAGGAGCAACGAGGGGGGAGAGACGATTCTAACCTGCACAGCATCCAACCAAGAACCGTCATCAAGAAGACTCCAGGGTAATGTCGAGATTGTATCCTCCAGCGCTCGCTGACTTCGACGCTCTAAGGACGATGAAGAAGCGCTCCTTCGTTTGTCAGCTCATTGGCTGCGATGAGACTTCCAGTGAGTTGACGGGAGCGAGGCCCCTGCCCCTGACGGTGTCGGCAGCATCTGTCTTCTCCGTCCTGGCCATCATCATGATATCGTTCGTCCTGGTCCTCATTGTGCTCATGTACTCCTCTGGCTCTGCTCTGTCACCCCTCACCCTCGTTGGCAGGTACAGGAAACGAAGGCAGAGCAAGAAGATGATTCTTCTAAGGCAGAGGATTCATCGCTTCGACCACGATGACCTCTAATGATCCGACGTGTCATATCATGCGAAACGTCACTGTTTTCTTCCCTCGCCCCTCGCCTCTCCTTCTTGTCCTGCATCATGCTTGCTCTCTACTAAACTATCGTTGACTTGGGAACTTCCGCTTCATGTCCTGCGCAGAACGAGCCTTTGCAAAGTAGCCAATAGTTGTATTGCGAATTGCCGTTGTCATTAGGTGAATTCTTCTCGAGCCAAGACAAAGTCAGAAGGTCAATGGCAGAAGATACGAGGAGACAAGAAAAACCTGATCTGCTATCTTCCAGCCTGTCGTGTCAGTCTTGTCAACATCCTTGTTGCTCGATTTCTCGTTTTGAAAGTTTGTCGCGCCTGCGCAATGTCAGGAAAAATCAGCACTGAAGAACACTATAGAATCACCGAATGAGATGGATGTGTACGCCTTTCTGAATGTTGATAATGTCTCGAACATCACAGAGTTTGCAAGAAACACATCGCCTGAGACAGCATCGTCAGAGTCGTACTGAAAATTTGTGCTGGCCCACATCCTTCATTTATCTCAACTTTCATTCACATTCTACATTCATTCATGAAGGCTCAACCTTGGCTCGCATCTGCGTGTCAAACTCACTTGAGCTGGCTCTCATTCTCTGTTTCCCCTCGGCTTCATTCCCAGCATTATGATCATGTATCAATCTCATCCTAGTCTTCGCCATTATCACGGTCGACATGTCTCAATAACGTACAGCGATTCTATTTCAAGCGAATCTCCTACATCGTATATCGTAATGCACAGTTCTTCCACCGTCCTTTCCACCCAACTCCTACTGGCGGCAGCAGCAGCAGCAGCAGCGGTAGCAGCAGCGGTAGCAGCAGCGGTAGCAGCAGCGGTAGCAGCAGCGGTAGCAGCAGCGGTAGCAGCAGCGGTAGCAGCAGCGGCGGCAACACCAACAGCAGCAGCAGCAGCAGCAAATGCGGAAGAAGTTGCATAAACACAATCACTGCCGTCAACACCTTGAACTAGCTCTTGATCATCAACTCGATCATCATCACTACCACCATCACCACCACCACTATCACTCCCATCATATCGCCTGCGTCGCGCTCATCGCCCTCCCCTCCATTCCGGTTTCCTCGCATCGCACTGCCATATCCGCACAGTCGGTTCGAGTCCTCGAGTGATGTTCAACTTATTGAGCTAAATTTGAATTTCTGCATGGTCTGGGTACCAAAATATCACCTGATAGAAAAAAAAAGAAAAAAAGGACTCAAAGCCATCACGGCGGATTTAGAACACGGACAGGTACGCGAGGTGGGTGGTGCGATGAGTATTAGGGCGATAGGGGTAGTAGGGCGGTATGGGAAGGGTGGGTGGGTGGGACTGTGAGAGGTCTAGGGGGTGGAATGTAAGGTCACGTCTATGGGGTGGGGTTGAGGTGCGGGTGCAGTAAAGACAACAGAAGGGGTGGGGTCATGGTTGGGGGCTATAAAAACAATTTTATTCCATCGTTTTGGTGATGGGTCTCGCTCGGAAATTTGAGGGTGTTGACAGAAATGGAGGGGTAATGCTCAAAATGGGGTCATGACCCCCAGGGAAAATATGGGGTTATGAACCTAATCATAAGGGGTTATGGGATGATTATGAATGATGGTGACGGGTGGTAGTTTATAATGTACGGGTGTGTAGTTCACCTAGTCAATGGAGGAGGTAGGGTCCGAGGAAAGTAAAGAAAAACGATTGTTTTTTTTTTTTTTGCGACTGGGGAGTGGGGTGCTACTAAGAGTGGGGGTGAAGGGGTTATCCTCTGTGGAAATAACGGGTAGAGTGCATTTGATGGGTTTTATTACCGGTACTAAGATGGGCGTTGTACCCGGTGGTAAATCAAAGACTGCTTCTGAGGGGTAGGTGTCTGTGGTACAGAAAGTGTCAGAAGTGGGTAGGGTATAAAACACAGGGGTGGGGTAGAGTGAGGGTGGTCATTGAATGAGAAGGTGACTAGCTTTGATGGATGCATGAGGGGGTGGGTAGTCGATGGATGGGAAAGGTAGGGTTCATGTGATCTCTCATGAATCCAGGGTGGGTAGTGAAATACCCGGTGGTCGCGCTACTCCGACGAATTTTTGGGGATCAGAGGGTGGATATTGAGGTGAAATGTAGGGGTCCTCGCCGAGAATGTCCAGCAAATGGGGTGTGGGCCAAAAAGTTGTCGGACTATCAGGGTGGGGTATTTATGATGAAAGCGAAGAGGTGCGAGGGAAAATGGCTACAACGTTCCGAACCATAGGACACAAGAGAGATAGCGAGAGGAAGGAAAGAGCAGAGGAGGAGGAGAGGGATTTTGCAAGTACGAGATGAGAAAAGACGAGATCATGTAGCATCATCGGGCCCAGAGAGTAAGGGGCTGAGCAGAGGAGAAGGAAAAGGATTGGATTCGTGAGTGCCTAGGACTTTGGGGGAGAGGGAGGAGGAGCCCAACATATGTAAGGGAGTTTGATGTAGCAAACTTACAGGGTAAGATGTGTAGATGAGATGATCAAATGTTGGAAGCAGCGGAGATACATACAGGGGCATAACTTGGTCAAGTAATGGAAGGTTGGCTAAAGATGTGATTCAGTGCATTTTTGTCAGTGAAGGAGTTGAGAAACGAAATACAAACAGCTTATGTATGGGAGCAAGCTCTCAGAGCATGCCGTAGCAGAATTCTGAGTAATTGGTATTCGTTGAAATGGTTCGATGAGAACGACCGAAGGGGCAACATGGCTGGAAAAGCCACCTGAGGCATTTGCACTGCGAAGTGAATCATTTTAGGCAGGTTGTGGATTAGATGTGCTGATCATCCTGGCGTGAGGAGCAACAACTATGTCAGGATATGTTTCCATCAAGGAGAAATCTCCCCAAGAGGAGGGTAGAGGCCACAACGAGCCTCGGGAGACGTCGCCCGGTCGAATCGAGCTTACAGCGGTATCGGGAATGAGGTTCTTCGCTACTCTCTTCCTCGTATGTGGAAGGTCGATCGAGACGTTGTGGATCGACAGTGGGAGCGAGGCAAAGTTTCTCAGCGTCACTCTCTGCAGGTGATGTCCCGATGTCCAGGTACCGCTCCGTAAGTATTCTGACGCATCGTGCTGTAGTGGCCTGCACCTTGGAGCCAAGGACGTGGTCTCCTTCTACTACGTACTCAGTGGCTTCACATTGGCGTGGGGCTATGGCAACCGAGATCTCGATTCGTCTGAGGTTCGGTGGAGGTACTGGACAAGAAGGTTCGTTCGGTTCTACCCGGATTTCGCTATATCCACAATAGTCACTTTCTTGTTGAAACAACCTTTCTTCTTTGGCTGCCATGACTACGGATGGCCAAGTTGGGTATCTCAAGGAACAAGCCTCCTCCTCTTCACTGCATGGTATCGCTTTATCCCTGGGTCTGGATACATCAATGGCCCTGTTTGGTTCATTGTAACGCTGTTCTGGCTGTGGATTTTCTTTCCATATCTGTTCGGCGCAAGCAAGAAGGTTTTCGAGAATGTCTCTTGGAGCACCTTCCTGTTGAAAATGCTGGCGCTGTGGGTGATCAGCTTGGTCCCCTGGGCTTTCATCGATGAATCTAACGTGGATACTTTGAGATGGGCGCTTCGATGCTTCCCAATTCTCCGCATTCCTGAGTTTGTCTGTGGGATTGCCCTTGCTCTAAGAGTGCGCAGGGACAAGGTGATGTTGCTGTTCCCCACTTGGCTGGATGCTCACGATGTTGACAGGACGAACTGAGACTGTACGGCAGCTCAGACTCAGAGTTTCATCCTCGCTCTTTCGTGGGCTTCGCTCCCCTCATCTGCGTATTTTTTGCCTTGTTCTATTACGCGTACAGCATCTACTTGTGGCCTGAGGACTGCACGTGCTTGGACTCGAGATACTTTCATTGCTTCGGATGGATTGAGGCCTTCGACACCAAGTTCCTGCCCTTGTCAGCTATCGTCATCTACAGCGTCACAACGTTGGACGTCTGCGCTCACGACAACGGGACTGCTGAGTTTGATAATGTCAAGAAGCACGTCGGCGTTGTCGGAGCCTACCTGTGGAGCTTCTTCTGCCTCGACTTCTTCGTCATGGTGGGCAAGTGGGGGCTGCCCATCTTCTTGTGGCAGGCTGCGGTGAACGTGCTGGTCGAGGCCTTCCTGGTGGACGTTCACTGGGGGTTGGAGAGCCGCTGCACACCACAGGTAAGGGGAAAGTGCACTTGCAAGATCCGTCATCCTGACATGAATCTGCAGTCCTTCACGCTCGCATACGCCGTTTTCTACTGGATCTTCCACTTGCTCTCGGCGTATGTCGTCGCGTACCTCATGTACGAAGAGGGGCCGGTCGGACGCCTCATGTGAGCTGATGAGCTATTGGTGATCTGAGGGACTCATGATTTTTGCAGACACTCGGGCGTCGCGTACTTTGTGAAAGATAGCTGAAAACAACAAACACAACATACTATTTTCTTTTTTAACTGCTGGACAAGCTGACTACCTTATTGTTTGAATGAAACTTTCTTTAAATGTCAAGTTGCTTCCTCCAGTCGCTTGCGCGCATCAGCTGTAGATAGATGCTACCATGCCTGCCTCATTAGAACAGTCCTCCCCTTCTTCTGCTCTGTTTGTCGAATGCTATGTTGTACTGGCAGCAAGGCATCACCTCCACCGTCAGTACATACTCAAAGGATTACCTTGTCAATCAGCTCATTGATAGAATTCGTGCCCTTCGTCATAGTCGCTAGGTATGTCACCTGGACAGAAAGTTGATCAAACAACTGGGGTTGCAGTCCATCTATCTTACAAGCATGGTGTCGTTGTGAAGCTGCAGCAAGTCTTCTTTGAAGTCTGGGGTATCCGTAGCAGGCAACCGCTGGCACAAGCTCGCAACCTTGGTAGCAACTCAGAGGAAGAGATCTGGTTAGGACAGCGACTAGCTCAACCTGTCGGAGCAGTCTGTGGTCTTTCTTGACTTCACCCTTCTCCATCGCCTACGCTCCATCAGGCGGCAATAGCAATTGAGCTTACCCTCCTCCTCACCTGCAACAGAGAGAGGATGCATTGTACACGCTTCTGGAGCATCGTCACCGCAGAGTGCACTAGAGAGGTCGAGCCATGATCAGGACTGCAAGGATTCCAGCTCCAAGGAACCTGACGACATGTGGCTCGACATGACGGAGGATGCTGAGGAAGCCCCGGCCGGCAGCAAGTGGGAGACCTGGGCAGGAGTGAGCTGCGGGTTCCGGCACGTGCAGTCCTTGCCTGATCGACAGACACCCTCTCCGCCTCCTCTGTCTCGAGGTGATACGTGCTCCGGGCGAACGTGAGGGCTGGAACGTCGTCGATGATGTGAACCTGGAGGAGGCACTTCGTCGCCGGAATCAACAAGTGCTATCAAGTCACCTCAGACTCGAGGATATGAACAGGGAGGTCCCTAATGCCCGCTCCTTCAGAAGTGTCGAGGATGAGGTAAAGGGGATTTTCTATGATGGAGCCGATCTGCGGGGCAGAAGACCTTCAGGATGGAAGCGGCGACGTCAGAGCCTACCTCTCTATGAATCTCAATGTCTCCCGGCAGAGCCTCACCAGGTTTCACTCGCTACAACAGGGATCAGACGACCGAAAAACATCTGGCTGGATGCTTGCCTGTGTGGAGTTGCTATACCAGCCCAGCATCTCATACTTGGGGAAGACCTTCTTGTCTGTAAGGAATCGTCTGAAATCAGGACTCCTCAGCAAGCAAGTATGATTCTAACATTGTTCTTGCTTGATGTTGAGAAACTCCATGTCTATTTGTAGTTTTTCCCCGTTGGTGTTGTAATCGAGCTCGAAAGAATTACATAACTCAACGTTCCTGCCCTCCTGCCATGAAGCACCAAGTCAAATCCTTGGCAATACAATATCAGGATCCCATGCTGCCTGCACATTCTCATCAACCCCCTCCTCTTGCTCCTCCTGCTCCTCTTATTTTCCTCTTCCTGCTGCTCCTGCTCCTCCTCCTGCTCCCTGCGTCCTTGCCACATTACCAAGTCAGAGGGTTTACCTGCACTCCAAGAAGGATCCCCAGGACCCTCTGTGGGACATTTCCCTGTTGAGCTCGCTTCCTCATGGAGTGATCAGCGATATTGATGACCACAAGAGGATGGAGGGAGATGGAGAGCTCGGCTCCTCCTCCCTTCCCTTCCCGCGCCCCTTCCTCATCGGTTTCCATCCTGCCTGCCATGGGCTAGCTGTTCCACTACCCCCCTTTTATCACCCCATTTTATCATTCAAGAGTAGGGGTATGTGGGGGGTACTGATATTGAGTAAAGTTTTCAAGAATATGCTCCGAGTCGCGGCGCCGTCACTGAGTCAACTTGAAGTTGAAACTCAGCCTGTACCGTCCGGCACCCGGGCCGGGCCCGGGGCCCGGCGGACTCGGCGCCGTGGCTGGTTGCCCGCTCGTTGAAACTTTAGTCAGTGCCGCCGCACAAGACGGCGAGCCCGCCAAAGATAGATGGCAGGCGCGGCCCTAGCCTAGTCACTGAGGCGGCAGGCGGTCCTTGAAACCCCGGCACTGAGCATCTAGACGGATTGGAACTTCGGAAACAGGCTGACATACTGAGAGGTGACCTGCGTCAAACGTTTGAAACGTAGCCTACACACGGCCTGCCATCATGATGCCATGATTGCCGCCGCCTGAGTCGGCGCAACCTTTCAATCAAGGACGGTCGTCTCCGAGGCTCAGTCTTGGTTTCAAGTTTACGGTAGTATAGGAGTCGGACTGAGTTTTGTGAAAGTTAACTCGGTGCTATCTGACTGGCACGGCTCAGCTGGTATGCGATCCATTCCCGAGTCCCAGCGGGCTGTCCGTACGCTGGTCCGTACGGTTGACTTAACGGCACTTCCGGGGCCCTACATTAGCCCTCATCCCCCATCCAAGGCGAGTCGCAATGCTCCAACAAGCTTGGGACCAAGACAGCATGGAAGGCGCAAGAGGAGCTTAGGTGAGGCTGGAGGACGACGGCAGGTACAGGTGGCAGTAGAACTCGTTGAGGTAAGTCAGCATAAGTGTGCACTAGTGAGCATGCGTTGAAGTGAAATTGGTCTTGACGTTGTAACATTTACCCAGGGGCTTTGTGTGCAAACAAAGAGATCCCGAATTGAAGCTGGAAGAAATGCCGTCAGTGTTACAGAAACAGTTCATCCCTTTGATGGGTTCATGTAGTTTTGAATCCCATTGAAATCAGAATGAACTCTTCTCGCCTGTCGCCTTCAAGGCTTCATCAAAGCTCACCAGATCCTAAGCTGTGAGGTTGTTTCTCTCTCAACTGTGAATTCTGATGCCTTGTACGACCATCAAGTCGGAGGGAGAATGTGAATCACCTGCTCAGCAACATCCAAAGGAAGGTTGGAAGTGATGTGCACGTGTCGATCAGCGCTGACTTGTTCATCAGTTGGTTGAAGACGGTTTGCATCCTGACTACAATCCCTCGGACAAGCAGCTCAAAGATGTATCTCCTGCTACCGCACGCGTGCTCTACTGACGATGGGGTGCCCGTAGGTGATCTATGACGTGGTCACAGAGAAACTGCGAGAGGTGTCGGGGAATGCTCATCGTTTCTACACTTTCAACCTTGTGATCGATCTGGAGGACTTGTCTGTGCTTGAGAACAACGCGTCCTTCCAAGAGCTGATACAGAAGGGGCTGATCAAAAAGACTTCCTTCGGTCAAGATAGCTCCCTCGCTCCCCTGTCCTCTTCTGGAACCGAGCGGGGATGGCAGGGGTCGGATGCGTCTCTGCAGAGCTTTCTGCCGGATACAAGACTGTTTGACGTAGAGAGATTGAATGTTGTTTTGGATCTGAGCAGACATCGGATGGACCTTCAGGAAATGAAGCAAAGCTTCTGGTTCTGGGCCATGAATGTCAAACACGCAAGGAGGGAGAAATGCAACATTTTGAAAGATTCCATGCGAGCTCGAAGACATTTCATGTCCTGGAAGAATGCCTGCAGAAACTGTACCCATCTACAACGAATGGTTGCTTGGAAATATTCATATCTATGCTCAAATCTTTTGAATTTAGTTTTGCAGAAAGACTGCATATCCATGCACATCCAGAGAAAAAGAAAGGAAACTTTGAGTAAATCTTACATTTTTCGGCTAGGAAATAGATTTACTTTACAGCCAACAATCAAAACGTGGAGGGAACGAATAATTTATACAAAACGATTCATCTCAGCTGCAAGCAGAATGTATGCGAGAGTGCTACTTGGTTTGAAAACTAAATTCCTGCTGATATGGAAACAAATTCGAGTTGGCAGGGACCAGTCTCAGTCAGATAGCTCCTTGCTGCTAGAATGCTCTTTGCCTACTGAGCTGTGTACATCTCTCAAGCTGGTTGGCAGAACTCGAAGATTGTTACTGAAAGTGTTTTATGGGTGGAAGAACAAAGCAGAGACTGAGAAAACATTTTTTCGTTACGGGTATGTGCTAATTATGCGAAGACTGCAAAGGCGGTTCCATTTGATTCTTGCGCAATGGTTTGACCATGTGAATAGCTTGCGCTTATGCAACGCAAAGGTCTACCGCATGCATGAATCACGAAACAGGAAGTACTTGAAGGAAAGCCTCGTTGCCTGGATAGTCTCGTCCGGGTTTGAAAGGAAGTTCTTCACACGCCATCAAAGGATCTTGTTAACGCACGTCAAACATCGCATCATCGCATCTTGGTTCTACCTGGTGAAATCAAGGCGGTACATCCGTCGAACTCATTTCCTCCTTTGCTCAAGGGTTGCAGAGATGCTCCTGCAAGACACTCTCCGAGCATGGCGGGAGCATGTCCACCGGCAGCACAAGATCCTTGCAAGAAGCATGATGCACGATGTGCTGGTGGCTCAGAAGTGGCTTCATGTATGGCAGCACGTTGTGCACGCCAAGACTGAGATGATGTTGTTGGAAGCCCAGTACTCAAACTTCTTTTCCATCAAGATGCTCAAGGGGATTTTTCACAAGTGGAAGATGCTTTCTCTTCTTAATCGCACCACTAGGAAAGCTCAGGTGCAGACATATCTCAACTCCAAGTCTCATCACACGTCGACGAGCACGTTCCGGTCGTGGAAGCAGTTGGGGCTCATATCGAAACACAAGACGATCAGGTTGGCGAAGCTGCAAGAAAGACATTTGACGGGGAGGATGAGATCAGCTCTGCAGGGCTGGAAGGGTTCCTGCGTGAGGGATGGGGAGAGTTCTCTCATGGCCCTGAAGCTTCACCTTGTTGTGAGCTCTGCTCAAACTGAAGATGACTTGTTGGAGTCGCTTCTTGCGCTGATCAAGGAACGAATGCTCAGTAATGGTATTCCGCGGGAATCAGTCTTGCTCGTTCGGGTGCTGAGCCAAGATTGTGTGTACGTCATATCGCTCTCGGGGCTAGATGAACAAGGAAGGCAAGCGATGAGCAGCATGGTGGAGCATTTGAATCATCAGACGGGAGAATGGTCTAGCATGCAAACGTCGGGAGCTGTTGAAAGTGCGGAGTTGACATTCCTCGACCTCCGCGGGATCCTGAAGCTGATAGTCGTTGAGTTTGAACACAGGGAGCGAGAAGTCTCTAATCTGAGCCAGGTGAAGACAACCATCAGTTGCTTCTATCTACATCACTGATGATTCTTGTTTCCTCAGGAGATACAAAAGCTTCGCAATGATGCCGACGTGTTCGATAAACTTGCCATAGACAGAGAGTTTGCTGCACTGGAGGTGGCAGAGAAACGAATGATGTCGATCAAGAAGCTTGTGACGGCGCTGGTAAGGAGGACGACGATGTTCAGGTGTTGGAGGGATTTTATCTTGAGCTTGAGGCGTGAGAGCTGGAGAGTGTGAGATGAGATCAGAGCAGTCATGTACATGAGACCTCAAGGTCCACTTAACCTAGAAAAAATGTTCTTGTTAAAAATGAATTCAATTTAGTTCTACAGCTTAGAGTACAAAACCTCTCCTCCTCCTCCTCCTCCTCCTCCTCCTCCTCCTCCTCCTCCTCCTCCTCCTCCCTCACTTGCGTTGACAAGCTCGCAGCAGCGCCGGGACGTCGATCGTCCCGTGCCCCTGACCTGCGAAGTCAAGGATCTGCTACGAGTCAGCATGAGGAGGTGGAAGAAGACGCGAGCGCACCTGTTGAAGAGTCTCCTGGTCAAACTTGAGGTCGCAGGCCTGGAGGACCTCGACGAGCTGCGTCCGCCTGATCCTCCCCTGCCCCTCCAGCCTCTTCATGATCGCCTGTTCCTTGCGCTTCATCGACTCGATTGCGTTCTTGAGCCCCTGGGAGGGCAGCAGCTGCTTGCTCTCCTCCTTACTGCCCTGCCAGAACAAGGAGGCGAACTGACTGAAGCTCATCACCAGCGCATCCTTCACCGCCGCCTTGAAGATCTGGAGCAGCTTCTCTGCGCTAGGAGCTGCTATCTTGGCCTCCTCGAATATCCTCGTGAAGCCGCTGGTGAACTGAGCGGCCGAGACACCTTGCTGATTCCGTAGCGCCGGGCCAGCGTTCTGCAGGGCTCGGAAGGCGCTGGAGACGTCGGGGAAGAAGTTGGCGAGCAGCCTTGCGAGGCGGACCCTTCGAAGCCTGGCCCATCGATCTTCCATGGCTCGCTTCCTGTCGTCCCTCCCCACCTGGATGCTCTCCCCCCTGCTCTCCTTCGACTCGGCGTCGTAGAAGACTTTTCTCAGCTCCTCGACGTCGAGGTCGCCGCTGCCGTCCTGGAGTCATCGGGGGGTCAGTCTCGGGAGGGCGCAGCCACTTGCTCTGGACCTCGTCGATGGCAAGGAAGAGCAGCCGCACGTCTCGCTTCGTCAGCCTCATGTTCACATTCGAGAACCCGCTCTGTCGTACACGTCAGCATGTCTGACCCCCGCTCCCCCCCCCCCCTTCCTCCTCTCCCTCCCCCCCTTCTCCCATACCTGCAGCTCTTTCACGGAGACAGTTCCGTCCTGTACACAAGGCGGGAGTGAGCTAACGTTGTGGCGATCAGGGAAGGAGATCCAGGGGAGGACGTTTGGATGTGAGGTGAGCAGGCGAAAGAGCAGGAAGGAGAGGAGGGAGAGGCTGGAGAAGTCGAGAGAAGGAGGGGGAGGGAGGATGCAGAGCCTGCTGGCCCGCTGACCTTGTCCAAATCGAGGATCTTGAGGAATTCGTCAACAGTGCGGAAGGAGGCTCTGATGTCGACCGACAGCTCCGCCAGCTTCTCTCGCTCCCAGTCGAGCGGCTTGTCGTAGCCGAACAGCAGGTTGACTAGCTGCGCTCGGGTCAACGAGTGTTTCGATCGCTGCGAGCTGGTCAGCCAGTCGAAGAGCAAGGTAGCTTCGGAGATGGTCCTGCTCTTGAGCAGCGAGCAGTAGAGGTTGCAGAAGTCGTCCCTTCCGAACTCCTTCTTCCTCAACAGGTCTTCTGGCCTGTGCCCTCCGTCATAAACCGCGTCCTGGAGTTCGTTCATCAGCTCTATCCGGAAGTCATAAGTCGTCATGAGGTTCCGTATCGTCTCCTCGCTCATCGTCCCCGACTTGCCCCCGAGCCTCTCGCAGATCTGATCCCAGTGAGTTGCTGCAAGCTGCTTCTTGTTCATGATGCCTCCGTCTTCCACCAGGTCGACCATGGACGCGAAGTTGTAGGACTTGTTCTGTGCTGCGGTCGCAGTAGCGCCTGCTGGTGGCGGGAGCTTCTGAAGGAGTGCATCAGCTGAGCCGAACCTGCGGCTGAGCGAAGTTCCGATGTGGTGCATCAGCCTGAGAGACACGGTCAAAAGACAGCGAGCGAGCAACAGAAGTTGTATCGTCAACCATCATCATCATCATCATCATCATCATCATCATCATCATCATCATCATCATCATCATCATCATCATCATCATCATCATCATCATCGGCGGACCCTCCTGTCCTTGATCTCCTTCCGACCTGTCTTCTTACCCTCTCTGTCCTACTCCCTCCCTCCTCATCTCCCCCCTATCTTCCATCTCACCTCTTCACTTCCCTCCAGTCAAGGGGAACGATGGTTGGTACAACCACGTTTCCATCATGATCTTTCCCCAGCATGTCCAGCAGCTGATCGAACGCCTCTGCATCGAACCCTCCTCCTCTCAGCATGTCTTGGATCTCGTTCTTGTGGACTTTGACTGGCGCAGACTTCAGCTTGGCTCCCTTGGCCGTCTTCAACAGCTGCTCTTGCACATACAAGATCGCCTGCTCCACGGGGACGTTGGGAACGAACTTCTCGATCAGCCGAACGAACTCGTGCTGGTCGAGGAAGAGCTTGTTGGTGCCCCGCAGCAGCCCCGCAAGGTCTCGCTGTGCTACATCAGCCTTGACAGCCTTAGACTTGGAACGCTGGGAGGAGAGGGAGAAGGAAGCGACTTCTGGGGCAAACTTGTCCAGGTCCTCGATCCCAACGTACCCGTCATTGTCCTTGTCGATCTTGACGAAGAGATCGGAGATGGTTTGCCTACGAGCATGGGCGATGTCCTTGATCATCCTCGCTGCGTCCACTGCGCTGCCGCCCTGGTCGCCGCGGAGGTGGGAAGAGGAGGACATCTTAAAGGCTCCTACCGACATGGAGGAGATGAACTGGCGGAGGTTGAGCCTTCCTCTGTTGTTCACGTCCAGGGTCCTCCACATGACGTCCTCCTCCTCCACGCTCATCTTCACTCGCGCGTGCTGGATCAGACTCCTGAACTCCTGGAAGCCAATGAAGTCTTGCTTGGCGAACTTCTTGAACACTTGCTCCGCGCCCGTGTAGCCCAGCTTGGAGAGGTAGAGGGAGAGCTGAGGCAACGTGATGGGACAACAAACGCCACGTCAGCACGAGAAGCGCACAAGTAGACAGTTGACAAGTTTCCAACCTTGGTGGCCAGATGAGCAAACTTGTCCGACTTCTTGACGGACTCCAACCCGAATCGACCGACGAACTCGTCGATGTCCAGGAACCCGTTGCTGTCCTTGTCTGTTAGGTACATCAGCTTGCGGACCTGGCGACATCCACAAGGTTAGCTGGCGACATCGACAAGGCCAGAGCAGGGAGGAGGAGCTCGGCACAGCGGACGCACACCTGATGCTTCGAGCAGCTCACTCCTAAGGACTGAAGGCCTTCAGTCAGCTCCACCTCTGAGAGCCTGCTGTCTCTGTCGCGGTCAAACTGACATGCATGAAAGTCAGCCGAGCAGGCGATGGGAGAAAGGAGGAGGAAAAAGAGGAGGAGGAGGAAAAAGAGGAGGAGGAGGAGGAGGAGGAGGAGGAGGAGGAGGAGGAAAAAGAGGAGGAGGAGGAGGAGGAGGAGGAGGAGGAGGAGGAGGAGGAGGAGGAGGAAGAGGAGGAGGAGGAGGAGGAGGAGGAGGAGGAGGAGGAGGAGGAGGAGGAGGAGGAGGAGGAGGAGGAGGAGGAGGAGGAGGAGGAGGAGGAGGAGGAGGAGGGAGGCCCACCTTGTCGAAGAAGGACTTTGGGGAGATCTTTCTACTGATCAGAGCCTTCTGGATGCTCTCCAGCAAGTTCGCGTCCGCCTCAGACGACTGGACGTTGTGATGGTCGAACCTCTTCTGGAGTTTCAGCACGTCTACGTTGTCCTGCCCAGAAGTGACGTCAGCAAGTTTCCCAGCTCCTCCCGGCCTGTCGGTCACCTGCAGCTCTGTGAGGGTCAGGGCCTTGACGAACTCCCGCGCTTCTGCTTCCGAAAGCGACCGATCGAGCATCTTCACCATGCGCAGGAACTCCTCTGACGACACCTGACACGAAGTTGGCGTCATGGCGACGATGGGGAGCCGAGGCTGACTACCTTGCCGTCTCGGTTGAAGTCAGACTCGATGAGCAGTGCCTGCAGGGTCTTCTTCTTCTCGAACAGCTTGTCTTCGAGCCAGCGGAAGGCCTTCTCCTGCATCTGAAGGACGATGCCGTTGAGCCTCGAAGTGAAGTCTGCCTTGCGGATCTGGCACAAACGAACATGAGCAGAATTCTACGGAGAAACGTGCATGCACGAACAACACGCTTGATACTGAGAGTTGAGATACATCGAGGATGAAATTCTATGCACAGAACAGCACGGACCTCGCCATCAACCAGCTTGAACTTGTTGAAGATCCTGTCAACATGCTCGAGGTACAGCAGTGGATCGATCTGGAGGATCCACTCCCCAAACCTCTTCCTGCTTATCCCACTCCTGCTCCCTCCTGCGATCAAGCTGAACGCCTGCTCCAGCGAGTATCCGTGCTGCACCATCCACCTCTGACAGCGCAGCAGCACCTCCTGCTCCCAGTCGAAGGGGCGGGTATGACCTTCCAACATGCTCGCAAGCTCGGCATAGCTCCACTTCCTCTTCAAGTCCCACGAGAGCCCCTACGGAGACATGTGAGGAGCGAGTGGAGCAAGGCATGCAGGACGACCTGCCGCTCGAGATAGGACTTGCTCAGGATGTCGAGGGATCGTTTGACCTCAGTCCGGTCGATGCTCGCTACCTCACTCATGACTGCCGCAAGTTCTTCCAATGAGACCTGAACATTTTCTCACACGCTATTCATCTCATCCTCTAGCCTTCTCTGCCTCCCTTCTACCCCCATCCCTTCCTCCCTCCTCCGTTCTTCCGCCCTTGATCGAACCTCGTGTGCGACCCTCTAGCTTCCCTATCGCATCCTATCTCCCTGGCCCCTCTCTTTCTCCTTCCCACCTTGCCATCAACATCTCTGTCTGCCAGCTGAAAAATCTCCTTGAGAGTAGATTTCGCTATGTAGACGGCGTCATAGATGCATTTGAAGCAGAGCAGCTCCTTCTGCGAGAGCTTGTCCAGGTTCAAGAGCTTCTCAAAGTCAGATTTGTGCAGGACACTCCCGTGCTGCTTCTGCACTTGCTTGCGGAAGCTTGCAAGCTCATCGTCAGCGACGTCGGCTATCTTGCGTATCCCACTGATCTGGAAGAGACCGTGTCAGGTGCATTTATCTTTCTTGGTTTCCTTCCTCTCATTACCAGCTGCTCTACCGTGATCGTCGAGTTGTCGTTCGTGAAGAAGGCAAAGACATCATCACTGCTCGAGAACTGTCTGCTGATTGCATCTTTCATTCTCTGGATCAGAAAGCTGGTTTGCCCCATCTTGGACCTGTCCGAAGTTGACATGGACCAGTACTTCATCTCCTCCTGCCTCCTGTCTGAAGTAGTGATAGTCTCTCTCTTCACTGCCTTCGCCGGCTCTTGAGCAGGCTGCTCTTGGACCTTCAGCTTCGCTGATAGGAAACGTGCTTGTCGATTCTCGAATAGAAGTGCCCCTACAGGAAACATATCCAGCCCCGTTAGCTCCCCCCTCGCTACCTGCGTAAGGGTCACCAGCACTAACAGACGAGCTCTCAGGACTTACATCCTCCTTCACGCTCTCAAGCAGACCGACTAGAATGTCTGCAGCAACATCTCTTTTCATGTCGCACTTCATCGCAATCTCGGTGAACGAAACAGGATGCGCGACCATGGCGGCAGGAACCTTCTTAACATCCTTGCGGTAAGAGACCTGACACTTGGCGAGGAAGCCACTGTCTAGGTCCAGAGCGACGTCTTTGGATGTTTCTAGACACGGGAAGAACGTTCCTAGCCCGCTGATGCTCATCTGCCATCGTTGAACAACTCAGTGTTCATCGTCAACGCACATCCATCATCTAAAGGGTCCTACCGCTTTCCCGTTGCTCAGGTGTTCGTAGACGACATTGAAGAGCATCTTCCAACACTCAATCACTAGCCCGACGCCTCCATCCCTTGACGACCCCCTCGCCATCCTTCTGAGGTGATCGCTAACGCCAAAGAGCCGCCCGCGCACCGAGTTCTGCACCATCTTTCGCATTTCCAACGAGAGCCGGTTCCTGCCTTCTGCATGCCCATCGTCGTCTTCTGTGCTGCCCCGGTTCCTCAGGCTCGAAGCTTTCCCACGGTACTCTCCTTCTCTCCCTCCTGACCCTGTTCCTGCCCCTCCCCCCGCTCGCCTCCCCGCTCCGTCCATAGTCGCATTCCACGCCATTCAACGGATTCGGAAGTGTGGAAGTTTGAAAGTTCGAACCCCGAAACTTTCTATCTCCCTGAAGTTGCAGAACCGAAGTTCAAAGTTTCCAAGTCCGGCAAGTTTGTGGAGTTGCCATGGAGCGCCTGCGGCCTCGTCGCGACCTCACTGCGATGAGGGAGGAGGTGAAGAAGAAGCTGGCAGGCGAGCATGATGCTGGGAGATCCGGAGCAAGACTGAGAGCTGACGGACCTGCTTGTGAGGCAGGAGGGCACTTGGACGTCGAGCAGGCGGTAGCTAGTCGTGGGAATCAAACTGAAAGGGCCAAGGGGCGTCCCGAGGAAGGTGCAGACGAATCTGAGCCGCCGGAGAGGATCTCCCTCATCGATGCTCTTGTTGGTGACTCATTGGAGAAGATTGTAGATCGCCTGGATGGATTTGCTCTAGCAAGGTAAAACAGCTGCTACGGCTCCCCATATGCCTCTATACCAACTTCCGGATGACATATGCACTGACACGATCGTATCCCAGGTTGAGCTTGTGCTCTCGTGACCTTTTCAAGTCGTCATGCAATCAATACTGGTGCGTCCAAATGGCTTGCTGGCTTCTAATAGCATTGACCCTAACTCGCACAAAAGAATCCGCTTCTGTCCTGACTTGTTGATGGGGAAATAGGTGGCAGAGCAAATGCCACAAGGAATGGGGAAGTGAAGGTTGGTTTGGGCCAGAAACAAATGAAGTTATGAGCCATGGTCCTACGGCTCGGGCACTTGGAAACAAGGTTGTGCAGAGAGCAGAGAGCAGCGGGATAGCCGTTGGTGCGTTAGAAGTTTTCTGTGATCTTCCTTGTTGATCCGATCAATCAGATCAACTCACTTTGAACAAGCTTGAAAGTTATCCCATCCCTGCTCGAAAGACACTTCTGGAACTCGCTTCCTGCGGACAGTTACTTGGAGCAAATGTAACATTCTGAATTTTCTTCTTTGCTTTCTTCTTGGAAGGATGATGATGGCTAAACGCACAGAACTTGTCACCTTTTGATGGGTTGGCATTCGAAGAAACGCTGGGCTCAAGGTAACGTGCATTTTCTTAAAAACCGATATCCTCTAACTCTGAACAAGACCGGGGGGAGTCGGATCGAGTGGAATAGACTGGAAAAACACCTACAAAACTCTGAGTGGCATGTTGGCGATGTGCCACATTTACACTGCAAGAGCTGCCATTGCAGCACCTGGAAACAGAAAAAAGAAACTCAACGCCGTAATCAATGGTATGCAAGTGATCGCAAACTGGATCTCTTTATCTGTTTGTGATGGTAAAGGTAACGATTGATCGCATCCGGTATCGAGCTGCTGATCATGGGCAGGAAAATACTATAGGCGATTGTCACCACTCAGCAAGAAAAAGAGCAAACTTTCACGATACTTCCTAGTATGTTGTTTGTCCATAATCTGCTACACACTGACAGCAAGATTCAGTCCCTCCGGTGTTGCAATTTTCCCTTGTGCTTTCCATTGCAGATCCGTATTGCTATCCCCGGGGAGGAGGAAAGGTCAGCGGTTGTTTGGGCCTATTATTGCTTAAGGTCTAAAACAACACATAGAACAATGATACAAATACAATCAAAAGACTTGCGTACGATTTCTCACAAACTCGACACTGAAGTTTTATACCACACCGTAAGCTTCGGGACTCTGGGATTCTGCTTGTTTCTTGACATTTGTTTTCAGGGAAACGAGAAGATACCTTCATTTTACCTGGAAGTCTCCAGAGTGAGTTTACATGGACCCGTTGAACGAAGAGTGATGCTCCGACAGGATAGAGTCAGACAAGTCAAGAGAATGATAATGTCAATACCTCTCAACAACATCTCGAGTAACATCTTATCCTGCGCTGCATGGAACCCGCTTTTAATGATCAAGGTCTGTGTCAATCGTTCTCGAATGAAACTGATACAAATTCATAGCCGAATGAAAAGAACAGCTCGCCGAAAGTGAACGTTGTGCTGAGACTTACCGAGCTACAAGGTAAGCTGTTGTATTGTGTTCTCGGTGGTCTGTCAACAAACAATAGGCTCTGACACAAGGGAAACAATAATGTGCAAGACTTGGCAAGAAGTTCCAGGATTTTCTGATCCAAAAGATTCAAACTTTATCATATTTTCACCGACAATAAGCTCAGACGTCGAACATGTGCAAATATGTGATGGAGTGAAAGACAACAAGAGAAAGCACATGTGGTTAGAATGCTTCGTTGAGAAAATCGACAGGGATATGAACGTAAGATGTAGAAAGCATGACAGAGTTCCGCATGACAGATTATGGCCCAGGTTGAAGACGGTTTGTGGCAGTTCAGCGGCCTTTGTGAGTTGGAATCGAAGAAATCGAAAACTTCCCGAGATTACTTCCGCATTCATGTTGTTGAACACGTCAACGAACCAGTATCGGAGTCCAGGCCGGAGATTCCGTTGGGAGCAAAGGACAAGGGTACGCTTCTTGTACATCCGGGCTCACCATTTTAACTACTTCCTCCTGTCAGTCAAAGGAAACCATACGCCTGTTTCCGTTCTTTCAGGCAACATGCATCTACGTAATTGGGCAGATATCTACGGGAGAAGCCTAGCTGGAGCTAATGACGAGGTGCTGGAGGCTTCTTGGGCCCTAAAGTTTCGATGGGCTGACTCGTTCTAGCAGGCACCTGCGGGTTTGGGAAAGCTCTGCGTCGATGTGAGTGCGATAACTCTACTTTTGACATTGCTGATATTTGTCTTCTTTACCATCAGCTCTGCATGAAATTCGTGCTGGCAGATGACTCGCAAGAAACATTCGAGTTCACTTCGTTTGACTTGAAGATCTTGTGTGAATGAAACCACCTTATCAACATCAGGTTCTAAAGGCACGTCCCTGGTTTCAATCACATTCAAACATCCTGCCTTTCTAGTCGACGTCCTCCGTGATCGCCTCTACGAAGCCATCCAAAGTCGACGCTGTTTCTTGCACTTGAAAATGAATGACCCTCCATGCGCTCATTATCACTGAGATCGAAGCCAACGAGATGATCCAGAACGGCAATGCAGGCATGTGATCCTGTAGTGCTCCTCTAAGGGCACAGCCTGCTGGCGCAGCAAGAGCTGCCGCCGGTATGACGCCCTTGACAGCGTCGATCCTGCTACTGACCCGCCTGTATGCACCCAATGCCGGGGAGAGCGCAAACCAAGGCAAGATGAATGGCGCGGCGGTGAGGAGCACGTTGCCGTCAGAGGAGCCGTGAGAGCCTCTTCCTATCGCAGCAAACACAAGGAAAACAGCGACATCGCCCAGCAGCATGACGGGCTCCTTGCTGAGTCTCTGGTAATCTGAGACTACTCCATTTTCCTGCATCCGCAGCGAGGTTTTCCCGTGCTGAGGTCTCGGGAGCGAGGGCAGGTGGCGGGGTTGCGAGGAGAGCCGCGGAGCCGTGTGTGGCAGCTGAGATGGAAGGTGCGAAGAATGGAGGATGGGAAGGAAGCAGGACGAGCATGGAGCGCTGGCGGCGATACACAGCAGTATCAGGGAGGACGCCATTCCTTTATAACACGAAACAGTTTACACGTATCCTCAAGGCTACTTTAGTGCCATTCAGGTCTCCCGGTGTCGCGGTCGCAGGAACTAGTAGGAGGCCAGCGGGATGGCGAAGGGGAAGGGGGGAGGAGAGGAGAAGGTGGCAGAGGAGAGGCGAGGAGAGGAAGGGGAGAGGAGAGGGAGAGGGAGAGAGCATGCTAGACATGGCATGTTGTATTGTTCGTAACCTGCGGCTGTCGGCCAAGAACGAGACGAGAATGTCAAGGATGAGGTCGCTGATCCTTGTGGCTACTTTGCTGTGGTGTTCGTCCACGGAGATATCATGTCGAGAGTGCCTGCGGGTCTGGGGAACATCGGGACTCAGGCTGAGGGGAGGACAAGAGCACGGGCCTGCCCCCAGAGAACTCACTTCATACGAAGAACTGCAGCAGCTTGTGCAGCAAGCGGAGCGATTCCAAGAGATCGAGAAGATGGAGACAGAGCTGCAGGCGGGAGGGAATGAAACAGACCTCATCCATGAGATCCACGATGACAACCAAAGAGAAAATGAGACCTTGACCGAGGAGATGCCAGAGGAAGATGTCACTGCCTACGACATCAAGACACTAAAGCGAATCATCGAGGAGGGCGACATCTCGGTGTTGGACGGGCAGAATGCGACGAGCGACATCAACGCGACAAACTCGACCGAGACAAACGCGTCGTCGATGCAGAAATATTCAGAAATCCTTGATTTGAAGGAGTATTTGAAGGACGTAGAGGAGGTGAAGTCAGTTGCCACGTGTCTCGCGTTGTTGACGCTCCTTTCGCATCCGAACAGGCAAGACAGATCGTGCGTGGTCTGATCCAGCATAGAAGCGAAGCAGAAGAAAAGCTCAAAGTCTTGGAGGAAATCCTGAACAGGAAGCAATTGAAGGCGAATCAAATGCTCTGGGACTGTGCCTGCACTGGGGACATCGCTGGAATAGAGAAGGTAGAATCTCGCCGTGGTCATGTCATGTGGTTCTCTTGCAGACGTCTGTGTTGTTTGCTCACATCAGCAGAACGCATGTGCTTGTTTGTTTGTAACTTCATTGCAGTGTGTTGAGCTGGGAGCGAATGTTTCGGCAGGAAACCCTGAGCTGTTTGGAAGAAACGCTCTTCACATGGCAGCCTATCACGGCAAGACAGAGTCGGTCAGGGCGGTAAGAAACGTGTTTGAGGCGGAGAAAGTTGAGGGTTGAGGGCTGATTCATGTAACTCAAGCTCTTGGGCCTTGGCTCATCGATCAACTCAACGTCAGTTCCCCTAAGGTGAAGTGAAATCGCAAGAGCCATGACGCGTGCTCATTGCTATCCATAGATGGACGGCGCTGCACTATGCTGCTCAGAGGGGGCACAAGGAGACGGTGAGGCCTTGAGAGTCTGCCTGCCTGCCTGCCTGCCTGCCTGCCTGCCTGCCTGCCTGCCTGCTGAGCTGCCTGCAGGTGGAAGTGTTGCTAGAGGCTGGTAGCGACCCTGAGCGAGAGAACGACATGGGGAAGACTCCTAGCAAGCTTGCGAGGCTCAACGGCTACAGGCGAGGATTTCTGTTCAAGTCCACAGTCTCACTCGCACACGCAGGTTTCTCGCTGACTATCTTTCAAATATTACCCGGGAGCGAGAGGAGTCTGTACAATCTTTGGTTGACTCGCTTCGCAAAATAGGCCTATCCGACAGGAACAGCACGCTACAAGCGTACGTGGAGCTGGATCAGGTAAAAGCTGCTTGACCGGGATGCTGATGTTGTCTGAGCTGCCCGGCAGGAACGAAAGCTTCAGCAAGCGATCGCAGATCCGCAGCCTGGAGTTCACCCAGGAAGTGTGCTTGAACCGAGAGATGCTGGCAATGGACAAAACCAAACTGCTGGCTTCGACGTCTCAGATATGATGCCAGACAAGCTGCCTGACTTTGACACATCCAAGATCTCAGAAGCATTGAGCAACATCACGAAGCCTTCCCCTCCCCGGAGAAAGCCTCCTCCCCCACCGATGAAGCCAGCAACTTTTGCGCAGGCTACAGCTGCCCGTGCACAGGCACCTGAAGGATTCGACGACCTTGTCAAGAGCCCTGAAGAAGCCAAGAAATCGTCGACCCCCCTTGTTCCTCAGCCCCCTACGACTCCTCGACCTGCTGGACTTCCTCCGAAGCCGGCCTCCATCCCGCAGCACGTTTTCAGTGCCTTGCAAAGTGATACAGTGGCAGCTAGCCAGGTAAATCCGACAGGTCAGGCCGCGGCCCCAGCAGGTCAGGCCGTGGCTCCTCCAGGTCATGCCGCGGCCCCAGCAGGTCAGCCCGCGGCTCCTCCAGGTCAGACAGCCGCGGCCCCAGCAGGTCAGGCCGCGGCTCCTCCAGGTCAAGTTGCGGCCCCAGCAGGTCAGGCCGTGGCTCCTCCAGGTCAGGCCGGGGCCCCAGCAGGTCAGCCCGCGGCTCCTCCAGGTCAGACAGCCGCGGCCCCAGCAGGTCAGGCCGCGGCTCCTCCAGGTCAGGCCGCGGCCCCAGCAGGTCAGGCCGCGGCTCCTCCAGGTCAGGCCGCGGCCCCAGCAGGTCAGCCCGCGGCTCCTCCAGGTCAGACAGCCGCGGCCCCAGCAGGTCAGGCCGCGGCTCCTCCAGGTCAGACAGCCGCGGCCCCAGCAGGTCAGGCCGCGGCTCCTCCAGGTCAGGCCGCGGCCCCAGCAGGTCAGCCCGCGGCTCCTCCAGGTCAGCCCGCGGCCCCAGCAGGTCAGCCCGCGGCTCCTCCAGGTCAGACAGCTGCGGCCCCAGCAGGTCAGCCCGCGGCTCCTCCAGGTCAGACAGCCGCGGCCCCAGCAGGTCAGGCCGCGGCCCCAGCAGGTCAGGCCGCGGCCCCAGCCGGCCAGTCCATAACTGCCATGGCCGGCAAGCCTACGGCAGCAGCGGATATAGACGACCTTCCTCTAGGGTGGAAATCAGCGTTGGACTACCGCTCAGGACGAACTTACTTCTACAACAAGGACCTCGGACTGACGCAGTGGGAGAAGCCAGCTAAGCCCCAGCCAGCGGCAGAGCCTCCGGTGCCCTCCAAAGCCGGAGATGCAAAGAAGGGAGGAAGAGGATTGTTCTCATGGTTTTCTAGCTCTGCGACAGAAGGAAAGCAAGCCAAGGCCGCTCCCACTCAGAGCTCAGGAGGAGCGGTTCCCAAGGATGCAACCCAACAACTTCCTGCTCCAGATCGTGTTGAACGTGTGGAAGCGTTCGTACCACGAGGGCAGCAGAATGTTGCTCCCTGCCCGCCTCCCAAAGATGCGCCGAAGCTTCCTCCTGCCATGGCACCTCCTGTACAGCTCAACGATGATACGAATCAAGGGACGCTGCGCCCCCGCCCTCCCCCATTTCCCTACAATCCGAAGCCCCCGACATAGATCTTCTAGTCGTGAGATACACAGACCGATAAAGAGAACTATCTTTCACGAAGTGAATGCCGATAAGTGTATGCTTATTATGCTCACGACTTGGTACACATTCTTCGAGCATCGCGGGTTATAGTTTTGGATCCCGAGGCCTTGTGAATCACCTTTCATAGGACAACATTTTCACTCTCATACCATACATGCTGGAGAACGCTGGACCCCTGAGGCTCAGACGGCGTCTCCTCCTGACTTCGATACGCTTTCACAAGATAGACCTCACTGTAGAGCTCTTTCGCATCTCTTGGCCCAATCTCGAATCTCCTTGTTCACCTTGGCGTCCTTCATGTCCTTCAACTTCTGCAGCCTGCGGGATCTGCTGGAGGCACTGGGCCCCTGAGGCTGAGACCGCGGCTCCTCCTGACTTCGATACGTGAGCTGATCTTTGCGCAGCAACGGTGGAGCCGTTCGCTCAGTCCTCTGCTTTGGCTCTGCGATTCTTGCGCGTGGGAGGCGCAGTCGGGGACAGAGACCATGTCTTTGCGGGATGAAGCGAGTCCCCGGCCTCGACATCTCGTCTGCCTCCAGCTCCAAGATCTGAGGGGTACTCTGCTCTCTCGCTGCTACATCCCCCGCCCGACTCTCAGGATGGTAGACCTCCCGCCTGCGCACGAGGCGATTGATGCTGAGATCTCTGACGTTCCTGCATCATGCTGGTCAGTTTGAGATGCTTCCGTCACTGACCTCCTACTCTGCCAAGTGTAGAACCTCATCCAACGTCCACTCGAACCTGGTTCCAAGGTCCCCAAGATCAACCGTCGTCAGCTTGCCAGTCAAAAGTCAGAAGGAGAAAGGGTCAGAGGTGGAAGTGGAGGACAAACCTTTGCGACATCATCTAGATGTTCCACTCCAACACTCTTGAGTCCAATCGCAAACCTCTTGAGTTGCTTCATGCGTAACCAAAGCTCAAGCTCAGCGTCGTCGAAGTCATCGCTCGCGCTGAAGGTGGAACTTGCGGTGTCGGGGCGAGAAGATTTACAGGAGATGGGGAGAGAGGCAGGATAAGAGCGTCTGGAGTTTCTGGACAAGCTTGAGGAACCTCTCGACATCGTCAACCTCCTGAAGAGCTCTCCATTGCTCAGACCAGATAAGCTGGCAAACGCAGACGCAGTGCTGTCACTTTGACAGCTCCGAGCCTGAGAAGCGGTTGAGAGCATACTTCTGGCTCCATGGCTACTTCGGTCTTCCTCTCCTTTCCTTCTCTCCTCGTCAGAGCCGCGCGAAGTGGCGCCCTCCCCCTTCTTGCTAATCGCTCCGGGCTGCATTTTCCAAACTGTCATTACAAGTTGACAAGTCGAGATAGGTGGGGTGGACAAAAATAGTACCTTCACCCGTGGTTATATCGTGTATTTCAAGGGTGGAGGTAAAGGGGGTTCCTGGTGAGCTAAAGTACGGCCTCAGGGGGGTACTATTGGCAGTCGCCATAACGTCAGGTAACGGACTAGCAATTTTGGAAAGGAGCGGGGATGAGGGCAGTTCAGAAAGTTCGGGCGCATGTCCACTGAGCGAAACATGCAGCAAGAGGTGGATGATGGAGAGGAGGAGGAGGAAGAGGAGGAGCAGGAGGAGATGGGTGGATGGAGACAGGTGAGCTTGGGTACCCTCTGATCGTCCGATCACCAGACTGAGTGTCATGGATTCATCAGGCGGCAATAAGGAGGAAAGCGCTGATGATGAAGCCGGTACGGGGAGAAGCACAGGAAAGTGCATGGTGTTTGATGATGGCTCGACAGGTGGGGAAGACAATAGCTCCCTCCAGCGTCATGAAGAAGTTGATGCTCAACGACACATCTGAAGAATCCCTGCTGAGACAACAACAGAAGTTCTTTGAGACCAAGGTGATTTCGCAGAACCTCTGCCTGCCTGCCTACTTGCGGTCTCAATGACTTACTTACCTAACGTTTCCCGCCTTCCCTTCTCTCCATCTTTCCTCCCATGCTTACTCACGATCCTTGGGTTTCAGGGAACACCTGCAGCGACTGTTGTACGGAAGAAGCAGGAGGAGCAGATCGAACCAGCCAAAAAGCTTTCGAAGTTTGCGCAGCAACGGAGGAGCCAGAAAGAAAGGGAAGGAACTGCTGAGCATGAAAGGAAGCCCTCGGCTCCCTCGGCATCTCCCATGGGAGGTGTCATGGACATGAAGATCATTGAGAAGAACACAAGCAACTTCGTGCCTGCTGCCCCGTCATTGCGGACGACACCGTATCCTATAGGTGACTTCCATGTACGCACAACTCCCGATCTGACGTCCAACAATCGTAGCGAGCCATCGATCCGTCCAACCTGAGCACCCCGTCGCCGAGAGCTGCACGTCTGAAGTGCAGGAGAGGGCAGCGCAAGCTGACCCGGGGCCCAGCATGGACTCTCGCAAGTCCGGTAAAAGTGTGAGGTGGAGTCAAGAGGGTGCTGCGGAACCTAGCAAGGGCTTGCCGTCTGCAGCGGAGATCGAGAGCGAGAGCAGGAAGATACTGCAAGGCATGAGTGAGGAGGAGAAGACATTGATGCGCAGGGAAATCGAGGCAAGCGTTGATCCTGAGCTGTTGGCGATGATCCGAAGAAGAGCCGAGAGCAAGAAGCAGTCCAAGAGCGAAGCAGGGAAGGAGGTGGCAGCCGTTGCTCCAGCGCTGCCGAAGTTTGTCAAGGAGGGGATGGCTGAAGGTTTGTTCTGTAACCTGCCTGAGCCGAGTGAAGAAGACATTGCAAAGATGCAGTGGATGGGGGACTTGGATGAGGACGAGGAGCACAAGGTTGTGGGAGACTCGATGGAAGGGGATGACGAGGTGGAGAGGTCGAAGAGGTTTGCTCAAGAGCTCGCATCTAAAGACGTCGGCGACCTTCGGTTTGACTTCGATGGGAACCTGATGGCCCCGTCTCAGAAGATCTCAGTGCAGGAGGGGCTGCACCATCACGGGGACAAGCCATCTGAGGCGGGATACACCGTTGCAGAGTTGATCCGGTTGTGCCGGAGCTCCTTCGCCGGGCAGCGGTCGATCGCCATGAAGACGCTGTCGAGCATCTTCAGGAGGATAGCGAAGGCAGGAGTGAAAACTTCGCTGCTCCTGCACCATCTTCTCCAGAACGGTGCGGCAGTTGTGATTCGATGTGGGATGGATGACAAGAACGTGACGTACCTGCTCGAATCTCTCCGAGCTGCTGTCCACCTCTGCATCGCGTCTGTTCTCTCTCTCAAGCAGGAGGAAGAGAACGGCAGCTCGAACGCAAGGGAGGACGAGGAGTATGGCGTGAGCGGGAGCAGTTGGATGGGATGGACTTTCTTGCAGAGCAAGGATGTGCTTGAAGTGCAATATGTCTCCATCCAGTACCGCGAGAGAGAAATTTTCTTCACCCAGACCGCCCGTCAAGCTTCTCTGGTGGCGCAGAGCAATCTTGCTAGCAAAGACAAGAGCACGAGCAAGAGCAAGGCATCGTTCGGATCACTGTCTGCAGATGCGGAGGAAGAGCAGTTGCTAGCAGAACAATCCATCGCGCAGGCAGACCCCATCGTAGGATTGGTGAACATGCAGACGTTGCCTAAGATCGTCGCGCTTATGCAAACAGCACAGAATCTGAATCTTCAGGTTCTCCTTCTACAGCTCCTTGCCCTTTTCAGTCAGCACTCTACCGGCTGCTGTGAGCAAGTCCATAACACGCCGGGGCTGCTTGATTTGCTGTATGCTCACGTCGGCGCTCTCCCCGCCTCCAGCTCCACCAAGAGAGCAGAGGAGGAGAAGCAGCAGATCCGAGTTGTCCTGCTCTCCTTGCGCATAGTTAGGCTGCTCTGCCAGTCCTCGAGGACGATCTGCCTTTCCCTGCTCCAGAGCGGAATCTTCGAGCTGATGAAACAGCACTTGTTGCCTTCGGAGACCGCTGGGACTCAGCATGCTACTGTCCTCCACACATTCTCTGGCCAGAAAATCTCTTGGACGGCTGGGAAATGTGCGATAGCGGAGGAGGCGCTTTCCTGTTGGACCGTCTGCCTGTCCTACGGCATCGGGGGAGACTCGTTTGCTGACTTTTCCATCCTCCTCCAAACCTTCGTTGGGAGCTTTGCGGGGGCAAAGGACTCCAGCTCCTGCTTGGAATGGCTGAGGGAGGAAGTGCAAGAGCAGGAGGAGGGAAAGGGGAAGAAGCGAAGGTCTTGTCACAGGACGATGCTCGCAAGCCGCTCTCTGGTCGTGGTGGAGGAAGCAATCATTCTCGCGGCCAGCCAGCTGGGCGTCAGTTGGGCACACATCATGCCATGGCTGGAAGTCTGCCAAGAGGTTGGAGGGGTGGTAATGAACCGCCTTCTCCTCCTCCTTCGACGACCTCCCTCCTCCTCTTCCCCCTCCAGCAGAAACGACAATACCACCACCAGCAACCTGAAGACTGAACGCATCCTGAGTGGGGAGATGAACTCTCTTTTCGTCCTCCTTACGCAAGTCTTCCATGTTCTGTCAAGTTACTTCTCGTGCCTCGTTCGCGATGAGAAGATTTGTGTTGCAGATGCAGTGGATGTGGCAGACAAGTCCTTTGTGACTCTGTTGGGAGATCAAGAGATGGGAGGGAGCGAACATGCAGAATTGTTGTCGGTTGTCTTCGAGCAGAGCTACGGGAACAACAAGTTGGACGAAGAGACATCGCATGTAGTTCACAACTTCATGCATTCCTGTCTCAGATTCTTGAACTCGATCGCTCTCGTCGTTGAGATTTCCTGCTCCCCTGATTGCGCATCGAGCAAGTCGCGATCACTCGCGCAAGACTTCCTGGTCAAGCATGCAGCTCGCTTCGGGAGCTCGCAAGGTCCCCTCCCTCTTCCTCGCTTCTCCTCTACCCTATCTCAAGAGGAGGTTCAGCGAGATGAGAGGAGCAGGCGACTAGTTCAGCTCCTCCGAGCCTTTCATTCCCAGCATGGAGACAGCCTGAAGAGATGTTTGGAGGATGCAGACAGTTTGATATCAAGAGACTTCAGCCTGTCACATCGATCGAAGCTTTTCCTCCTGACAGAGCTCATGACGTGGTTCTCTTCTCCCTCCTCCTGGTTGGAAGACGACGATGTACATGTGGACGGGACGAGTCGACTTGAGTGTGTACGCGAAGGAGCGCGGGTCCTCACTTCTGCCGTCCGCGCAGGAGACGAGATCTTGCTCCTTCCCGCTCTCGAGGTGATGGTGGCTGCTGCTGCTGAGGGCAAGGACGCAGACATGGCAGGGGTAGGGAGGCAGCTCGCCTGTATGGACTCAAAAGAAATAGCGCCTTCCCCTCGCATCCTCTTCGACTTCTACGCTGACTGGCTGCTGAACCTTCTGAGCTCGGAGGGCGAAGGGATCGTCATGCTCTCCCGAGCTCTGTGGACTCGCGACAGTCTCCGCGTCCTTAGCCTCGCTCACCCCTGGTGCTCTTCCTTCCTCCCTTTGCAGCCGGACTTCCTCCTCCAACCCCTCCATGCTGCCCAGAAGCAGAAGAACGAGGCCCAGGACCTCCACCTCCTCACGCCGACCATGCAGAGAGCCTGTGTGTACACGCTCGGAACGCTCGCTCTTCTTCCTCGTGAGATCGTCGTTGGCGTAAAGAGAGCAACAAGGAAGCAAAAGGAGACAGAGGGGAGAGGTGCGGAGGAGGAGGAGACGAGTCGGCTCTCCATGCACGGGATCATCTTCTGCGATGTAATCTCGGTCTACCTGCTGGGAAATGCCATCTACATGCACCAGCTGACAAGCAGCTTGATGAGAAGACAGCTGGAGGATAGCTTGTCGCCCTCCTGGACATCAACGCTGACGAGCTGCGACATTGGTCTGCCTCCTCCTTCCTGCTCCTCATGCTATCCTTGCCTGTTTCTTCCTCCCTCCTCTGCTTTGCCTCCCTCCTCCCTCTTCCCTCCTCCCTCTTAGCTTCATTGGATTGACTTCGTGCAGTGGAGAGCTTGCAGCAGATGCAGCAGCACAAGTCTCGGCATCACCCGCGAGAGCTTTTCATCGCACTAGCCCAGCAGTTCGCAGAAGACTCGTACGGAGATGAGGAGTTTGCACAGGTGAAGTTTCGCTTGATGCTCAACTACGTCTCACGTGAATGTCTCCTATGTCACTCTCCTCCCTCGCCCCTCCTCTCCTCTCCTCTCCCCTCCTCTCCTCTCCTCTCCTCTCCCCTCCCCTCCCCTTCCCTCCCCTCCTCTTCTTCCCTCCCCTCCTCTTCCCTCCCTCCTTGCTTTCCTTCTCCTCCTGCCTCGCGATCTTCTTGTTCAATCTCTTGTACCACTATCTATATCTCTCTCCCTCCCCATCTCGCCTCCGCTGCTCCCTTCCGCTCTCCCTCCCTGCAGGTGCTCCTCCTCTCCCTCCAAGTCAAGTTTCCATCCGAGTGGCGCGCGCGTGTCCTTGAGATCTTGTCCCCCTTCCTCCTCAGGATGCTCCGACCGAAGAGGGATGGCGTTCCAGGAGGAGTCCGAAGGTGATGAGCAGTGGCAGTGGCAGGGGCAGGGGAAGGGGAAGGGAGAGGAGGAGGAGGAGCGGGGCGGTGAAAGGGAGTGTTCGGAAGGGATCTTCTTTCCTACGTCTCAAACTCTTGCAGGTATCTCTTTCCCCGCGAGACTTCTTTCGAGGTGAGTCATGCTTTGAACAATTTGTGCATAATGTTTTCTCCTTCTCCTCTCACTCCTCTTCCTCCTCTTACTCTTCCTCCTCTTTCTCTTCCTCTTCCTTCTCTTCCTCCTGCATCATCCCCCCTCCTCCTCCTCCAGCTCCTCGAGGAATACCGCAACTTCCTGTCCTCCTCTCAGATTACAGAAGACAACAATCCCTTCCTCTTCTACTATTGCCTCCATCACCTAAGGTCCTCAATCTCCTCCCTCCCCCTCCGCTGCTTACTGACGCTCCTCCTCAGCATGCATCTGTTCCGATGGGGGCAGGAGGAGCGAGAAAGGAAAGGCTCTATTCGCGACCCTCGCTTTCTCCGCAGGCTCATCCTTACCTCCTCACCCGGCCTCTACCACAAGGTCTTGTGGGTCGGGAGAGCAGACAGCGAGCTGATGGCCAGCAGGTTCTCAGCTTCCAACTCCCAGCATGCCGCACAGAAGAGCAGCAGGACGACGAGAACTTCATAGAGCATGTGAGCTCTAGTCCTCCCTTTCCTCGCTCCCCCTCCGCCTTTCCTTCAACCTCCTCGTCCTGCTACCCTCCATAGTCCCTGCCTCCTTCCTCCGTGTCCTTTCGTTCTCTCCTTGCTCCCCCCCCCCCCTTCTCCTCCTTCCCTACCGTCCTCACCAATGGATAGATTGTCCCGCTCTTGCAAGGGCTCAAGTCCCAGAGCTCCGTCCTCCCCTCCGACTTCAGCTCGTCGTCCCTTGTAAGTTCTGGTGCCTCCTCGCCTGATTCTGCTGAGGTCCATCAGGGGAGACAAGTGATCCAAGTCTGTGCGGAGGAGGAGACGTGCTACTCGAAGCTAGCAGGGGACAGGAGTCCTCTAGCAGAGGAGGTTCATCGGCAGATGGAGAGAGCAAGAATCTGTTAAGGCCGAATACCTCCTCCTCCTCCTCCTCCTCCTCCTCCTCCTCCTCCTCCTCCTCCTCCTCTGTTAGTCCCCATCCTCGTCCTTCTATCCCCCTCTCCTCTCCCTCTCTTCCTCCCACCTTTCCTCAACCTTGTTCAGTCTCCTTTATCTTAAAAGAATCTAGAAGCGCAAGCGGAGCAGGCTTTTATCTTATGCTGCTACTTCTCTTTCGACGTGACTTTTAGCTTGATCTGCTTACTCGTCAATTCTCTGCCTCCTCCTCCTCTCCCTCCTCCTTCCCTCCTCCTCCCCCTCCTCCTCCCCCTCCTCCTCCCCCTCCTCCTTCCCTCCTTCTCCTTCTCCTCCTCCCCCTTCCCTCCTCCTCCCTGTCCTCTACCTTCCTTCCTATTCCTGCTATCTAGTTACCTTAAAAGATGTCCCGCCATTACCTCCAGCATCCCTGAAAAGGTTGAATGAGGAGCGACAAAGGAGAGAAATGAAAATGGTAGCCATGAACAGCAGAGAGAGCAGAGGAGTGCAGTCAGGAGGTATGGAAAACACGGGAAAGGGGGGGGGAAAGGGAAGGAGATGGAGGAGGGAGGGGGGTGAGCAGGACGGGAAGGGAGGAAAGCTACTGAGGAAACCCTTTGCAAGTCACGACTTACTGGTCGCGCTTCTCATCAGAATCCTTCCCTTTCTCCTTGTCCCTCTTGCTCTTCTTGTGCTTCTTCTCCCTCCCATCCTCCTGCGCACCCTGACGAGTCAGCCAGTGAAGGAGAGCCGCCGTCTTCCCTACCTCCTCGTCGCTCCTGTTCCTTTTCGACTTGGACTTCTTTTCCTTACGATCCCTGTGACAACAGACCGTCGCCAGTCACACTCCCCTCTTTTCTACACCTCCGGTGCTCACCTCTTCTCCTCCCTCTCTCCCATTTCCTCCTCTTCCTCCTCCCGGGTCGGTGGCGGAGTAGGAGGTGTTGGCTCTCTCTCCTTCCTCTCTACCTTCTCCTGACAGGAGCGTCAGGGGGAGAGCAGCTTTCGTCTCCATCCTCCACCTCTGTCGCCTTCTGGCTGGGCTTGTCGCCCTTGGCCGATTTCTGCAGCTCCATCGTCAAAATCCCCACGCAGTGACGACCATGCCGCGATACCTTCTTGGCCTCCCCGGCCTTGCTCGATTCTTCTCGTTCCCTGCGTTCAGAACAAAATCACAGGCAAAATGCACTGTTGATGGCAAGAGGAGGAGGAGACGGTGGCGCAGGAAGAAGAGGGAGGTGACGAGAAGGGAAGGGATAAAGGGAGGAGGAGCGAAGGTGACGTATGCAGATAGAAGACTATGAAGGGGGGGAATGAGGGGAATGCAGAGGAAGGATGGAACATCACGAAGATCAAGAGAAAAGAGGAGGCTTCACTTCAACTTGCGATCTCTCTCCTTCTTCTCCTCCAGCTTCTGCTTCTGCTTCTGTGAACATCGCCGTCATGGAGTGAGCACGACGAGCACAGCACGGCACCTGCTCCTCCTCCTCGAGCTGCTTCGCAGTTGCTGCTGCTGCGCGCTTTTGCAGTGCAGCAAGGACACTGAAAAACAAAAATTATCCTGTTCCCTCCTCCACTTCTTCTTCGTCTCCTTCGCATCATCATTTTCATCTCCTCCTCCTCCTCCTCCTCCTCCTCTTCCTCCTCCTCTTCCTCTTCCTCCTCCTCCTCCTCCTCTTCAACGACCACCATTGTCCTCTCCCTCTTGAACATCCCCTTCATTACGAACCTATCGTTGGAGAGATCGGGCCCAACGACTTTCTTCTTCTTCACTTCAACTCTCTGCGACGGATCGTCGGCCGCTGCGGGCGCCGTCGCCTCCTTGCCGCTCGACTCGCTCGCTCCCTTCCTCTCAGCGTCTTCGTGTGCAAGAGGCTCCTTGGTTTGCGTCGGGGCGACAGCTCGAGCTCCAGTCTTCGCCTCCTGCTTCGGCTTGTCGGTCTCCGGGTTGAAGACAAACATCTCCTTGTCTTCTGCATGCTCCGAAGCCTGTTGATCACCAAGATGAGCCCACAACAGCGACATCTACATCAAGACATCTACATCAAGACATCTGCATCGAGACATCTGCATCAAGACATCTGCATCAAGACATCTACATCAAGACATCTACATCAAGACATCTGCATCAAGACATCTGCATCAAGACATCTGCATCAAGACATCTACATCAAGACATCTACATCAAGACATCTGCATCAAGACATCTACATCAAGACATCTACATCAAGACATCTACATCAGGACATCTACATCAAGACATCTACATCAAGACATCTGCATCAAGACATCTGCATCAAGACATCTGCATCAAGACATCTACATCAAGACATCTACATCAAGACATCTGCATCAAGACATCTGCATCAAGACATCTACATCAAGACATCTGCATCAAGACATCTGCATCAAGACATCTACATCAAGACATCTACATCAAGACATCTACATCAAGACATCTGCATCAAGACATCTACATCAAGACATCTACATCAAGACATCTACATCAAGACATCTGCATCAAGACATCTACATCAAGACATCTACATCAAGACATCTACATCAGGACATCTACATCAAGACATCTCACGGCCTTCACTCACTTGCGTCGGCTGCCTCGTTCCCGGCGGCATGTAGATCAACTTTCGGCTCTCCTGTGGTCAAGGGTGAGCAGAACGTTCCTCGCCTCCTTGCAGCGACCGAGATCGTCTCGGGGATGCCCCACTTGGTCACACACTTCTTACAGATCTCCACCTGCTTGTCGGAGCTTGCCAGGTGTTAGAGAGACAGCGAGGAGGAGGAGGAGGAGGAGGAGGAGGGGAGAGGAGAGGGAGGAGGAGGAGAGAGGATAGGAAGGGTGGGAGGAGGGCAGGGTTCACATCGAGAGCATGGGGTCTTCATAGAACTTCATCGTCTCCTTCAGATACTCGATCTGTGTCTGACCCACCCTGCCATCCTCGTCCTGAGTGCGCACAAGAGCATCTTCAAGAAAGCGGTACTCACGTCACGTTGTGCTCCTTCACGTAGTTGGTCCAGGATTGAGGGACGCTGCAAGGATCACCAGAGTCAGTCGCGGACAAGCCCTCCCCTCGCTCTCCACGACCGACCTGTCAGGAGGGAGCAGTCGGCTGACTTGGCGGTTTCCCCGCTCCTTCAGCTGCGGCGCAAAAGTTTGACTGCCCGGCCCTCGGAACCCCCGGACCCCTTACCTTGTCATCGTCTAGAAACTGGTTGATGTGCAGCAGGAACTCTATCAGCTGCGGGCTATCTTGAAGCAGTCCCTTGCAGACGAGGTAACGCTCGGAGTTAGCTGCTGACGTGTCAAACGAAGCCTCCAGGGAGCAGGGAGAAGGCGAACCGGGTCTGGAGGTGAGCGGTTTGACAAGCGCCGTTTGTTCGAAATGCAACTTGCAACGCATGTCAAGCAGGAGGGATGGCTGAACAAGAGAATGGAGGAGGAGGAGGAGGAGGAGGAGGAGGAGGAGGAGGAGGAGGAGGAGGAGGAGGAGGAGGAGGAGGAGGAGGAGGAGGAGGAGGAGGAGGAGGAGGAGGAGGAGGAGGAGGAGGAGGAGGAGGAGGAGGAGGAGG